GCTACTTGCCGGGCGGTTTGTCCAACTTGCAATCGTCCAAAGGCTTGGTGTCGCTGATTTCTTGTCAATGTTGGCATGTGGTAGCAATTCAATAACGAATGAATGTTATCCGATCTGGGTGGATTTTTATAGGGCAAGAAATGGGGTAACACATGTGCATTTCAATTTGCACGGAACTCACGTGCATCGGTTTACTATGGCCGTTGCAGTGATGCGTTTTGGCGATCGGTTTAATTGTCATCTGCTTAGTCTTTTTATCATCAAATTTCATTTTTCCGGACAAGGTAATGTTAAATTTTACAAACTTAGACAAAAATTACCCAGATATTTAAATGACAACTTTTTATGCAATGTAACTTGGGGTGACGTTTCTTTTGCGGTTCAGTATATGAGACAGTTTCACTGATCTCTGCAATCTCCAGCAAATCAAATATGTCGTGTTGCTTTCAATGAAACACTTTAATCCTAATAACAAGTGTGCACTTTTGTATGTCACATTTTGTGATGATTGGATGCGAATCAAAGAAAGATAGTACCAAGGGTACTAAAATAAAACCAAATGCAGATGAAAAGCTATTCTACCACAGTTTACATTAGAAGTGATAATTGACTACACTTCCTGTTTTTCTTGAGTAGGTGTGTCTTTAGGACGAACATACCTGATGGCACTCCCAAGTTTTCAATACAGCCCTGAGATACATGCATCAGTTAGAGAGGAAGGAGGACAATGGCAGGTACAAGATCCGTACACAGGGAAGATCTGGTCTCGACAAGTCAAACCATTCAACACTGACTATTTCTACCCCCAATATTCTGTACACACAACAAATGGTATTCAAAATAAAACTATCCTTGTCCATGTAGAAAGTAATGAGATTCAGATCAGAGGATTCAGTGGCTTCACTCGTTTCTTTCCACTCCCTATATCCGCTTTAGGGACAAAATACGTCATGACTTCTTCATCCTTCTGGTGGCTACATCTCATAAATGGTGATTGCCACGCACAGCAAGAAGACGAATGTGGACATCACATTTAGACTGGATGGTGATGTAACCTATGACAACAAAACGTACACCCACGGAGACACGCTCAGCGTCACACTAATGGAGTACCAAACTTTCACAATCAACAGTTCATCTGATCTCACCGGAACAGTTGTAGCTGCTGAAGAGACTATAGCCGTCTACAGTGTGATATATACAGCTGCTCCTTACATTCGTCTGATTGCCTATGAACAACTTCTCCCGAACAGCCACCATGGACAAGAATATGTTGTAGCAATTCGTGATAATAGTCCGGAACGATATCACAGTTCCCTACCATCTTCAGGTCGTCACCGACCACAGTGACACTCAGATCAGGTTCAATGGCGGCTCTACAGTATCTGTTGGTGATACACGGGTGTACAAAAAGCGATATGGACCCCGTACGCATCTCTACTTCAACACCACACATCCGGTTATGACAACGTTGTGTATTGTTGCAGGGCCAAGCGGGTACTTCCAGCAAGGTTTGTTCACTGTCTTACCACCCGTTAAATACCACACAAAACAAAGTACACTAACCTATGGTGGTACTTTACAAATACTGACAGATAAAGGAAATAACAAAGTGCACGTTGAACGTCGCTTCGGATCTACAGTGAACAATATTGACGTGGACTGGACACCAATCCCTGGGACAAGATATAAAGTAGGGACATGTACAGTTGGTTCCTCAACGTTTATCCGCTCAAATACCTCCTTCAGTGTCCTGGGATACAGTAATTATCGCATCGACAATGGAGGCTTCAGTTTTAAATCTCCAGATCATCCACGTAAGTAAGCCCTTATTTCAATGCCTCTAAAGTTGAGCCATGCATGTATATTTACATAGCCATGTACATGTATATCCGAAGGTGTTTGTACATACTAGATATATTCCTACTACAATGAATAATCAAAGATTGATAACACATCTGGCACTTGTTTTCTTTTATGATTCATCCCAAATTCGCTGATGTTTTACTGGAAAAGGGAATTAAAGGAACATTTTGTCTTCAATGTTACATTTGTAATGGCAGTCATGGTTTCAACTTATTAAATATTTCCTCATGTTTTCAGGGGCGATACCAACAATTAGTGGTCAAACTCCACTTCAAAGTCCGTCAGTCAGTGAGTGACTTGTATAAGTAGTTCTTCTGTGAATGTACAAGTATTATATTTAACTATAAAAATGCAACTTGAGCGTAAGTGCATTTGTTGTAATTTATACTTTTACAATTGAGCAGGTGCTTGTGCACAATGTTAAGCCAAGGTGAATCCTTCAGGAACACGTTGATGCGAGTTATAGTCATGGGACTGGGTGACCACTTGGGTACCTGATGGAGCAATCGACATGCAAATAACCATTCTGAACTGAAATTCCGAAATTCAACCATTTGCCTGTCTCCTCTCCACTTCGATAAGGTGTTGCTATTTTGTATCAAGTCCATAATATGCAAACCTACAAAATCTGAGTTATGTATCGTTGCGTTTCTGTAATGGCCATGGAGTTGTGTGTTCGACTTATTGTGCCACACACTAACAATCACATAGACCCTTTTTTTACTCGTGCGATTTGAGCAATACAAAATTAGTATTGTGTTTAAGCAATATCCATTCTATGATACAGTGAGTGATTTTGGCTTTACGCACAGTGTTGGAGTTCCATCGAGTGTCAACTTGATGCGCGAGGAAAATCCCTCAAATACTTTGGTGAAACCACCATCTTCAAATATACCTGACATCAATGAAATGGAAAGAACAAATATTTAATAATATTTTTCCGAGACATATTATATATAGCTTGCATGTAAGTTGTTATTGTCCTTTCTTCAACAAGGTTAAATTGTATTTCAAGTAACTTTTGGTGACGGATAACTAATAAGTTTCCTAAGTTTAGTTTGTGATATTGATTTGTTATTTGCTTCCAGACGCTGCGATGATTGTGGGAGTGTGTTGTGGGGTGATCATTGTGTCCCTGCTGGTCGGTTTCATCGGATATGTTCTCTATGTGTAGCTGTGCTGAGTTGCGTCCCTTGGGCACGCCAGAAACCTATGATTGTGGGTTCGAATCCCGGTTCGCTCCGATTATGTTTCTAGGTTTGTCAGCACCATACCCGTGCTTGTGGGTTTCACCGAAGTGGTAAACGTCTGAGACCTGCATCACTTCGGGCTTTCCTCCCACATTAAGCTGACACGCCGCGATATAACTGGAATATTGTTAAAAGCGGCGTTAAACCCAACTCACTCACTCACTCACTCACTCTCTATGTGTAAGTATTGCATCCTGCTGTGTTCGGAGACGTCTTGGGAAGGAACCCACAATAAACCTTTAATAAGGGACCCATGAAGATCCGGGGTAGAATAGGTCTTCAGCAACCCATGCTTGCCGTAAAAGGCGACTATGCTTGTCGTAAAAGGCGACAAACGGGATCGGGTGGTCAAGCTCGCTGACTTGGTTGATGCATGTCATCGATCCCAATTGCGTGGATCGATGTTCATGATGTAAATCACTGGATTGTCTGGTCCAGACTCGATTATTTACAGATCGCCGTCATATAATGGAATATTATATTGTCGACATCTCCTCTGAAACTAGAAGATTTATGAAGTTGAAACCTACGAAAGCCTATGATGCCACTTGGGAAGCATTAGTTTGTTTTTTAGCTAAATTTCTCGTTATCAAAATTTCGAGTACTGTCTCTTTACTTCGAATATTTTCTCGTTATTTAAAATCTATATCAAATTTTTATTTGTTTAATTTCTCGATATTTCGATTTTCTCGTTGCCTCGAGGTTTTTCTCATTGCTTAGATTATTATTTCGTCCTTACAAATTTTTACTTATTATTTCAAGCTTATTTCAAACACTCGAATTTTTTAATTTATTCTCGTTATTTCAATTGTTTCCTCGAAATTACGAGTTATTTCTCGTTATAAATGTGTGATCTTACCATCACAGTATAAAAAACCCTTGTCATTCTATCCTTAATTCTTGTGTGAAGTGTTTGTTTTTAACATGTTTAAGGTCAGCCGATCTGTAAACGAGCAAAAAACGAAAACAAGGCCTAAATCATTTGGTGATCAAAAAACTAACAATAACTAATTTTTTCACAAAGTATCTGCAGTTATCTTCAGCACTTGTGGGGTGGTTATAGCGTTCGCTCGTTCGATTCCCGACATGGGTACAACGTGTGAAGCCCATTTGTGGTGTCCCCCGCCGTGATATTGCTGGAATATTGCTAAAAGCGGCATAAACTCAAACTCCCTCCCTCCCTGAGCACCTGCATGTTAACCTGTGATCTCATAACACACCCTCCCTATCTCAGAACACTGTATACATCAGTGCTTGTATAACAAGAGATGTCCATATTGGAATGAATAACGCATCACCAGATCTTAACTAATTCAACACCTGGATTCTCATCAGCATCTGATAAATTCAACTCCCGATCAATAAGAAAATACTGCCATGACCCATTAATATCTGCCAGAATAGTGCTAAAAGTGAGATAATCTCGCTCATAACTAACGCAACATATATAAAAAAGATGCATTGGTTAAAACGTATCTGCTAAATCACCAAGTTGTTAAAGGTGTCTAATATATCATGTCTATGTATTAGGGGTGACTATTGGTCTGGAAATCACTATTGCGATAACTATTGATATTGAAAGAAACTATTGTGATAACTATTGATATTGAAAGAAACTATTGTGATAACTATTGTTATTGCAAGCAAGTATTGCGATAAATATCGATAGTTTTCAGTGTATCATTTTAGATGGATTTTAGAGTTGAATTAAACCTTGGAACTGAAGTTTCCTTTGAATGTGATAACCATAACAACAAATAAAAAGTAAAGTTTGAGATATGACTCATTTGTTTTGTCTTTACCCTAACAATTTAAGAAACTTCCACTTTACCATGCCTGTGTGAATTACTACCACTCATGATAAAAAGAAAAACAAGTTTGACAAGCATTGCATGTATTTATTGATATGGTAAATACAATCGAAACTATCGATATTCCTGACTAAAATCGATACTATTAATCGGAAACTGATTTAACAATCGATTTATTGACTTTAAGTGCTTACCAATAGCAATATATTGAAATTTCGATTTATCGTGACACCCCTACAATGTATAATACTAAAATACAACATATATAGCTAGAAGAGCCCACTGAAATATAGAACATCTCACAGCTTTCATTGTTATCAGCACAACCCGGAAAATTGACAAATGGGGTGCTTATTAAACCCAATAACAACATTAGTTAAATATATTTTCAGAGATTGAGCGGTAGAGAACAAACTTACTTCAAATGGCGATAAACTAAAACTTTTTCAATAAAAGTCTCGAGTAAAACAATCTGTAATATACAGAGGAATGTACAAACTGTTATGTAATCTTCGGTCTTAGAAATTTGGGTGTGGGAACTTGGAGCAGAGTAAAAAATAATAGAATTGGTTCTCAGGCAGTGGCTTTTTAAAATTACTGTGCGGCGGGCGTTGGCATTTTTGGTTGTTGTTCAAGATAGTATGTGACCAAATTTTGTTTACAATAATTTTAGGGAAATCATGTTGTTCTAAGTACTGTAGCATTTCACTGCCGGGGTGGTGTGTTTGAGACGTGGATATTTAGAATTTTAAAAAAAAAAATTAAAATGGAAATAAAGACAAAACGTGTTGCAGACTTTATGATGATTTTATTACGAGAACCAAGACTATTATTTCTTTTTAGTCTAATATGGCGAACACATGTATATGGAATGTAAAAATATATCACAACACTCACGATATATATACATGATATACAGATACAATCATTCATATATCTTTATGTTATTCTATACAAAGTGCAACAAACACAATTACATTTCTGTTTGTAGTAATTTAACTCTGAGACAGATATACATCGGCCGTACACCAGTCCGCAAAACGTAATTCTCCACAGAAATCTCTAGTTTATGCCAGCATGGTAAAACTAACCTAACAATATTAAACTTGTCCATACTAAGTAGGTTAATTACTCAAAGGTGTTGATAGGGGTTCAAAGAAAAGCCCTTAGCAGGCAAATTGGGAAATCATTTTTCCAGAGGTACTTTAATGTTTACTCGTATCACCTAAAGCTAAAGCTTTACAAAAGAGGTAATTATGAATTATGATAACCATCGTAACATGAATTATGAAAATATATATTCCATTTTGTTACTGTCTTTTCCCACAGACTTCGATATTGCAATAAAAATCAAATCCAGCTATAACAGTTACAAGTAATTCAACAAATTTTCAACTAAAAATACATTGTATAATGTCAGCAATCGACAAGTCCACATATTTTCCACTTTAAAAGCTTTCTACAGACCATGCGTAATATTTGACAGTCTGATAGGGCCTCCATTGTAGCAAGAATATGTACAATTATTTACATATAATACAATCTTGAGAGTAAACCTGTACAATTTATACGTTAAAAAGTACAACACTTTTGCAATATGTAATATGAACTAGAAGTACATCAAGGATGGGTAAATAGGTAAAAATATAGACAGTAATATCACAGCTAGCTTGTACAAACCATGTTTGTGATGTGTCTGCAGACACAGAGGAATGAACATTCACACACACACATTAAAATAACTTATAATACTGCATGTAGAGATACCTCGCATACACTCGACCAGCAAAACACTGTCCCAGACACTCATCCCTCATTAGCCAATATAGTGCATCTTAATGTTCAAATATAATTTTTTCAAATCATCATCATCATCATCATCAAAATTACCATTTTCAGCATGAGCACACAAGAGCATCATCATCATCATCATCATCATCATCAACAATTTCGGCATGAGCACACAAGATGCTTATATACTCAAATGCAAAAGTTACTGTGACATGGATTTTTGTATGAACTTGCCTCTGAACCCTCTCTGGTCACATGACACATTTGCATATGATAGGAGTGCTCCTTATATTGACTTGTTAGTTACCATTTCCCCAGACACTGTTCTTTCTATGTTATATAATTCCATACACAGCAGTACAATTGTTTGACCGATCCTCTTTGTGTTTATCACAAGAACTTTTGCCTGAGTATAAAATTGCCAAAGGGGCACTTATTAAAACCATTGTTGTCAGAGATAGTACTGAACAAACTATGGAACATTTTGATAATTGTTACAATATGTAGCCTTATGTGCTACTGTTTTCTGTAAAGAATCTGTAATATACATAAGAAAATATAAACAGTCATGTTAATTTTCAGGGGCATTTATAAAGAGAGTTTACAGATTGGTCTAGAAGTTACGTAGGCACTTACTGGGTTGAATACAGTATACAAGGTATATTGCTGATGAGTTCAAACACTTTTCAAATCCCTATGTCCCCATGTATGACAGCCACAATCCTATTCCAACTATCCATACACACACCCCATTCACACCTGCAACAACACAAATGCTTTAGATAGGCACCAGCGAATGGAAACAACACGCAGACCAGCCGTGACAGGCACAATGAGTCTGCCACCATCACTTCCTGATTGTCATGTGACTTCCTGTTGTGTAACCATGGAGACAGACGATAGATGTTTATCATTTCTTCACATCACTGAAACATGAAAAGTCACCATACATTTCAGTCCCCAGTACTAACATTAAGAGTATGAGGAGATGAAGGGATGTTGAGGTATGGCAACTGCAGCTACAAAGGTATCTCAGTAACTTATCCAGCATAGAGAAACAGCCATAGGGGATATTCTGGGTAGGGGCTAGGATTTATTGAAAAAGAATTACATTTCGCCAAAAATTCTTAAAAAAATAATTTTGCTTCAGACCGTTGAAAAAAAGTTTGTTTTTATTATTATCAATTCCTTTTCTAAACTACATGTGTATCCCAACATTTTCATAATTATAACTATATTTTCATAATCATCACTATATTTTCATAGTTATTACCATATTTTCATAATTATCCCATTTTAAACTTAATTCATTTTCATAATTATCACACTATTTTCATAATTATAACATTATTTTCATAACCATCAATTCATTTTCAAATTTATCATTATTTTCATAAATATAATTTTCATATTGATATAAATTGCAATTGCAAATGGCAAACATTGACAAGCGATATAAATCTCCCAAAAGGACACTTATAAAAGATTTCTAACTTGGTTTGATTTAACTTTGGAGTCATTAGAAACCAGGGTTTGAAGCAAATGTTGGTCTGACATTAATGCCTCTCAAGGTTAGACGCATGAAAAAGAACAGAGCAAAATGTCTGAGGATGAATCCTGCAGGGTTTATTTTTTAATGACCTAACATTTAATAAAATTAAGAAGTTTATTATATAATAAATTGAAAACAAATACAAAAGTGGACACATTGAAACAAGATTAATATCATTTTGATCAAAATATCTATTGCCAAGAGGTGTACTGATACACCTTCAAAACGAGGCGTTGATCTTTCACTAGTTTTAGACAAACTGTTGACAGTGAAGAAAAGATACCCAACCTAAACATTTTCTATTCTTTCGTTGCAATTCATACGGTCAGAAATGTGCAAAGGAATTACCCCAAATTTCATTAAAGTATCCAGATTATGAATTGAATTTTCCAAAACATGTTAAATTTTGTCTGCTATGATCAGAGAATTTGTTTATTACATACATTATTAATTCATCATACTTACAATCTCTTTCGGGTATCAGTGGACTAAGTCTTTCAGATGACCTTGACCTTGACCTTCGATTTGCCAGATAGCTAAACCGACTTCTTGGACTTTGAGAGTTATTCCGAGACTGGAAAGCAGAATTCAGTTTTGAGTAACAAGAACAATGCATGTTCTTCACAAAAGATTTGAGATGATGACAATTCCTGTCTAAATGAATCACTAGTCTTCTGAAGGGTTTTGAACCCTTAATGCAAACTTATGCAGAAAGTTTTGGAAGATTATTTACGATGATTTAAACAAAGCTGCAAAATGCAACCACAGCCACATAAGAACTTACATAAGGTGACCTTGGTGGTGAGTTTGACCTTGACCTTGTCAACTCATGTATTGCGTGAATATCTGATGAGAGATGGTTGTTGTTGTTGAAAAGCACTTCCTGTAGTGTGTTGAGCTTGCGTTTGAGACTTTCAATGGTGCCCTCGGACTGCAGTCGCGTTGACTCCATCGACTCCGCGTGCCGGAGCATCTGTTGTCTCAGCTGATGCTGGAAGGGCAGCAGACCATATACATGTGAGGAGGCCAAACTTCAAACAGGTGAAAAAACTTCGGGGCCACCACATAATCATCGTCTCGAGGCAAGCGTGTCCACTAGCCTATATCAGAACCTAGTTTCTACCATCTGTCCGAGACAAGCGTGTCCACTAGCCTATTTCAAAGCCTAGTTTCTACCATCTCCCCGAGGCAAGTGTGTCCACTAGCCTATTTCAAAGCCTAGTTTCTACCATCTCCCCGAGGCAAGTGTGTCCACTAGCTTATATCAGGACCTAGTTTCTACCATCGTCCCGAGGTAATCGTGTCCACTAGCCTATATCAAAGCCTAGTTTCTACATCTCCCCGAGGTAATCGTGTCCACTAGCCTATATCAGAACCTAGTTTCTACCATCTCCCCGAGGCAAGCGTGTCCACTAGCCTGTATCAAAGCCTAGTTTCTACATCTCCCCGAGGCAAGCGTGTCCACTAGCCTATATCAGGACCTAGTTTCTACCATCTACCCGAGGTAATCGTGTCCACTAGCCTATATCAAAGCCTAGTTTCTACCATCTTCCCGAGGCAAGTGTGTCCACTAGCCTATGTCAGGACCTAGTTTCTACCATCTCCCCGTGGCAAGCGTGTCCACTAGCCTATATCAGAACCTAGGTTCTACCATCTCCCCGAGGCAAGCGTGTCCAATAGCCTATATCAGGACCTAGTTTCTACCATCTCCCCGAGGCAAGCGTGTCCAATAGCCTATATCAGGACCTAGTTTCTACCATCTCCCCGTGGCAAGCGTGTCCACAAGCCTATATCAGGACCTAGTTTCTACCTTCTCCCCGAGACAAGCGTGTCCACTAGCCAATATCAAAGCCTAGTTTCTACCATCTCCCCGAGGCAAGCGTGTCCACTAGCCTATATCAAAGCCTAGTTTCTACCATCTCCACGAGGCAAGGGTGTCCACTAGCCTATATCAGGACCTAGTTTCTACAATCGCCCCGAGGCAAGCGTGTCCACTAGCCTATATGAATGCCTAGTTGCTACCCTTGTCCCATCAAGGCCACTTTCTCATGTGCCCCAAGTAATGAAAACGATATATCCAATCAGATCGCTGTTATCTCGTATAGCTTCACAAAGATGGCGACTACCTAGTCGATCAGATAATGAAAACATTTGCTATTTCATCACTGACACAACAATAAAGGCAATCCTTGGGTGGGGGGGTAAAAGATGAAAGAGACATATTTGAATCATCAAAGACAGACAGCGGTAAATCACTTTCATACAAAGGTGTATCAGTCGTGGATGTTGATTTTGTGAAAAGTTCTCATATTTATCACAGGAAATTGGGCTTGATGTGGCAAGGGTGGAAACAAGACTTTGATAAAAAGGCAAGGGAACGCTCTTGCCTCGGGAAGATGCCAGATAATATTCGGGACCAGGGTTTACTTCGTATACTTACTGTAAATCTTGAAATGCTCCCATTAATTATAGTTCGCATTTATGTCTCCAAAATGACTATCAACAATAAGACAGCCCCACTGCACACTTTAGACAGCAAAAATAACAACCTATCGACGCTTGGTATGAAATTCATTTGCCACTCTAAAAGTATATTGAAGGGGGCGGTCGGGTAGCCTAGTGGTTAAAGTGTTCAGTTGTCACGCCGAAGACCCGGATTTCGATTCCCGACATGGGTACAATGTGTGAAGCCCATTTCTGGTCTCCCCCGCCGTGATATTGCTGGAATATTGCTAAACTTAAAGTTATATCATAGAAACATTACTTTTAAGTGACAACTAGCTCGCTCATTGTTAATACATGATAACAGTAATTCTTATAGATCTACGAGAACTTGCAGACCACAAGCATAACTGTACTCACTCTGAGATAGTCTTGTTCTTCCAGGAGCTTGTCTTTCAGGGCCTCCTTCCTCCACTCCTCTCGGAACGATATCGACACATCACGCCGAGACAATCGGTTCTCCTTATTGTCTGTGCGGTTGTCCGTCTGCAAAAAAATTATGAAATAAAGAATTGGAAGACCTGGCAGCGGATATCCCCAGTCTGCTGGTTCAAAGAGCAGCAGTCTTACTTCATCAATAAACGGGACCATCCATGACATAAGGGACCCTATGGGGGAAAAATCACATTTTAACTAGGGCTGTTACGATGCACTTCGGTGAATTGAACCGTATCCATTCATGAATTGAATTCGTTATTCGTGGCCACTAAATTCAAATAATTATGAATATGCAAGCATGTGCATTTACATAAAAATATCCATAAGAATATATTATATGCATAGATTTCTTCAAAATACAACACTCTATACTATTTAATTTGACAGTATTGCGGTCACTGGTCATTGTCGCATTTGAGCAGATACTAGTACCTGGACAAGTGCAGTATATAAATGTATAAGATATTATTAATTAACAAACCATGTCAAATAATTTATGTTGTTAATGTTTCACTGAATACAACAAATAATACATACTGCTGACTTATTATTGTATTCGTTGTATTCGTAGTCGTTACCCTATATTCGTGATACGAATCGTATTTGCCTCATAGTGTATTCATTGCAGCCCAAATTTTGACTTTTCATTATGTTTTAAAACTATAGTATTTTACTGAACCCATGATCAGAGATGCAACGCAGCACAGCGAATTGTGATGCGTTATGCAACTGCGTCTCCTCACGCTGCCAATCAGACGTCTTGTTTTTAACATTAGGATCCCCTGCCAACCCTGGTGCAGTGCCTGGGTCAGTCCGTTTGGGTTTTGACCTGGACGATCTCTAGCTCTCACGTAGCTGCCAAGGTAATCCCAAACTAGCTCAAGTGGGTTCACAGGATTTGTCATTATTTTTCAGAATTGAATTTTGAATCAGGCTGTGCTTGATTAATGTTCAAGTGTACAGTCCAATTAGGGGTTTTTCACAAACAGTGTGAGAATCAGTATAATTAGCCATCCAGAGTGCAGAAAACCATTCCTCGATGAAAACTACCAAAGCTCATTTCTTGTTCAACATGGCTGTTTGGGTGACAGAGTTCTTATAACTTGAAGGCTCACAGGTCACGGTGTTCTGTGAACAGGATCATTAATCACTACGCCATTCAAGGATCTTTGATACAAGGAATAGCATCTTAACATGTAACTCATGAAAATGCTTAATCAACATTCTTTCATTCAGGCTGATTTCAAAGCAAAAGCAAAGCAAAGCAAAGCAAAGCAAAGCAAAGCAAAGCAAAGCAAAGAGGTCAGAAAAGCGGTGACAAAGTCATTCATAAAATATGACAATATTCATTTTTATTTTTTCCCCATTTTCTAAGAATTCTGGTCAGAGGAACTGCAAACCAAATAACAGTAAAAGAGGCCAAAGTGAGACTTCAGTTTCTGGGGGGAGACAGGTCTGTAATAAGGTCTCACTGAATCAAGAGAGACTGAATCACTGTGGTTAACAACAGCGCGATACACAAAAGCTGACTGGCAACGCAACTGTCAGTTTGTGTTAGTAGATGGAAGCATGTCCACTGTCCTTCAGACCCGATCTGGGGTAGAATAGGTCTTCAGCAACCCATGCTTGCCATAAAAGGCAACTATGCCTGTCGTAAGGGGCGAATAACGGGATGAGTGAGGCTCGCTGACTTGGTTGATCCATGTCATCGTATCCCAATTGCGTGGATTGATGCTCATGATGTCAAACACTGGATTGTCTGGTCCAGACTCGATTATTTACAGACCACCGTCATATAGCTGGAATATTGCTGAGTGTGGCGTTAAACAACAAATAAACAAACAAACAAAAACACTGTCCTGCACCTCAGTCTCAAGCATGTGTCTAATGTCCAGCATGTGTGCCTGCAGGCGAGACTGGACCTCCAGAGGGTGCAAGCTGGGCGTGGCAGGGGCGGGGCCAGGATCGGGAGTTGGGTCCTGGAAGCAGGCAATATGTCAGGCAAACAGTTTGGAGTGGTGAAGCATGTTAAGAGATACGACATTGAAAGAAGAGGGGTCATGTAGATTGCTGCATCATTTTCATCTTGATGATAAAAAAAAAACTCTATCCCTCGGAAGTTGGGATCATCTATCTGTCAGTATATTAAGTAATGGGGTGACATTTTCCAACAATACAGCTGGATTCTGTGAGCTAAGACCGTCTCGTTCTCAGGCAATTCCAAGCAACCCATGCTTGCCGTAAAAGGCGACTATGCTGGTCTTAAGAGACGACTAACGGATCAGGTGATCAGGCTTTTTGACTTGGTTGAGGCAAGGCATCGTATCCTAATTGCATGGAACGATGCTCATGATGTCAATCACTGGATTGACTCCATTATTTACAGACCGCCATCATATAGCTGGAATATTGCTGAGTACGGCGTTAAACAACAAACAAATCAGGCAATTCCAAAACAGTTGTTTATGAACATTATCCACTTTCAATAAGGATACGTTTTTACCTTCCTATGATAAACAAAAATGATTCTCATAATATTTTAAGTGTATATTTAAATGCATTGATATATCTGATATCTGCCTAGTTCTGGCATTGATAAGATGGGTCACTTGTCCACTCGTTCTGGCATTGATAAGATGGGTGACTTGTCCACTAGTTCGGGTATTGATAAGATAAATGTGCTTCAACAATTCATAAAATCATGTCATAAATTATCTCCCTTGTGAAATGAAAGGGTAAGTCCCTTCTCAAGGTTCTTAAATAAAATTGGGAGTAAAAATCCAGAATTCTTCATAGCCTGTATGTATTTGCATAAAAAATGAAGGTTACAAATACTGTCTGCTAGAAGTCTGTAAATTAACATATGATAGAAAGTCCTGCAAAAGTAGAGTATTTGAGGAGTAAAATACTGCTGAGGGGGTACTCATGATACAACTGTGCGGTGAGTACGCGTGATATGATACAACTGTGCGGTGAGTACACATGATATGATACAACTGTGCGGTGAGTACACATGATATGATACAACTGTGAGGTGAGTACACATGATATGATACAACTGTGCGGTGAGTACACATGATATGGTACAACTGTGAGGTGAGTACACATGATACGATACAACTGTGAGGTGAGTACACATGATATGATACAACTGTGCGGTGAGTACACATGATATGATACAACTGTGAGGTGAGTACACATGATATGATACAACTGTGAGGTGAGTACACATGATATGGTACAACTGTGAGGTGAGTACACGTGATAAGATACATGAGGTGAGTAGACGTGATATGATACAACTGTGCAGTGAGTACGTGTAATAAGATACAACTGTGAGGTGGGTACACGTGATATGAGTGATATACACATGCTTGGTGTGTACTCACATCTGATTGGTCGGAATCGTGTGAGTCTGATGGTGTATTACTCTCAGGGTGTGGGAGTGACTGGGTCTGCTCGCGTGTTCTAAGCGCCTCCTCTAGTGTAACCAGCCTTATGTTTAACATGTCCTGAGACAACAGCTGAAAGTAACCAGGCCACACATCACCAGGGAGGATGGATTCCTAGTGCCAAGTGAGTGAGTGAGTTGGGTTTAACACTGCTTTTAACAATATTCCAGTTATATCACGGCGTGTCAGCTTAATGTGGGAGGAAAGCCCGAAGTGATGCAGGGTCTACTTCGGTGAAACCCACAAGCACGGGTATGGTGCTGACAAACCTAGAAACATAATTGGGGTGAACCGGTATTCAAACCCACAATCATAGGTTTCTGGCGTGTCCAAGGGACACAACTCTACAAACCATTACTTTAATTACATACACTATCCTACATGGCTCACACAAGCATTACTGTAATTAAATACACTATCCTACAGGAATTACATAAGCATTACTGTAACTAAACTATCCTACATGGCTTACACAAGCATGACTGTTACTACATACACTATCCTACATGGCTCACACAAGCATTACTGTAATTAAATACACTATCCTACAGGAATTACATAAGCATTACTGTAACTAAACTATCCTACGTGGCTTACACAAGCATCAATGTGGTTGTGACAGAATTGAAACAAAAGGCTTGAGGCGTAAACTAGAGCCAGCGGCCATTTTATAGATCCACTCAACACAGAAACATGAAGCATATTTCTAACCTGCTTCTTAGTACTAAGGACCTCTCTCTTTAACCTGGAGAGGTCATCATTCAACCGATTGGCTCGGTTATAATGTTCCTCCGCAATATCCTGGAGCTCCGAAACTTGACCTGTTGACCTAGACTGCATCAAGGCCATCTCCTGACCAAAAGAAATGTCTCATTATTTTCAGGTGTCAGACTCTGCTGCCTACTCAATGTCTCATTAGTTTCTGGTGTCACATTCTGCTGCCTACTCAATGTCTCATTATTTTCTGGTGTCAGACTCTGCTGCCTGCTGAATGTCTCATTCGTTTCTGGTGTCAGACTCTGCTGCCTACTCAATGTCTCATTAGTTTCTGGTGTCAGACCCTGCTGCCTACTCAATGTCTCATTAGTTTCTGGTGTCACATTCTGCTGCCTACTCAATGTCTCATTAGTTTCTGGTGTCAGACTCTGCTGCCTGCTCAATGTCTCATTAGTTTCTGGTGTCAGACTCTGCTGCCTACTCAATGTCTCATTAGTTTCTGGTGTCAGACCCTGCTGCCTACTCAATGTCTCATTAGTTTCTGGTGTCAGACTCTGCTGCCTACTCAATGTCTCATTAGTTTCTGGTGTCACATTCTGCTGCCTACTCAATGTCTCATTAGTTTCTGGTGTCAGACCCTGCTGCCTACTCAATGTCTCATTAGTTCCTGGTGTCACATTCTGCTGCCTACTCAATGTCTCATTCGTTTCTGGTGTCAGACCCTGCTGCCTACTCAATGTCTCATTAGTTTCTGGTGTCAGACCCTGCTGCCTACTCAATGTCTCATTAGTTTCTGGTGTCAGACCCTGCTGCCTGCTGAATGTCTCATTAGTTTCTGGTGTCATACTCTGCTGCCTACTCAATGTCTCATTAGTTTCTGGTGTCATACTCTGCTGCCTACTCAATGTCTCATTAGTTTCTGGTGTCAGACCCTGCTGCCTACTCAGTGTCAATAAGGACAAGTTGTACTTGGCATAAGTTGATAATCTTTTAAGTGCATCAGGGACAATTCAACAGTAAACCATCTGTCTCTACCCAATCTACAGTAAAAGATTTCTGTCTCTACCCAATCTACAGTAAAAGATTTCTGTCTCTACCCAATCTACAGTGAAGGATCTGTCTCTACCTAATCTACAGTAAAGGATGTCTGTAGCTCTACCAAATGCACAGTAAAGGATTTCTGTCTCTAACCAATCTACAGTAAAAGATTTCTGTCTTTACCCCATTTACAGTAAAGGATTTGTCTCTACCCAATCTACAGTAAAGGATTTCTGTCTCAACCAAATCTACAGTAAAGGATGTCTGTCTCTACCCAATCTACTGTGAAGCATCTGTCTCTACCAAATTTACAGCAAAGGATCTGTGGAGTTAATGTGGAGTAAAGGATCTCTGTCTCTCTGACCCCTTTCTAGAGTAAAGTATCACCTAAAAGTTCTACTCCATCTACAAGTGATTGCTACACAATCAGTAAGCTCTGGTACCTGTTTTGTCGTCTCTAGATGTTCCTGCACGTCTCGCAGTGTGTTCTGGAGCTCTGCTCTCTCGGTGTTCAGGCGTTCCTGTTCCTGGGGACATCCACGGCACTTTAGTCACTTTAGTCACTTTAGCCACACAGCTCAATGTCTAACATAGTGAACAGGTCCTACATCCATGGCACTTTAGCCACACAGCTCAATGTCTAACATGGAGAACTGGTCCTACATCCAAGGCACTTTAGCCACACAGCTCAATGTCTAACATGGTGACCAGGTCCTACATCCAAGGCACTTTAGCCACACAGCTCAATGTCTAACATGGTGACAAGGTCCTACATCCATGGCACTTTAGCCACATAGCTCAATGTCTGACATGGTGACCAGGTCCTACATCCATGGCACTTTAGCCACACAGCTCAATGTCTAATATGGAGAACAGATCCTACATCCATGGCACTTTAGCCACACACCTCAATGTCTAACTTGGTGACCAGGTCCTACATCCATGGCACTTTGGCCACACAGCTCAATGTCTAACATGGTGAAAATATTCGAGTCTGGACCAGACAATCCAGTGATTGACATCATGGGCATCGATCCACACAATTGGGATAAGATGACATGCATCAACAAGGTCAGCGAGCCTGACTACCTGATCCTGTTAGTTGCCTCTTACGACAGTCATAGTCGCCTTTTATGGCAAGCATGGGTTGTTGAAGACCTATTCTAACCCGGATCTTCACGGGAACACAAGGGAATGAGGAAGGTGTGATGTGGACCTTAGTACTTCTGCATCAACACCACAACACCCACACAGGCTTCACAAGCAATAAACACAGGGAGCTAAACTCAGAATTTATGTATGACAAGAAAATGCCTTCACCAATCAGCAACCCCATTGTGACCCACCAGAGGTAGACACTGTTGGTCAAATCCAACAAGTCTTCAGTTCATTTTGGACTAGTGGATTATGTTAAGTAGATAGGACTGGTACTGTGGTAGAAATCAACCAGGGGGTCGTTGTACAGAGCGATCTTAGCGCTAAGGTGATCGTAACTCCCATACCTCAACATAGACTTACGACAGTCATAGGGCTAAGGTTGTTTTGCACAATGGCACCCAGTACCTCTAGATTTCCACGGACAAGAGACTGTGTCTGTCCCTGCCTGTACAATACAATCAATACCTAACAGAGTCCTTGGTATGCACCTGTTCACAAACATCTTTTAGTTGACACACAATTATTCTCATAACACACGTGATAGATTTAGCAGACATATACAGGAACACTCAATCATTCCTTAGGTCAGAGAAATTACTTCTGTTTCATTTGATTTCCTTTGTCAATATGTTGTTTTTGGGGGTTCTTTTTGTTTGTTGTTTAACGCCGCACTCAGCAATATTCCAGCTATATGACAGCGGTCTGTAAATAATCAAGTCTTGACCAGACAATCCAGTGATTGACATCATGAGCATCGATCTACGCAATTAGGATATGATGACATGGATCAACCAAGTCAGCCAGCCTGACCACCCAAATTCTGTTAGTCGCCTCTTACGACAAGCATAGTCGCTCTTTATGGCAAGCATGGGTTGCTGAAGACCTATTCTCAGATGTTCACGGGGCCTTTGTCAATAGGTCAAAATGCACATGGAATGTTTTGTTGTTGCCAGGGTTAATATAGGATTAATTTCATAAATACAAAATAACATAGAAATGAAAATGCCAAGAAGTAGGTGACCCAACAGGCACATTACAAACCCCTGACACCATGTTAATAATGTCCTTGTGTCGATTACCTTTACAACATCGGGGCAGGGTAATCTGTAAAACTAGAACAATTTGTCTGGCCTAAGAAAGTTAGTGGCAAATCACGGAGGGCAATCCCCAAGATATATGTGTGGGTAGACCTCATTGATGTCTGACCTCAGAATGTTAGTGGCAAATCCAGAGGGCAACTCCCCTGTTTCATGTGTGGACTGACCTCATTGGTGTCTTGTCTTAGTTTCTGCAGTTCCTCGTAGGACATGGTCAACGCTTTAGCCAGCTCCTTCTTCTCGTCATTCCGATCACTCACCTCCCGCTCTGCAGGAACAGGAAGTATTATGTAACACGCATGAAATACTCATATTGCCACCAATATGACATGTCCGGTTGTGTGCAAGGCAAGAAATATTGTAGATTTTTCAAGATCTGCTCCGGAAAGTAGCACAACCACCATTTTCAGTCTAAATCAATGTCGTTGCCAGTGAAACTCGAAAAATAATTTTTTTTTAAATCCGAAACTGTCAAAAGGCACCAGTTCACCACTAGACCTACCTATGTGCCAAGTTTAGTTAAGATATCTCTCATGGTTTTTGAGTTCTGCAAGGACTATCCTGGATATTTTTACCTATGAAAGAAAATCTCCCCTGGTCCAAAAGCACTGAGATTTTTTGGTGTGTGATGAGATTTTGCTAATATTCAGAGATATTTCATCTTCACACGGGGGAAACTGTATTTGATTTTTGGTACTTGTGACACAAATAATGTTGCAAGTAATATTACTAGATTATATAGATATATCCTCGGATATCCTATTTTCGAACATTAATTATTCCACTGCGAATACATGTATTTAAAAATATTAGCATTAGCATTAATTACATTCGACTTATATTTCTCTTCATTGTCAACTTTAAGGAGAAAATTACACTAATATTTATGTATTTCTGTTCATTGTCGAATTGATGGGGAATTATTCGCGAGGACAATTATAGATCGTTTGGGAGGCATGTTTACCACCATCAGCTGTTCATTTCGTTGGCATGCAGGAGACAACAATCTGCAGTTATCAAATTTCGACAATGTGTGTTTAGATCGTAATTCAATATATTTAGAGTGATGACATGAAATAGCTACTGTTGTAAATGGTATTACAGTTTGTTGGGTAAAAAAACATTATTTACATTCCAGTGCTTTCGTCAATTTTGCCGTCTTATTTCCGTCTGAAGTGTATCAAATGAAATCTTATCAATATGGACTTTTCAGTTAATTAGAAGTGACAGTTCATTTTACAATGACTATTGCTCCAGGTTCATGCTCTTGTTTAATTAGCAACAATTAAGTCATTTATTTCACACAGAAGGCAGCGTGTTTGCCATGTGCAGCAGCCAGAAAATGTTTACTAGTAACCAGAAGTTGAAAAGACTGTTGACATTCACGATATTTAAGAGTTACATTTGAGAGATTAAGTCACAGTTTTCAAGTTTTATGGACAAATTTGGAAGCAAACGTATCGTAGCATATTCTAAAAAATCTAAATCCAACTTCCTGTTTGGCCACACAATAACATGTAAATACATCAAATACCATGTAAAAAAAACCATATTTATCATATAATGGGTATGTTTCTTGGCAGGATAAAGCCAACAGATAAAAACGATATCTGTTGGGGTCATATGCGGATAGAGATGCAAATATCAAAGGTCAAGTAGGACTACTTTCACTGTTTATAAACAAACATGGCGTCACCCTCGTCATTCGGCGATCGAGTCAGAATTAACCATCGGGAATCTGGATAAACTACAGGGATAATTGCTATCATTATCAAAAGAACAGTCTAATATACTGAAAATCAGTGTCTAACTGTGACGTGGCTAAGGCATTTTATAAGTTTTGGCAACTTTGGAGATATCTATAAATTTCGAAACAATTTTGCAAGGGCACGAGGCCTAGCCAAGCGGGATCAGTAGCCATATGTGCTTGTAGACCTCTGCGGCTTGAAACCTTCTCCACAAATCAAAATAGTTGGATTTGGCCGAAATATGTTTGAATTGTTACCTTGTTTCATTGTGTCGCTGTGTGTACATCTGACTACACTTCTTAACGTTATGACAGGACAGACAGACTGTCAACAACGTCTGACCGTGGAGGTGACGTCTCATAGACAAGGGTTAGAGTAGCTTCCCTTTGACAAAGGGCAGTTACTCTAGCGGACAGACCGATGGATTGCCGCGAAAGGCAATTAAAAAGAACTGTTGTTTTGCGTATATGTTGCTTTGCCACTGTATAAGAAACAGATTTCAGTTGGAACTATATTGGCTACTGTCACTGTCCGACTGACACATCACTTACCCTGTGACGTAATAAATATTAATGCGCGCATTCCAGGAAAACTCGCAATGTTTCGGTAATGTTTGTGAGAGAGGGAAAGCGATTTTAAAGCACAGAATTAAAGAATGACATTATATGATAAAGAGGTTTTCACGTTTGTGTGTTTGGGGATGGTAAATATCCTGCATTAGGAATAAACACTATGTATTTAGCTGCAGTGATATAGGAATCAGTTATGCACAGTAAGAGATAGCATGCAATGTTTTGAGTATGCAAAATCACTGTTTCGATTTTAATTTTGACGATTGAATAAACTAGCGTGTAAGTTTTTTATTGACATTTTTAGGTACCATTAATAAATTTATTCAAGCAATACAACATTTTTGATTTTTGTAGGTGAAAATGAGAGTGTTAATGTAGATAAAACTATTGAAAGATCTACAGATTTTCAATTGTGCTAATTAAATGTAAAAAAATTAATATCATTAAAGAGGCGGTAAAAAATGTTGAAATCTCACACAGAAAAAACAAGAACAAACTTGCTCTTTATATGGAAAATTCATACTTGTGTATGTTTAGACAGTAAAACCATTATTATTCTGGTCACTGTAACTGTAGTAAGGTGAGTGAGTATGTTTTATGCCGCTTTTAGGAACATTCCAACAATATCACGGCGGGGGACACCAGAAATGGGCTTCACACATTGTACCCATGTCGGGAATCAAACTCGGGTCTTCGGCGTGACGAGCGGACACTTTAACCACAAGGCTACCCGTCTGCCCCCACAGTGAAGACATACATGTATATGCATTCATAACGCATAACATACATGGCTCTTTATTGTATTGGCAGAAAGTGGTTCAAAATATCGTAATAATTCTAAAAACATCTCAATAGTTGGCATCTATGTTGAGTGGTTGCGGCAACAAAAAATTAGACACACAAATATTTTACAAAGGACTAAAAGACACCATGAAGATCTCCCGATGACCCTCCACAGGTAAACTATCACCATGGTGTTTACAACCCCTGATTGTTCAACTACCAAGATAACATGACGTTGGCAGATAACGTTTTTCATAAGCATAGTCTTGATTAAACAAAAGAATAAATAAATTTTGCTTCAGGTTCTAAAAAAGGAATATATTCACAAGATGTTCTGAAAAAAAGGTCACAGAACCTGTTTGGATTCTACTGGAAAAAAAAAATTGAATGTCTAGAAGAAATAGGCAAAATATTTGGTCTCCTAAAAAATGCCAGTTGGTCCCTAATCTGATATCATCTTTCCAGTAATGTCTTACCTAGCTCTTTGATCTTTTTATCCATCTCCACAAACTTTTCCCCGCTGTCCCTGATGTCAGTGGCTTCGGTCTACAATACAAATGTCTACATCAATCAACTGTGCTTCCATGATGTTACCCTACCTCAATCCATGTGTTCAGATCAAACCAGCAGTGTCGAAACGAGACGGAGATCCTGAATTAGCTCTCCGTCAAGTGTCTGGATGTTGTAAAATACAACATAATACTCGTATCATGTTGAGGCAGTGAGGCTAAAAAAACAACTCTTGGTTCTCAGGCATCGCCTGCATCATCCTAAAGTTCACGTTTCATTTTTATTTCCATTTAAAAAAAAAAAAAAAAATCCTTAAATATTCCAAGTCCAATGGTAGTCAAATACTTTATTCCAGTATTTTACTCATCAAGAAATACGTTTTCCAGGTTGATTGTACACAACTGTTTATTGGTTACACAACTGTTTATTTGGCTACACAACTGTTTATTGGTTACACAACTGTTTATTTGGTTTCACAACTGTTTATTGGTTACACAACTGTTTATTGGTTACACAACTGTTTATTTGGTTACACAACTGTTTATTTGGTTACATAACTGTTTATTTGGTTACACAACTGTTTATTTGGTTACACAACTGTTTATTTGGTTACACAACTGTTTATTTGGTTACACAACTGTTTATTGGTTACACAACCTTTTATTTGGTTCCATAACTGTTTATTTGGTTCCATAACTGTTTATTTGGTTACACAACTGTTTATTGGTCACACAACTGTTTATTGGTTACACAACTGTTTATTTGGTTCCATAACTGTTTATTTGGTTACATAACTGTTTATTTGGTTACACAACTGTTTATTTGGTTACACAACTGTTTATTGGTTACACAACTGTTTATTTGGTTTCACAACTGTTTATTGGTTACACAACTGTTTATTGGTTACACAACTGTTTATTTGGTTACACAACTGTTTATTTGGTTACACAACTGTTTATTTGGTTACACAACTGTTTATTGGTTACACAACTGTTTATTTGGTTCCATAACTGTTTATTTGGTTATATAACTGTTTATTTGGTTACATAACTGTTTATTTGGTTACACAACTGTTTATTTGGTTACACAACTGTTTATTTGGTTACACAACTGTTTATTGGTTACACAACTGTTTATTTGTTACACAACTGTTTATTTGGTTACACAACTGTTTATTTGGTTATACAACTGTATATTTGGTTACATAACTGTTTATTTGGTTACACAACTGTTTATTGGTTACACAACTGTTTATTGGTTACACAACTGTTTATTTGGTTCCATAACTGTTTATTTGGTTACACAACTATTATTTGGTTACATAACTGTTTATTTGTTACACAACTGATTATTTGGTTACACAACTGTTTATTGGTTACACAACTGTTTATTTGTTACACAACTGTTTATTTGGTTACACAACTGTTTATTGGTTACACAACTGTTTATTTGGTTACACAACTGTTTATTTGGTTACACAACTGTTTATTGGTTACACAACTGTTTATTTGGTTACACAACTGTTTATTGGTTACACAACTGTTTATTTGGTTACACAACTGTTTATTGGTTACACAACTGTTTATTGGTTACACAACTGTTTATTTGGTTTCACAACTGTTTATTTGGTTACACAACTGTTTATTTGGTTAGGCAACAGTTTATTGGTTACATACTACCTGAAATTGTAATATAAAACATCCCTCATGCAGTAATCGCAGCATCCAAGGAAGGACGAAGTTACTTTGACTTTGTTCTGCTCAGTTTGCATGTGTTCTCTTGAGCAGGTCGGATGTGGTAGTTTGAACATAAAAAAAAAAAGAAGTAAATAAATAAATAAAAAAAAATAAAAAATACACTTCCCGCTGCACTATATTTTCTAAAGCCACTGCCTGAGAACCAATTCTTTTATTTTTAAGCCTTATACATGATACAAGATACAACAGATGATACACAATACAATTCATGGCCAATGGCGCCATAGAAGGTACCTCAAAGGACAACGTATGATTTGGGCTCTTGTTGGCTCCCATGATCTGCCTAATTTAAGATGTATGCAAAACTTGTAGAAGCTGTTATGACAGATATGTATCTTCACAAAGACGAACAAGACTTGTCTAAATGTACATGCAGTGCTGGAGTTTAAAAGGCTGATTTTTCATCTTTGGACTTGAGTGAGTCTTTGATCAAGGCTGATTTTGTTAGAACTTACATGAAACAGTACAAATATACGGCATAAAAATCATCATGGGTCACAGAGTTGCTCATACTTTGATTTTGTCTTAAAGTTCGACCAATCAACCTTTATCACTCATTTTATCCATACATTGTTTTGCTTCTTAAAACTAGTATGTAACCAAATAAACAGCTGTGTACCATCAACCTCGGAAAGGGCCTCCCTACATAAACAAGCGTACAAACTCCTATTGCGGCAATGACCATAACACGAGATGCGCAGTATAGCATTGTGCATGTAAAGGGCACTAGCTGTGCACTATACTGAATCACATTCTTTTAAATATTTGGATTTTTTTTTTAAATAGAAATACAAACGAAATGTGGGGCAGACTTTACGATGATGCGGGCAGTGCTTGAGAACAAAGACTTTTATTTTTTTAGCCTTAAAGTTGAAATTTTTCGCTGGACCCAAAAGCCCCTAATCATACTTTGTCCTTTCTCATCATAAAGAACTGTATTGGGGTACTACTGCTAATCACTGAAAGTTAATCGTAACAGCTCCAAACTTCAACTGGCCTTCTGTTACAGACTGATACACATACCGTAGTTCATGTGTTTAGTGCCTCTCTTATTAGTTCATCATAACACATAGTCATATTCACAAACATGAACTAAAGCCACATTCCTTTTCTTTCAGATTACTTACGGATGACCTGAAGCTTAAAACAAAAACAAAAACAAAAAACAGCCAAAAACAACAAAACAATAATTTCATCTGGAAAAATTACAAAATTAGAAGAAATCCCAAATCCATAGTTCTACAAAACTCAACACAACACCAGCTACAAAAGTCAAACTGATAAAATAGACTGTGTGGTCTTGACTCTTAAATACAAAGTAAATATGAAATCTAAGTAGGTTTAGCATTTTCTTTTGCACTGATGTACCGACCATCAAAATCAAAAATTTCATTTTAAGAGATCTATATAAAACATAACAAAAATTATTCAGAAACTAAATTTTACTTTATTTCAACCCACCTATTAAAGCTAAAAAAAAAATTAAACTAAAACATAAATACATAGTGTTGCCTAATGACATTTTTAACATTGTAAATAATTTTTTCAAGAATAAGCACAAAATCTAGTTCTATACTGTTGTAGATAAAACAAGCACGTGATACACAAGCACTGATACTCAGACTTGTGGTACAAGAAGCATGTGGTACACAAGCACATGGTACACAAGCACATGGTACACAAGCACATGGTACACAAGCACGTGATATCGATCCAGTCCACCTGCACCTGACCCGGGGAACAAACCTTGAGGGAGTTGATCTCCTGCGTGACTGACGCCAGCTCCTCGTGTTTCGTGTTCAGCTCACTATGCAGCGTGTCCAACTCTATGTTAGCGTTACTGACAAGCTACGTGACGGAAATAAACCAAAAAAGAAACAAAATGTTAATACATCTAAAACTACTGCTAGCTTGGCTCGGGACGCTTTCATGCACATGCAGCAAGGGGGGGTAACTCTCATGGGGCATGTCAACACGGTGGCATGGAGACTAATATTCAAGCACATTCTATGGTGTATTTGTCGCGGGATTTGATACGGCTCAAAGCACAAGGGATGGAATTATAAGGAAGGCGACGATACGTATCTTGATACACTGCCTACAATACGATATATACCTTGACACACTGGCATTGATACGTTATGTATCTCGATACATTGGTCCTACAAAACTCATCTCGATACACTGGCAACGATACAATATGTATCTTGTTCCGCAGTCACGATATATGTATGTCGATACTCTGTTCACAATACAATACACTGGTCACAATATGATATGTATGTCATTACTCTGTTTACAATACGATACGCATGTCGATACTCTGTTTACAATACAATACGTATGTCGATACTCTGTTTACAATACGATACGTATGTTGATACTGTTTACAATACAATACGTATGTCGATACTCTGTTTACAATACGATACGCATGTCGATACTGTTTACAATACAATACGTATGTCGATACTCTGTTTACAATACAATATGTATGTCGATACTCTGTTTACAATACAATACGTGTGTCGATACTCTGTTTACAATACGATACGCATGTCGATACTGTTTACAATACAATACGTATGTCGATACTCTGTTTACAATACAATATGTATGTCGATACTCTGTTTACAATACAATACGTATGTCGATACTCTGTTTACAATACGATACGTATGTCGATATTCTTTTCACAATATGATACACATGTCGATACTCTTTTCACAATACGATACGTATGTCGATACTCTGTTCACAATAGGATACATATGTCGATACTCTGTGTACAATCGATACGTCTGTCGATACTCTTTTCACAATACGATACACATGTTGATACTCTGTTCACAATACAATACGTATCAAAACATACAAAAAAAATCACAAGCCCGTATGTATCGTGTATCCTATCGAAAGCTATGTATCATGGTACATACAAATTTCGGCATACCATTTCACCTATAGAAATCATTGATAACATTTCTTCAAAAGTGTGCATAACGTTATCTCCCTCTGACATGAAACAGGCAGACACCAGCAGATCCGGGCCTGATTAAGGGAAGCAACTCTACATAGGTAATAATAACCAAGAGAACTGTATATCCATCCAGAGAGTGACTCATCGGTCAACAACAAAAGCAAACGCTGCTTGGTAACTACACTGTATCTCAATAGAAAATTCAACAGGGGACTTGTTTCTGCAATATTTACTGACGTATTCCAAAAACAAATCTGAACGTTTGATTCATATTTTTTGCACGAATGCACAGGACAGCATCCCTACCGACAAACGGGTTCCCATAAACCAAATTGCAAGCAAGGACAAAATGAAAAACTCCAAAAAACATTTGCAACACAATTAGGATTCTTTACAGATTATTCCAAACCATTAATCACAAACAAACTTAATGTTTATATAAATAAAGAAACACAAAAAAATACATTTTCAAACAACATAAACCAATATATACAGATATGAAAAAAACATTCCACTAATATAATGTTAATGAAAAATAAGTAATATACACAAGCCAAAGTATATATAAAAGCTTATGTGAATACAGGAATAAGCATATAGATATCATATATGATAAGGATTGCCTCTTAGATAAGTTGTCTCCAGATCTTGCATCGATTTCAAAAGAACCCCGTAAACCACTAACGACAGAGCAAAGGTAAGAACTGGGAGTTGTTGTTATTTGTGATTACAGAGAGCTGGTTCTATTTGTTAAAAGATGCACAGTTATATCTAAAGAATTAATCCTATTAATAACTAGTTCTAATTAGAATGAAATCTCTCCTTATACAAGCCCAGTTACAAGATTGTCAGTTAGAGTGTAGGGTTTCATTCTATAGGCGGATTCGTCCCGTGAAGATTCCGGGTTAGAATAGGTCTTCAGCAACCCATGCTTGCCATAAAAGGTGACTATGCTTGTCGTAAAAGGCGACTAATGGGATCAGGTGGTCAGGCTCGCTGACTTGGTTGAAGCATGTCATCGATCCCAATTGCGTGGATCGATGCTCATGATATCAATCACTGGATTGTCTGGTCCAGACTCGATTATTTACAGACCGCCGTCATATAGCTGGAATATTGCTGAGTGCGGCGTTAAACAACAAACCAACCAACCAACCAATATGGGCGGATCCAGAGGGGGTGTCCAGGGGATCCGAACCCCACCGTCTTTTGAAAACCAAATGCATTACGTTGTAAGCAGTAAAATTATGAGAGAGAGGATTTTGATATTTTGGACCCCTCCCTTTAAAAAAGCTGGATCCTTACATTCCTCTCGGATCTCTTCCTGTTAATCTTTTAGCGAAGCGTCTTAGAAAAATACTTTCAGTCTGCTTAAAATTCATATGATATTTTTTAGATTGAATGGTTTTCTGACTTTGACAACTGGTGCACCAAGAATAGCTTCACTTATTGGGCACTGGGATTGAAACCTAGAATTTTGTCTTTCACCACTGGGCTTTCCTCCACTGCCTTAGAGTGAGTATTGTTTTATGCCGCTTTTAGTAATATTACAGCAATATCGCTGCGAGGAACACCAGAAATTGTACCCATGTGGGGAATCGAACACGGCAAAACGAGCGAACACTTTAACCAGTAAGCGACCCACCGACCCTACTCCCATTTAAATTGTCTTTCCATACAAAATGTCCATTGCCGAAATTAACTTTTTAATCCTCTGCATATACGGATAAAAATATTTTAAATTGAAAACATCTTGTTTACCGCCTAATTATCTGAGTCTCAAACAGAGAGATAACATCGACGTATGTTAAAAAGTATCTACATGATCTGCAATCTGAACTATTATTTAATCATTTCCTATTTCAGTGCAAGCAGCAGCTGATTATATGGTGGTGACTAAATACTGCAAGTGTGTCTACAAATTATCTACAAAGGCAAATGACTATACAAAAAAGCGACGAGGTTAGTTGAAGTTCAGTAAACAAGAAATTTCAGTAATTCTGTGGCTTGAGATCGGTGCCTGGCACAGATGACAGAATACCTGCCACCCCTTTATATACGTGTACTCACCCGGTTGAGTTTATTCTCCTCAGTCTCCATCTCCTGTCGGACTTTGCTCAGAGCCTGAGATACAATATTGTTTGATGGGTCAAAACATGTCCCTACGTGCAGGTCTGGGTTATAATTGGTCAAAATCAGGCGACTCACGGGATCAGGTTCGGTCAGGTACCCCACTTGGCACAGCTTATGTTATTAGCCACCAGAGTGCTGACTATTCTAGAAGCACTACCTGTCTGAGATTACTGGTGAGTGAAATGATGTCTACATCTTCAACACTGAGTTGGAGAGATTCTCTACCTGCTTATGGCTACCACACAATGTAGAGAATCTCACCAAGGGTCTTCCAAGATCAAATATACAAGACAAGTTTGACCATCTCCATTGTTTGATTGTTTGGGGTTTGATCTCCGGCCTCGTCATACCAAAAGATGGTATTTGTTGTTACCCTGCCTGGTGCTCGGCATTAATGGGCTAAAACAAGGACTGGTCGGTTCGGAGTCAGTATACTGTGTCTGAGTGGGTTATTCATGTTAAACTGCGGCATGGTATCTCAGTGAGATAGCACTATAAATTGGCATCAGTCCGGACCAGTACAAGCAGCCACACATACACACACACACACACACACACACACACACGCATGCACGTCGCTATAAAAGTGCAATAATCTTGGACGCGACGTTAAACCCCATTTCACCTCACCTCACCCTACAAGATGAGTTGATAAAGGTTTCAAATATCTGCGGTTTGCTCCGGATAATTTAACATTCATCAACAAATCTTGATATATTTGACCTTGGAAAACACAAAGGAAAGATTCTATTTATCATCCAAAATCATTTTTCCAACTTTTTCAGTTTCCAAACAGTAATAACTAGTAACTTTAGTGTAAACAGTTGAAGTTGAGTGATTAGTGATTTCATCTGATTGTGACGCCATGGTAACTGATGACGTAGCAATGGCTTGCAAAGCACTGTTAGGCAACTTAATAGAAGCGATATCTTCAGGGAGACTTCACTTGATATCACCCAAGCAATATCTCCTGTGAAAGCTGGGTTTGGATGACAAACTACTGATTAACAGAATTATTTATATGTATACACCTAATGACCTACAAAAGTTAGAAAGCATCTACAAAAACAGCTAGAAAAAAAGTTTGATCTTAAAATGTGACAATAAAGAGTATTATGAGATGTGAATTAATAATGTGAATTTAAGGAGTGTGACTTGTCTGTGGATACACAAATGACTCAGCACTAACCTGTCTGGCAGTCTGGTACTCCACGTCGTGATGTTCGTACGTGTGCAACAAATCTTGCAGTTCCGCCTGTTTCGACTTCTCCTGCCGTAGCGCCTCTTCGTGGGCAAACCTGGTGGTCCGTATCGCCTCGTTCAGCCTCTCTATCTCGACCTTGGCCTCATCCCGCTGGCTGTGTGCTTCCCGCAGATTCTAGAACCACAATTGTCATCTCATTTCATTGAAACTGATTGTACCAAAGGCAAGAGTTGTGGGGGACTTTGCCAGTACATCATATAAGTCCCTTGAAGCTTTTACCATTGGCAGCCCAAGTAGTGCAGTCCTCCTGATGAGTGAGAAAACCATACTGTCTTTGTGATAGTGTCAGGATAACATCAAAGTTATGTATACAAATGTCCCTTTAAACATGTATGTATGTTCCAAACAGTCGGTTAGCACTAAGACTATCGAGTAATGTTCATCGTCACACTAAGACTATCGTAAGCCTATCGAGTGTCGTTCATCATAGCACTAAGACTATCATAAGCCTATTGAGTTAGGATCATCGTAGCACTAAGACTATCGTAAGCCTATCGAGTTACGATCATCGTAGCACAAAGACTATCGTAAGCCTATCGAGTTACGGTCATCATACAAATAGACTTTCTTAAGCCTATCGAGTTACAATCATCGTAGCAATAAGGCCATCGTAAGCCTGTCGAAATACAATCATCGTAGCACTAAGACTATCGTAAGCCTATCAAGTTACAGTCATCGTACAAATAGACTTTCTTAAGCCTATCGAGTTACAATCATCGTAGCAATAAGGCCACCGTAAGCCTATCGAAATATGATCATCGTAGCACTAAGACTATCGTAAGCCTATCAAGTTATGATCATCGTAACACTAAGACTACCGTAAGCCGATCTATGGGAGTTACGATCATCGTAGAGCTGTTGAAGGGGATCCAGGATTGCAGGGTTCACAGAATGTCAGGAATAAACAGACATTATCGGCTGAATGTGTTTCTGTATCGTAAATATCATATGTTTGGAATAGAAATTGTGTTATGCACACAGAAACACATGAGGGCAGTAATCTCATTATCATATCATGTCATTCTTAAAGTAATCATTGTTTAATACAGTCATAACACCATGAGGTAATTTTAGAAACTGTGTATGAATATAATATTTGTGTGAACTGCCCACATTATCAAAGTGCCAAAATATTTACAACCATGTTTGTCCACAGAAACACACAGAGTGGGAAATCCCTATCTAAACATACTGGGAACATCAGACACTATTATATTGATCAAGCAGTCATTGCATCAAACATGACATCTTCCTGAGGCAAGGGAGTTAACTGAATATAAAAGTCCAGTTTCCAACCTTGCCGAACTGGGCTCCAATTATGGAGTTATATTTTGGCTGGACTAACGAGTCTATGCATAGTCCAATCAAAATTATGCACCGAAATCAAAATCTGGTTCGTAAACTGTCAAGCAGATTGAAAGCATGTGCACCACCAACTCGTTGTCAGCAGATATTTTCCAAATCGTTACATGTTTTTAATCAAGGTGCCCACGTGATTTGATGCATTTCGCGATGTAAGACACGTTTTATCACAATATAGATCTTGATTATCGATCAGATCATCCTGACCGGGCGCAACCATTTTGTGTGAAGCAAACGCAAGTGATACGAGAGGTGGAATCTGATTGGTCCATAATAAAAATACACTGACCTGTTCGAGCTGCCGGAGATGTTCCTCTGACTCTTGGATGTTCTCCTCCAGCGTCTGCAGCTCCGTCCGACTCTCTGAAACAAGAAATACAACAAACCCCTCAAGCATCTTACAATGTCTAGATGTTATCCTCCTGAGACGCGACCAGACTACAGCATCTTACAATGTCTAGATGTTATCCTCCAGAGACCAGACCAGACTACAGCATCTTACAATGTCTAGAGGTTATCCTCCTGAGACCAGACCAGACTACAGCATCTTACAATGTCTAGATGTTCTCCTCCTGAGACCAGACCAGACTACAGCATCGTACAATGTCTAGAGGTTATCCTCCTGAGACCAGACCAGACTACAGCATCTTACAATGTCTAGAGGTTATCCTCCTGAGACCAGACCAGACTACAGCATCGTACAATGTCTAGATGTTCTCCTCCTGAGACCAGACCAGACTACAGCATCGTACAATGTCTAGATGTTATCCTCCAGAGACCAGACCAGACTACAGCATCTTACAATGTCTAGATGTTATCCTCCAGAGACCAGACCAGACTACAGCATCTTACAATGTCTAGATGTTATCCTCCAGAGACCAGACCAGACTACAGCATCTTACAATGTCTAGAGGTTATCCTCCTGTGACCAGACCAGACTACAGCATCTTACAATGTCTAGAGGTTATCCTCCTGAGACCAGACCAGACTACAGCATCGTACAATGTCTAGATGTTCTCCTCCAGAGACCTGACCAGACTACAGCATCGTACAATGTCTAGAGGTTATCCTCCTGAGACCAGGCCAGACTACAGTATCTTACAATGTCTAGATGTTATCCTCCAGAGACCAGACTACAGCATCTTACAATGTCTAGATGTTATCCTCCAGAGACCTGACCAGACTACAGCATCTTACAATGTCTAGAGGTTATCCTCCTGAGACCAGGCCAGACTACAGTATCTTACAATGTCTAGATGTTATCCTCCAGAGACCTGACCAGACTACAGCATCGTACAATGTCTAGATGTTATCCTCCTGGGACCAGACCAGACTACAGCATCTTACAATGTCTAGAGGTTATCCTCCTGAGACCAGACCAGACTACAGCATCTTACAATGTCTAGATGTTATCCTCCAGAGACCAGACCAGACTACAGCATCGTACAATGTCTAGATGTTATCCTCCTGAGACGCGACCAGACTACAGCATCTTACAATGTCTAGAGGTTATCCTCCTGAGACCAGACCAGACTACAGCATCTTACAATGTCTAGATGTTATCCTCCAGAGACCAGACCAGACTACAGCATCGTACAATGTCTGGATGTTATCCTCCAGAGACCTGACCAGACTACAGCATCTTACAATGTCTAGATGTTATCCTCCTGAGACCGGACCAGACTACATCATCTTACTAGCCTCCGCACCAAGCTTCATTTGGTGGATTCAAATATGATGTCATGACATCATGGTGTCACTCCTACTTACATCATTTTGAAATAGAACGTAATGTTGTGATGTCAGTCTGTGGCAAGTTGTTGTTTATTGTTGGTTAATGACGTACTCTGCAATATTCCAGCTGATTGATACTGTAAGCAACGACAGCGTTAATAATTGGCACTCATCCTACAGTCCCAATAGTTAAGGTATCCTAAGGACAAGTAGAAATTTGCCTTTTCTAGGGGTTTTGACAAGTGGGCTAAAACTATTAGTTTCTATTGCTGAACACCACACCGTCGGTGTACGTTGACATGCCTTCAACCCGGATTCTAACCCAGAATCTACCCAGGCTTCTGCTGCAAGATATTGGTGAGCTTGCTTTATCACGATAGCAGCAAGATGGGGTCTATGGAAGAAAGGCATCCATTCACTGCATCACTAGAGTACAAACAGTATTGGTTGTTTTCATTGAAATCTGTTTCCCTTTTAGTCGTGCTTGCTTTGCATGTTACCTTTCACATTCTGTTTGAGAGAGCTGACATCTTTCTGCATGAGTGATCTCTGGTGATTAGAATCATCCATCTCTCGTTCCCGTTGTCGGAGTTCCGACTCTACTCTCTCCAATCTGTCCGACGATGACTCGATCTTCTCATCCATGATCCGGTGATTCCTACAACATACATTCCATGATCAGTCACATATTCCATGATCAGTCACACATTCCATGATCAGTCACATATTCCATGATCAGTCACACATTCCATGATCCCCCCCAGTCCACTGGAAGCCTGCAGGACCCCTAGCTATCTGTCCACTGCCCCCAGTCCACCGGAAGCCTGTAGGACCCCTAGTTATCTGTCCACTCACCCCAGTCCACTGGAAGCCTGCAGGACCCCTAGCTATCTGTCCACTCACCCCAGTCCACCGGAAGCCTGTAGGACCCCTAGCTATCTGTCCACTGCCCCCAGTCCACTGGAAGCCTGCAGGACCCCTAGTTATCTCTCCACTCCCCCCAGTCCACTGGAAGCCTGCAGGACCCCTAGTTATCTGTCCACTCCCCCCAGTCCACTGGAAGCCTGCAGGACCCCTAGTTATCTGTCCACTGCCCCCAGTCCACTGGAAGCCTGCAGGACCCCTAGTTATCTCTCCACTCCCCCCAGTCCACTGGAAGCCTGCAGGACCCCTAGTTATCTGTCCACTGCCCCCAGTCCACCGGAAGCCTGTAGGACCCCTAGTTATCTGTCCACTCACCCCAGTCCACTGGAAGCCTGCAGGACCCCTAGCTATCTGTCCACTCCCCACAGTCCACCGGAAGCCTGCAGGACCCCTAGCTATCTCTCCACTCCCCCCAGTCCACTGGAAGCCTGCAGGACCCCTAGCTATCTCTCCACTCCCCCAAGTCCACTGGAAGCCTGCAGGATCCCTAGTTATCTACCCACTGCTCCCTGTCCACCGGAAGCCTGCAGGACCCCTAGTTATCTGTCCACTGCTCCCTGTCCACCGGAAGCCTGTAGGACCCCTAGTTATCTGTCCACTCACCCCAGTCCACTTGAAGCCTGCAGGACCCCTAGCTATCTCTCCACTCCCCCCAGTCCACCGGAAGCCTGCAGGACCCCTAGCTATCTCTCCACTCCCCCCAGTCCACTGGAAGCCTGCAGGATCCCTAGCTATCTCTCCACTCCCCCCAGTCCACTGGAAGCCTGCAGGACCCCTAGCTATCTCTCCACTCCCCCCAGTCCACTGGAAGCCTGCAGGACCCCTAGCTATCTGTCCACTCCCCCCAGTCCACCGGAAGCCTGCAGGATCCCTAGTTATCTGTCCACTCCCCCCAGTCCACCGGAAGCCTGCAGGACCCCTAGTTATCTGTCCACTGCCCACTGCCCACTCCCCCCAGTCCACCGGAAGCCTGTAGGACCCCTAGTTATCTGTCCACTCACCCCTGTCCACCGGAAGCCTGCAGGACCCCTAGCTATCTGGTTATCAGGCCACCCACCTCTTCATCTGGTTGAGCTTGTCGTCCAGGGTCTTGCAGTTCTCGTTGAGCATGTCCCTCTCACGCACCAGGGTGGAGATGCGGTCCTCCAGCGCCTGCTTCTCCATCGTCAGGTGGTCCACTTCCTGTCTCTCTCGCTCCAACGTCTGCCGCAACCTCTCCACCTCGGACGACTTCCTGTTGGTCTCAGTATTCAGCTGTTCCAGTTCTGACTTCTCCTACAAGAGGAACACTTTGTGTCAATTTTGTTTAACTCTGTTTTAAAAGCGGTTTTACATCACTTTTAGCAATCCTCCATGGTGGAGGACACCAGCAATGGGTTTCATACATTGCACCCATGTTGGGAACATATCAAGTGAACGCTTTAACCATCACACTACCTCCACAACAATCTGATTTGATGACAGGTTAAATTATACAATTCAAATTAATTCAAATTTCTTAAGGAAAACAGAAAAGTTTGAAATCCACAAGTTCGCATTCATTTTGGAAATTTCGCATTCATGGTAAGAAAGCTCCCCCTGACCTCTAACAGCGCCCTTTGCGTCTTCTCCAGCTCAGCAATCTTCTGGTTGTGCTGGGCCTTCAGGTTCTCCAGCTCTGTCTGTTCGTACTTCTGCATCTCGTACACATGCTTCAGCTCGGTCTTGTGCTTGTTGACGGAGCTGATGAGTCGCTGGAGGACTTCATCCTCCTGCTCCGTCTCCCCCTTCAGCCGAGCCAGCTCCGCCCGCTTCGACTTGATGAGAGTCAGGATGTCCAGCTTCTGCTGCTCTGTGGTCTTGATGTGCTCTCTCTGGTCCTGTTGGCAGAGATCATAACAGTATTGGGGAGATCATAACATTGTTGGCAGAGAGATCAGGACAGTGTTGGGGGAGATCATAACAACATTGGCAGAGATCATGACACTGTTGGCAGAGATCATAACAGTGTTGGCAGAGATCATAACAGTGTTGGCAGAGATCAGGACACTGTTGGCAGAGATCATAACAGTGTTGGCAGAGATCATAACAGTGTTGGCAGAGATCAGGACACTGTTGGCAGAGATCATAACAGTGTTGGCAGAGATCATAACAGTGTTGGCAGAGATCAGGACACTGTTGGCAGAGATCATAACAGTGTTGGCAGAGATCATAACAGTGTTGGCAGAGAGATCAGGACAGTGTTGGGGGAGATCATAACAACATTGGCAGAGATCATAACAGTGTTGGCAGAGATCAGGACACTGTTGGCAGAGATCATAACAGTGTTGGCAGAGATCATAACAGTGTTGGCAGAGATCATAACAGTGTTGGCAGAGAGATCATAACTGTTGGCAGAGAGATCATAACAGTGTTGGCAGAGATCATGACACTGTTGGCAGAGATCATAACAGTGTTGGCAGAGATCATAACAGTGTTGGCAGAGATCATAACAGTGTTGGCAGAGATCAGGACACTGTTGGCAGAGATCATAACAGTGTTGGCAGAGATCATAACAGTGTTGGCAGAGATCATAACAGTGTTGGCAGAGAGATCAGGACAGTGTTGGGGGAGATCATAACAACATTGGCAGAGATCATAACAGTGTTGGCAGAGATCAGGACACTGTTGGCAGAGATCATAACAGTGTTGGCAGAGATCATAACAGTGTTGGCAGAGATCATAACAGTGTTGGCAGAGAGATCATAACTGTTGGCAGAGAGATCATAACAGTGTTGGCAGAGATCATAACAGTGTTGGCAGAGATCATAACAGTGTTGGCAGAGAGATCATAACTGTTGGCAGAGAGATCATAACAGTGTTGGCGGAGATCATGACAGTGTTGGCAAGATCATCATAATAATGTTGGTAAGGATATCACTGATGTCAAGGGATCATGGTGTTGGTAAGGAGACATTATCTGTGTTGGCAAAGGGATCATAAAAGTGATGGCTAACAGATTTTAGTGTTGGGACTATCATTTCATGAGAATGCCAAGTAAAATCTCTGTCTAGCAGGTACCACAGCCATGTACCATAATCTGTATTGTGTAATTACATGCAGATTCAACTAAAGCAAGGCCACACACTGTAAACCTCCAATCTCGGTCTAGTGGTCAGTTATGACTGCGTGCTGGTACCCCAGCATCCCATCCCATCATATCCCCTCCCCTCAACCCCCGCAACCCTCCTCAATTGGACAACACAAGGAGGAACCTACCCTGAGTTCCCTGTGCTTGCTGGTGATCTCGGCCTCGGCTTCTCTCAACACGGAGCTGAGGTCAGTCTGCCGTCGCTCCATCGCCTCAGTCATCAGCTGCAGCTCTGTCTTCTTCTTCCCCATCGTCTGGTCAAGCTTCTCCAGCTCGGACCGCTGACCGTCCAACTGTACAACAGACAGACACTGGTCACAGACACACAGTTCACACACAGATAGCAACAACCAAGCTCAGAATCATATAGTTTAGTTTGTTTGTTGTTTAACGCCGCACTCAGCAATAATCCAGCCATACGACGGCGGTCTGTACATAATCAAGCCTGGACCAAACAATCCAGTGATTGATGTCATGAGCATCGATCTATACAACTGGGATGCGATGCCATGCATCAACCAAGTCAGCGAGCCTGACCACCCTATCCGATAGTCGCCTCTTACAACAAGTCGCCTTTTATGTCAAGCATGGGTTGCTGAAGACCTATTCTTTCCCAGATCTTGGAAGGTTTCAGAATCATACAACTCGTGGTGTTCTTCATTGGAGAAACATTGACGGACATGGCTTTCTGTCTTACACTGCAGCCTTACAAATATGTCATGTTAAAATGGTTCAAAGGGTGAGTCTTGTTTAAAGGGGAAGTGTACACGCAAAAATCACTTTCTTTCTTTTTCTAAACAAAACGCAATTTTAGAATTAATTAGTATCTGTGTTTGAAAATATACACTCATTGTTTTCACAGTGAAAGTAGGAAGCTCACAATAGTGTGAAAATGATATGCCGTTATGAGGCCTTCGTTTTTCGAGCTAAACAGGCCTGAGTTATCCCCCTTAGATTATGACGTAATTGGTGCCAATTCAACTGGGGCCCTGTCTATTCTCAACGCAAAAGATATCAAGTACCAGTTTGCGGTAAAACAACATGGCCTACGACACACTCCGGCGCAGAGGTGACTCAGCATAACACTATGCTGGCTGGCATCTGAGACGCTAGAATCACACACCTAGACCTACACAACGTGAAGCGGCTCTAACAAAGCATGATGACGTCATAATGTTTATCAATTGGCACCAATGACGTCATATTGCAAGGGGATAAGCCATGGTGTTTTTGTTGTGGAAATAGAACACTTGGTAAATGTGAAAAATATAAATCGTTTTAGTGCGAAAAATATGTTAATTAATGGTGATATTTTTATATTTTTGTCTATGACACTTCTAGGTTAACACTTTTAATGTGGAAAAAGTACAAGAAAAATAGGTTAATTTCCGTGTGAACTTGCCCTTTAATATCACTTTCAAGAGTATTTCAGATTGCATCACAGGTGTCATCCAAATTGATGCTTTAAACTTTTTCTTTCAATCTGAACTTTTAATCATTTAGAAAAACATTAACAATGTATCCATGAGAAGTCATATCATGAGCCTGTAAATAATCATGTTTGGGTCAGACAAACCAGTGGTTGATAGCATGAGCATGATGCATGCTGACAGGCTTTGATGACAGTCATAATCGGTCAGATGACACATTGTAGCATAAACATATTTTTTCAAAGCTCTTCTGAGAAGCATGCAAAGAAAACAGACGACATATTCTGCCCCTGAATCCCAATGGGACACAAGCATTGTGCACAGATGACCTGTGATGCCCCTGAGTCCACATGGGACACAAGCATTGGGCACAGACAACCTGGGATGCCCTGAATCCCCATGGGACACAAGCATTGGGCACAGACAACCTGGGATGCCCTGAATCCCCATGTGACACAAGCATTGGGCACAGATGACCTGTGATGCCCCTGAATCCCCATGGAACACAAGCATTGGGCACAGATGACCTGTAATGCCCTGAATCCCCATGGGACACAAGCATTGGGCACAGATGACCTGTAATGCCCTGAATCCCCATGGGACACAAGCATTGGGCACAAATGACCTGTAATGCCCTGAATCCCCATGGGACACAAGCATTGGGCACAGATGATCTGGGATGCCCTGAATCCCCATGGGACACAAGCATTGGGCACAGATGACCTGGGATGCCCTGAATCCCCATGGGACACAAGCATTGGACACAGATGACCTGGGATGCCCTGAATCACCATGGGACACAAGCATTGGGCACAGACGACCTTTGATGCCCTGAATCCCCATGGGACACAAGCATTGGGCACAGACGACCTGTGATGCCCTGAATCCCCATGGGACACAAGCATTTGGCACAGACAACCTGTGATGCCCTGAATCCCCATGGGAGACAAGCATTGGTCACAGACGTCCTGGGATGCCCTGAATTACCATGGGACACACGCATTGGGCACAGATGACCTGTAATGCCCTGAATCCCCATGGGAGACAAGCATTGGTCACAGACATCCTGGGATGCCCTGAATTACCATGGGACACACGCACTGGGCACAGATGACCTGTGATGCCCTGAATCCCCATGGGACACAAATATTGGACACAGACGACCTGTGATGCCCTGATTGTCTATTGGAAGACAAATGCTGGCAATACTTCACCCGGTTCCCCATGGAGAACATACATGATGACAACACATTTGCAACACAAGAACATGCAGCACACAGACCAACATCCAGGCATGGAAATCACACAACATGCGAGTCAAACCTGCTCGACAGAACACATGCAAAGTAAGGTGCAACAAAGTCAAACTATCTTCGTCCTTCCATGGATGCTTTGATTACTGCATGAGTGATATTTTATATCACAATCATCATTACTGAGCATCACCATGTTGGATGAAGACCTAATGACTTTAACCCACCTGAGCTGTTGACACAGAAAATGGACCATGCATCTGTTAGTTTTGGATGAAGTTAGGATGAGCTGCAGTACCCGAGGGTTAACATCTCTACTAGGTCAGTAGCAAACACACCACACAGTAAGCCTTGCTGATAGTTTAACCTAACTCTATATGATAAAGAGGTCAGACTAATCTTGTTATTGTTTAATACAAAGAGACGTGCGGCAGAATTTCTGATGATGCGGGCAATGCCTGTGAACCAAGACTATTATTTTTTTTAGCTTAATTGGTCAGACCTCCTTTATTTCGCAATGACTTGGTCAGCATCATTACAGAATCAACAGTTAAAAGATGCTGAACAAACTTGATAAACCTGGAAATCACTTAATGTGCAAAACAGGACATAAAACTTGACACAAATGGAAAAACAATTAAATGTATGGTGAGAATAAACATATTTAAAGTTACGTACTGTCATTTTGTATTTATCCACACTCAAAGATAGCTTGCGAAAAAAAACAGGACCATCATTCATCATTAGGAAAAACAAGGGAGACAATCATGCAAAGGGGAGACAATCACGCAAAAGGGGAGGTAAATATGCCAATTTACCAACCATCACAAGAAATGTCACACATGTTAGGTCAAGGTCAGGTAAAAGTTCAAGGTCATTGAGGTAATTCAAGAAGTACACACCTTTGAGGCCATGGCGCTCTTAACCTTGGAATACTGGTCAAGAAGTGAAGAAACGATGTTCAAGATGACAACAGAATATCTAGTGCAAGGACATATTCCTCCAGGGGAGGGTGGAATGAATGAATATTGTTTTACGCCGCATCAGCAATTTTCCAGCTAATCACGGCTAAGGGAGAGTGGAGGAAATGGGGTGTAACACTGCGTTCAAGACAAGCCTTATTGGCACTACATTCACTACAGTAATGGGAAAGAATCAGGTGCTCTTTAACTTCCTTTGAGTAGTATACTTTTAGTGAGTAGTAAAAGTGAACATTACATCTATAAAAGTGAACAAAAAATGAAGCTGCTACTATTATTGTGAATATTATGACAGTCTGGGACTGCAGCATCGATGATGATGAATGGTTACCATGACAACCACACGTACCTGATCTCGTAACCTTGACAACTCCATGCGTCGTTTTGACAAGATGTCATCACTGTCGCGGAGAGCATCAACAGTTTCCTTCTCCTTCATCTGGGATGTTTTCAATTCTGAAGACACCCGATGCAAGCTGAAATGAACAGTCAATCAACTCAAAAATAATTTTGAAAATTAAATGTTTGTGACAATATCAGACCCTGACAAAATCAGTCAATACAGCATTGCGTATTATTCTAACAATACCACCTCTATTACACCATAGCCATAAATTCCTGGTTTGGATGTCATTCCACTATAAAATATTAACATGTTCAACAGACGTCCTCTTCACTGCTAACTTATCTAATAGTTTTGAGGTGAACCCAATGCAACTGTGCATCCGTGAGGGGGAACACCGTTGGTTTTGTTTATTTAATGAGGCCGCAGCCTGTAAATAGTCAAATATCTGACATATTTGACCTTGTCTATAATAGTTAAAATGGCTACTCCGATAATGGCAACATATAATACATCTCATGATCTCATCTATGTTTGTCGTAGGAGGCGACTAACGTGATCGGGTGGTCAGGCTCGCTGACTTGGTTGATTGATGCATGTCATCAATCCCAATTGCGTGGATCGATGCTCATCATATCAGTCACTGGATTGTCTGGTCCAGACTGGATTATTTACAGACCACAGTCATATACTGGAATATTGCTGAGTGCGGCATAAAACAACAAACGAACCATGATAGAAACTATTCCTACTATCACTCTAAACTTTGAAACACAAATGACTTACTTCTTGGTCGACATTTTAAGCTTTGAGTCAATCTCTTTGAATTCACTGTCCTTCTTTGCTAAAACCTGAAAAAGAAAACAAGTGAGTGAGTTGGGTTTAACAGCACGGTGAACGGTATTTCAGCAATATCACAGTGTTTCAGCTAAATGTGGGAAATTGCCAAAAGCGATGAATGTCAAGGTCAAGGTCAAGGTTTATTGTTGTGTTAAAGATTGTTGCACTAATGTAGGGGTGTTGGTGCGACTTTCATAAAGCTGATTTTAGAGTGCGAGACCACTGAGGTACTGAGCTGACCAGCGCCAGACAGGGTAACAACAAGAACCAACTTTTGGTATGACATGGGCAGAGACTGAGCCAACGACCTTCTGCTCTCCGGGCAGACGCTCTATCCACTGCACCACGGAGACGGTCTCCGGGCAGACGCTCTATCCACTGCACCACGAAGGCGGTCTCCGGGCAGACGCTCTATCCACTGCACCACGGAGACGGTCTCCGGGCAGACGCTCTATCCACTGCACCACGAAGGCGGTCTCCGGGCAGACGCTCTATCAACTAGACCACGAAGGCAGTCTCCAGGCAGACGCTCTATCCACTGCACCACGGAGACGGTCACCGGGCAGACGCTCTATCAACTAGACCACGAAGGCAGTCTCCAGGCAGACGCTCTATCCACTACATCATGGTGGCGGTCTCCGGGCAGATGCTCTATCCACAACAACGTGGAGGCAGTCTCCAGGCAGACGCTCTATCCACTACACCACGGAGACAGTCACCGGGCAGACGCTCTATCCACTGCACCACGGAGACGGTCTCCGGGCAGACGCTCTATCAACTAGACCACGAAGGCAGTCTCCAGGCAGACGCTCTATCCACTGCACCACGGAGACGGTCACCGGGCAGACGCTCTATCAACTAGACCACGAAGGCAGTCTCCAGGCAGACGCTCTATCCACTACATCACGGTGGCGGTCTCCGGGCAGATGCTCTATCCACAACAACGTGGAGGCAGTCTCCAGGCAGACGCTCTATCCACTACACCACGGAGACAGTTACCGGGCAGACGCTCTATCCACTGCACTAGGAGACGGTCACCGGGCAGACGCTCTATCAACTAGACCACGAAGGCAGTCTCCAGGCAGACGCTCTATCCACTGCACCATGGAGACGGTCACCGGGCAGACGCTCTATCAACTAGACCACGAAGGCAGTCTCCAGGCAGACGCTCTATCCACTACATCACGGTGGCGGTCTCCGGGCAGATGCTCTATCCACAACAACGTGGAGGCAGTCTCCAGGCAGACGCTCTATCCACTACACCACGGAGACAGTCACCGGGCAGACGCTCTATCCACTGCACCATGGAGACGGTCACCGGGCAGACGCTCTATCAACTAGACCACGAAGGCAGTCTCCAGGCAGACGCTCTATCCACTACATCACGGTGGCGGTCTCCGGGCAGATGCTCTATCCACAACAACGTGGAGGCAGTCTCCAGGCAGACGCTCTATCCACTACACCACGGAGACAGTCACCGGGCAGACGCTCTATCCACTGCACCACGGAGACGGTCTCCGGGCAGACGCTCTATCAACTAGACCACGAAGGCAGTCTCCAGGCAGACGCTCTATCCACTGCACCACGGAGACGGTCACCGGGCAGACGCTCTATCAACTAGACCACGAAGGCAGTCTCCAGGCAGACGCTCTATCCACTACATCACGGTGGCGGTCTCCGGGCAGATGCTCTATCCACAACAACGTGGAGGCAGTCTCCAGGCAGACGCTCTATCCACTACACCACGGAGACAGTTACCGGGCAGACGCTCTATCCACTGCACTAGGAGACGGTCACCGGGCAGACGCTCTATCAACTAGACCACGAAGGCAGTCTCCAGGCAGACGCTCTATCCACTGCACCATGGAGACGGTCACCGGGCAGACGCTCTATCAACTAGACCACGAAGGCAGTCTCCAGGCAGACGCTCTATCCACTACATCACGGTGGCGGTCTCCGGGCAGATGCTCTATCCACAACAACGTGGAGGCAGTCTCCAGGCAGACGCTCTATCCACTACACCACGGAGACAGTCACCGGGCAGACGCTCTATCCACTGCACCACGGAGACGGTCTCCGGGCAGACGCTCTATCCACTGCACCACGGAGACGGTCACCGGGCAGACACTCTATCCAGTGCACCACGAAGGCGGTCTCCGGGCAGACGCTCTATCCACTACACCACGGAGACAGTCTCCAGGCAGACACTCTGTCCACTACACCACAGAGACAGTCACCGGGCAGACGCTCTATCCACTGCACTACAGGAGACGCTCTATCTGGGCAGACGCTCTATCCACTGCACTACAGGAGACGCTCTATCTGGGCAGACGCTCTATCCACTGCACTACAGGAGACGGTCTCCGGGCAGACGCTCTATCCACTGCACTACAGGAGACAGTCTCCGGGCAGACGCTCTATCCTCTATACGACGGAGGCGGTCTCATGATCACTGCTCAAATCATAATTCAAAACTGCGAATGCAAAGGCATACAACTCTGCCCCCCTCCAGAGTACTGTGACAACAACCCTTACTGAATGATCTATATTTTGCTTTATATAATGACATATTTCCAGGCTGGTGTGTCTGTACACAGCATCTCCGCACCTGCATGACCTCGCGAAGTAGCTTCTCCTGCTTCTCCCTCTTCCTCTCTAGACCTCGGACCTCAGTCCTGAGTGCCCCGAGCTGGTCCTGCGTCTTGACCAGCTGAATCCCAGCCTCTGTGGCTCGCTTCTCCAACTCCTTGGCCTCAAGGGCTGTCGTCTGCAGGTTGACCGAGGCAGTGTCGTACTTCTTCACAGTGTCACGGGCCTGGGAACAGACGAAAGGAATACAAAATAACATCAAAATAAATAAATTAGCAATACAACAGTGACAGAAACATGTTCAGTATTGTCATTGTTTCAGTAAATCACCTGTGACGATACCACAATTGACCATAAAAGTGGAAACCGGAAAACGAAATCAATAACTAAACTTGAAATGGCGTTGGACATTTTAGAAATAAATTCACTAATTATTTTCAGGATATTTTCAACATCATTACTAATTTGGGATAATAATCAGTCAATGACCTACAATTACTCTGATACCGTGTTAAAGCAGGCCACAATGCAACATGTACAGGTCAAGCACCATAGTGCGTGAGTGAGTTAAAATTTAACGTTGCATCAGCATTATTGCAGCCATATAGCGACTCAAGCACCAGAAAGGGTTACAATTCATTATTGAGGTCTCCATCAGATATTCTTCAAACTATATAATTCTGGTTAACCTTGGAAGATTGATAATAAACCAAACAGTCAGCTTGAGATTCACGAAACGATTACAGATCTATGGCTGTTGCATCGCCATACTTTAACGTAGCCTTAATGTTGTAAAACAAAGATCTTTTCTTTTAGACAGGGCTGAGCTGGTTAACCTTCCGAGCTACAAGAGGCGATAGGGAGATATCGCTTCAACCAGATGGTTAACATTGTGCACCTATATCACAAACAGAGAGAGTTATCTGCCCCTACCTGTTCGCGGGCGTCCTTGAGGTCAGTGTTACACTCCTTCAGCAGCTTGTCTGCCTCCCGGAGCTGGCCTGTCCTCTTGGCTAGAGTCTTCTCCAGGCACGCGATCTCATCCTGCAGGTACGTCTGGCGGCTGCGACACACTGACTCGTCCAGACTGTCGTCATCTTCATACTTCCTCTGTCTAAGAAGTTAACAGTTAAAGTTACTGATCTGTGAAGGTTCCAATCGACATGGCAAAACTGAATGGTAACACATTCAGAGATTACCCCATCTTGTACTTTGCTTTGTCAAGTTTCTGCCTACCAACCACATTGATCAGAACTCTACAAGTAAGCTGAACATAGCAATGTCATTAAAATCAGATCTTAGTTCTCGCTACCGCCAAACTAAGATCCGAGGACATACCATTACAAGTCACGTCAGAACGACCTTTCATCCAGACAATCAGAGCATTACTTCCAGATCAGGAAAGTGACAGTCGGAATTTGTTTTCTAATCATGCAACCTCAAACAGTTTATCACTGGGTATCCCGAATGACAGTTACGGTCTGTACGAATGAATCTGTCAAGTCATCGCCCATGTCTCACTTCAGTGGGATCAACATTTGAACGAAAGAGACTTTTCCTAGCCCGTGGGAAGTACTGCTATACAATCTTGGTCATCTATTAGAAATTCAAGAATGTTCTTTGGTTCAGTTTTCAAATTTTGAATGGAGAACATTGTCAAAATATATTCCAAAGCATCGTCTGGATGGAAGTCCCCAGTTATAAAGCTAGTGCCGACTAGCTCATGAAAGTTGCTTTCTGATTGGCTGTCAATTTCTTGTTAGTAATTTCATTGGTAGATCCAAGTTCGCGAAAGGTCTTTCTGATGTGACCTGTAATGTGATGTCCTCAGATCTTTGTTTAGCGGTAGGGAGAACAAAGATCTGATGTCAATGAGATTGTTTAACACAGTCATTTTTTTGTTTTGTTTTGTTTGTTGTTTAACACGTACTCGGCAATATTCCAGCTATATGACAGTGGTCTGTAAATAATCCAGTCTGGAATGATAATCCAGTGACTGACATCATGAGCATCGATCGACGCAATTGGGATACGATGACATGCATCAACCAAGTCAGCAAGCCTGATGACCCGATCCCGTTAGTCGCCTCTTATGACAAGCATGGTCGCCTTTTACGGCAAGCATGTGTTGCTGGAGACCTATTCTTCCCAAGATCTTCACGGACCAGTAACACTATCATTGCAGCCTCCAGATAAATGAATCTGAAGCAGGCAAATCAATGGTTGGTAGCATCATCAACAATCCTTAACAAGGGCTATTCATTGCTAACTGTCAGTCTTGAAAGACTGGAATGTTCAATGAGATATGATTGTGACTGTTAACCTTATAGCACCTCACAGACAGCAAAGGTTATATACTCCCCAGGGAGCTGAGAATGAAAACCCAGAGTGTACACGGATCCATTGACCGGGGCAATAATTTTCTTTGTGCTTTGAGCATGGTATCCAGCATGGAGTGAGTGACTAAGTATGGTTTTATGCCGCTTTTAGCAATATTCCAGCAATTTGACGGTGGGGGACACCAGAAATGGGCTTCACACATTGTACCCGTGTCTGGAATCGAACCCGGGTTTTCAACGTGACGAGCGAACGCTTTAACCACTAGGCTACCCGACTGCCCCTTATCCAGCATGGAAAAGTGACATCCAAATGGACAATTATTATTATTATTATTATTATTATTATTATTATTATTATTATTATAATTATCTCCCAATCAAACAACTAGATAACTGACTTGCTCCTGATGGCGTTCTTCATGTTGCGTGTGCGGAGGAAGTCCAGCTCCTCCTTGGCCGATGACCTCTTCTCCCGGATGCTCTTCTCGTTGTACTTCAGTTTCCGCAGACTCTTCTTCTGCCTCTCGATGGCAAGGTCAAGGCCTTCCAACTCATCTCGCCGATCCTGCACAGTGAAATTCTCACATTATTTGGGGTAACACGCAATTGACCCAATCCCCTAGTCTGACAATCTGATCCAAGTTAGTCGCCTCTTATGAACTTATTTATGAACTTTAAGTCTCTATGTAATATCCATGGATCGGAGTCTTGTTTGTAAATCTAGAGGGTCTTGGTGCTTTCTTCCCAGTTCATTTCATGTTACATTAGACCGACTTCACAGGAATATATAATTTCTCATATGAACAATTTTACAGATGATAAATCTCCCTCTCCCTCCCCCCATCTCTCTCTCTCCCTCTCTCTCCCCCATCTCTCTCTCTCCCTCTCTCTCCCCCATCTCTCTCTCCCTCTCTCTCCCCCCGTCTCTCTCTCTCCCTCTCTCTCCCCCATCTCTCTCTCTCCCTCTCTCTCCCCCCGTCTCTCTCTATCCCCCATCTCTCTCTGTCCCTCTCTCTCCCCCCATCTCTCTCTCTCCCTCTCTCTCCCCCCGTCTCTGTCTCTCCCCGTCTCTCTCTATCCCCCATCTCTCTCTCTCTCCCTCTCTCTCCCCCCATCTCTCTGTCTCTCCCTGTCTCTCTCTCTCTCACTCACCTCCAGCTCGCCCTTGAGTCGGTGGATGAGCCTCTTCTCCTCGTCCATCATTATCTCTTCATGAATATCCTGTAACCATAGTATAACGCATCCTCAGCAAGCTCATTAGCAACCTCTTGATATTATTTAGAGTAAACCATGAAACCCACATACACTGAAACCCCGGTAGCAATGGAAACCCACACATAGTGCAAGCCTGGTAGCATGGAAACCCACACATAGTGCAACCCTGGTAGCATGGAAACCCACACATAGTGCAACCTTGGTAGCATGGAAACCCAAATACAGTGAAACCCTGGTAGTATGGAAACCAACATACAGTGCAACCCTATTAGTATGGAAACCCACATACAGTGAAATCCTGGTAGTGTGGAAACCAACACATAGTGGAACCCTGGTAGTGTGGAAACCCAAATACACTGAAACCCTGGTAGTATATGGAAACCCACATACAGTGCAACCCTATATGCATGAAAACCCACATACAGTGCAACCCTATTAGCATGGAAACCCACATACAGTGAAACCCCGGTGGTGTGGAAACCCACATACAATGAAACCCCGGTAGTGTGGAAACCCACATACAGTGAAACCCCGGTAGTGTGGAAACCCACATACAATGAAACCCCGGTAGTGTGGAAACCCACATACAGTGAAACCCTGGTAGTGTGGAAACCCACATACAGTGAAACCCTGGTAGTGTGGAAACCCACACACAGTGCAACCCTTTTAGTATGGAAACCCACATACAGTGCAAACCTAGTATTATGGAAACCCACACACAGTGCAACCCTGGTTGTGTGGAAACCCACCTTCAGGACAATAACTATCTGCAACATCCATAGAAACTGAAAGGACACTACAATGATATGACTCAACTATTTCTTGGAATCTACACTGTCCTGAGTGCCAGGGTTTCACTATACACAATGTCACTGCCAGTATCTACACCCGACCAGGAAATACAACAGTACAAAGTCATCCAAATACATCTGGAATAATTCCGTCAATAAATATCTGTCACAAACCTCTTGATGGGAAATCTTGATTTTCACTTTTCGTAGTTTCTCCTGTAGTTCCGCAATGTAGTCCTCCTGTAGCAAACAATGCCATGTTAAAATCCAATGCCAAAATACCACTGAATTCAGGAAAATATCAACCATTAAAGCAATCCCAATTTAGAATAAAATAACGGGTTTTTTTTCCAATTTGCCTACCATGGGCACTAAGTTTGGAAGCCTGGTTAATCCTTCAGAGATGACAGGTCCACCGTGCCCCTTGTCTTCTTCAAATGACGATGGGTAAAAAACAGAATAACATACTAGAAACTCACAATTCAGGATCATCTGTCCCTTGTGATGAATCTGCATTTGTAGTTGTAAGTCATTCATCCTCGGAAAGTAAATCTTACCTACACTGGAGGTGGGGTGAAATGGGGTTTAACGTCACATCCGATTATTGCACTTATACAGCGACGTGCATGCACGTGTGTGTGTATGGCTGTTATAGTCCGGACTGATGCCGATTTATAGTGCTAGCCCACTGAGCTACCATGCCGCAGTTTAACACGAATACCCACTCAGACACAGTATACTGACTCCGAGCCAATAGTCTTTGTTTCAGGCTCTTAATGCCCAGTGCCAGACAGGGTAACAACAAGTACCATCTTTAAACACCTTTTGTTTTGACACAGACAGTGACCTGCTCTCCGGGCAGATGCTCTACCACTAGAACACGGAACATCAATCATACACTGGACACATAATATGGCATTTCCCATAGCTGGTTATTCTCAAGTTATCGGGATGGTAATTCAAAAGGACAAGGATTCCGAGATGGACAGACAGAATTTCTGCACATCTCAAACAAACAATGAATTAACAGTAGTATGTTCATCCAAGTTACACATGTAGACATTGTGACCAATCAATACCCATCTAATTAATTATTTGTTTGTTTGTTTCTTGCCACACTCAGCAACATTTAAGCTGCATTGACGGCCTGTAAAAATTCGAGTCTGGACTGGACAATCCTGTGATTGATATTGTCAGCAACGATCCAGGCTGTCAGGGTACGATGACATGCCATCAACCAAGACAGCCAGACTGACCACCTGATCCAGTTGGTCATCTCTTTGACCAGCATAAGTTCATGGAGACCAACTGTAACCCGGAATCCCCACGGGGCCATATCAGTTAAACAGGGGCCACATGGGTACACATGTGTGACAACCAGTCAAGAACAAGTCAGCAGAGCTCCAGATAAGCTGCGCATCTGCGTGAAATAAGCATCAGAAATGCAGAAATACACAGTAAAATATAATCCAAGCGTATCAAATACGCAACGAACATTACAGATACGCAACAAAAATAAAACTTGTGCGTATCATCAAAATATTGTGAAGTAACCCTGCGTATTTGATTAGCAAATCAGCAACTTATTTTGAAATTATAAACGGGCATTCCGTCAACCTTGCCAAACTCCACGATGACAGTTACATCATGATCATTTGCCATCACACTTTCGTGTGGAAGTATCGTGGTATTTTTGAGTCCTATAAAGCTCTCGAACCCACACGACACCAGTTTGCAGGGACTAGATGAATAGTGTTTTTAAATATTTAACTTAAATACCCACATGTGTAAAAACTAGTGGGTAACAGAAATTTGAATACGCAGGTAGAATTACTGATACCCAATGATTTTGAAATGCATGGGTAAAATACCCACAACACCAAAAGCTTATCTGGAGCTCTGAGTCAGTATTTGAAATTAGACCCGTGAAGATCAGGGTTAAAGTAGGTCTTAGAATAGGCGACTTGCTTGTTGTAAGAGGCGACTAATGGGATTGGGTGGTCAGGCTTGCTGACTTGGTTGATGCGTGTTATCGTATCCCAACTGTGTGGATCGATGCTCATGATATCCATCACTGGATTATTTACAGACCGCCGTCGCAGAGCATTAAACAACAACCAAACAAACAGCATTCAAATTTAGTGGGCTTCCCGGTGTTTGTTAAAGCGTTCGCTCGTCACCCCAAAGACCCGGGTTCGATTCCCGACATGGGTACAATGTGTGAAGCCCATTTCTGGTGTCCTCCGCCGTGATATTGCTGGAATATTGCTTAAAGCGGCATAAAACCAAAACTCACTCACTCACCTCTTTGGTATTTGTGTGTTTATTGTCAGTTGCTTGATTTTAAAGCATCATTATATTAAACAAAGATGAATTGAATTAATAACCTAAACCTAAACATCTAACTTTTATTTCCTTAAACACTTGTGTTAACTTCAACACTTGCACAAATCTACTAATTCATAGGTAAGCTAGTTTCTGTTTTCAGCTTGGGTTCGTCAGCCATTTCTGTCTCAGGTTCATGGCTATTGTCACTGGGTGGTCACAGCTTGGCCTGTGATTAGGTTCCTATTGTTCTCTGGGTCTGCAGGATCTCCTCAATCATGAAAACTTCCTGGTTACAACAGCTGGCCAGTCAGCATATCTCTCTACACATGCTCTGAGAGCTCCTACTCATCACTGCATCACAGGGTAAGTTTATTGAATCATTACTTTACTTATCCAACACTCAGGTTAGATTACTATGTATTTTAAGCATTTGTGAATATAGTTCTTGAGCTAGCATTGTCTTATGACACTGTAATGTATTTATATGACACTGTAATGTATTCATATTTAACTTTCTTCTGTGTTTAACTTGGATATAAGCCATGTGTATATACTGTAATATGTCAATAAAATGAATACAAGTAACACGTATATGTACCATGTGTAAACGTATAGTATTTTGTAGTTTTTATAACGCTCGTATTCCACATATGCTTGTGTAACTGTGTTCATAGTACCATATTCGACATAATAAGCGCCCTGCTCTAATAAGCGCCCACGGCGATATTTGCTTATATATTGGCTAGTGAACAATCCCAATTAGCACCCTTCCGATTGATCAATGTACACAAGACTTATTTATTTGTGTATATTACGTGTGTTATATGCATCCTTAATTATGGGAAATTACATTCTGGAAAAATATAACTGTCGTATATAAACATTTCAGGCTGTTGTTTTTCACCAAAATAATATTCTAATAAGATCCCCCTATTTCTAATTTTGAGAGATCCCTGGGCGCTTATTATGTCGAATAGGGTATATGTATTTATAGTATATGATATGATGAAATATTTCAGATAATAAATTCGGGGAATTAAACGTGAATCTCTTCTTTAAAAGATTAAGAAATGTTAATGTGACAAAATTAACTAAATATGATTCTTAAAATCTGTTGCTATCAACCTATCAGTCTAGCCCTTTTTTCGCTAGCATTGTTGCATCCTATTGCGACAGCCTATCTTAACTAACATGTTCTACAACGTCTACCTTGACGAGCTATAGAGCGAAAGTTATGAATGTACGTCCTATCGCGACAACATATTATGTATGGCAAACTGAGGAATGTACGTCCTCTCAAGCCGAGATATGATACTACCTCATTTTGCACGTGCTTAGACAGCATGTGCCATGTCACACTTTTGTTTTCTCCGCGAAGTAAGTTGTGTTCCAGCTATCTGTTCACGCTTAACATGTCTTCAAACCAATGACTGTAACTCCATACTTTTATATAGACTAATGAAAGTCAGCATGCTATGATCGATTTGAGGAACAGGGCCCAATAATTCAATAAAAAAACACTCACCGTGATAAAGTCACACATCGAACCTGTCACATCTACTCCGATTTACGACCCTTGATTCTATGAATTCCAATATCCTCCAATATCGTACATGGACATTAAGCGTGGCCCCCACCCAGTGGAGATATTTACAACACCACTTGCACATCGCTGAAACAGTACAGGCAGGTTCAATCTCGGGTTAAGTGTGTGCCAATGTCCTTTATGTGTTGACTGTTGGGAAGAGAATTCCGTTGTACAGATAAGAGTTATTAAACATAAATTACAGCCATGTTTGTTTACATACAACGGCTGTTTACTTTACAAGATTTGGAAGGCTGGTCTGAAGTCTCTTAGCTGACGGTAGATCGTGATTGTGTTGATAACAGTTCTTTGTGATTGTTGGAAGAAAACTCAGATGTTAACACAATTATTTATGTGTTTAAATGTGATGAGGGTATTATAATATTGTGTGTAATTGTGATGCAGGTATTATAATATTGTGTCTTATTGTGATGCAGGTATTATAACATTGTGTCTTATTGTGATGCAGGTATTATAACATTGTGTCTAATTGTGATGTAGGTATTATAACATTGTGTCTAATTGTGATGCAGGTATTATAACATTGTGTCTACTTGTGATGCAGGTATTATAACATTGTGTCTAATTGTGATGTAGGTATTATAACATTGTGTCTAATTGTGATGCAGGTATTATAATATTGTGTCTAATTGTGAAATAGGTATTATAACATTGTGTCTAATTGTGATGCAGGTATTATAACATTGTGTCTAATTGTGATGGAGGTATTATAACATTGTGTCTAACTGTGAAATAGGTATTATAACATTGTGTCTAATTGTAATGTAGGTATGATAACATTGTGTCTTATTGTGATGCAATTATTATAATATTTTGTCTAATTGTGATGCAGGTATAATAACATTGTGTCTAATTGTGATGCAGTTATAATATTTTGTCTAATTGTGATGCAGGTATTATAACATTGTGTCTACTTGTGATGTAGGTATTATAACATTGTGTCTTATTGTGATGCAGGTATTATAACATTGTGTCTACTTGTGATGCAGGTATTATAACATTGTGTCTTATTGTGATGCAGGTATTATAACATTGTGTCTAATTGTGATGCAGGTATTATAAGATTGTGTCTAACTGAGATGTAGGTATACCATTGTCAAATTGTAATGCAGGTATTATAAAATTGTGTCTAATTGTGATGCAGGTATAACATTGTGTCTACTTGTGATGCAGGTATTATAACATTGTGTCTAATTGTGATGCAGGTATTATAACATTGTGTCTAATTGTGAAATAGGTATTATAACATTGTGTCTAATTGTAATGTAGGTATTATAACATTGTGTCTAACTGATGAAAGTTTCACAACATTGTCTAATTGTGATGCAGGTATTTTAACATTGCAATCTCATTAAAATCAGATCTTAGTTCCCGCTACTGCTAAACAAAGATCTGAGGACATCTCATTACGGGTCACTTCAGACCGACCAATGGATTGACCAATCAGAAGGAAGCTTTCTCGTGCTTTACGGCACTAATTTCAAATTGGCGACTACACTTTAAAACATATTTTGACAAATTCTCGATTACAAATTTGAAACCCGAACAAAAGAACATTCTGGAATGGCTAATAGATGGTCTAGATTGTATGGATTCAGTCGTTAAACCTGTAACTATAGTTCGGAATACCCCCTGTTAAAGTTTTCGAGGTTGCATGATTAGAAATCACATTCCGACAGTCACTTTCATAATCCGGTAAGTGACGCTCTGATTAGTCGGATGAAAGGTCGTTTGACGTGACCCCTTATGGGATGTCCTTAGGTCTTTGTTTAGCAGTGGCAAGAACTAAGATCTGATTTTAATGAGATTGTATAACATTGTGTCTAATTGTGATGAGGGTATAATAACATTGTGTCTAATTGTGTTGCAGGTTTTATTACATGTTGTCTAATTGTGATGCAGGTATTATAACATTGTGTCTAAATGTGATGCAAGTATTATAAGATTGTGTCTAACTGAGATGTAGGTATTATACCATTGTCAAATTGTAATGCAGGTATTATAAAATTGTGTCTAATTGTGATGCTGGTATAACATTGTGTCTAATTGTAATGCAGGTATTACAACATTGTGTCTAATTGTAATGCAGGTATTATATAACATTGTGTCTAATTGTAATGCATATTATAACATTTTGTCTAATTATAATGCAGGTATAACATTGTATCTAATTGTGATGCAGGTATTATATAACATTGTATAGAATTGTGATGCAGGTATTATATAACATTGTGTCTAATTGTGATGCAGGTATTATATAACATTGTGTCTAATTGTGAAGCAGGTATTATATAACATTGTGTCTAATTGTGATGCAGGTATTATATAACATTGTGTCTAATTGTGATGCAGGTATTATATAACATTGTATAGAATTGTGAAGCAGGTATTATATAACATTGTGTCTAATTGTCATGCAGGTATTATATAACATTGTGTCTAATTGTGATGCAGGTATTATATAACATTGTATAGAATTGTGAAGCAGGTATTATATAACATTGTGTCTAATTGTGAAGCAGGTATTATATAACATTGTGTCTAATTGTGATGCAGGTATTATATAACATTGTGTCTAATTGTGATGCAGGTATTATATAACATTGTATAGAATTGTGAAGCAGGTATTATATAACATTGTCTAATTGTGATGCAGGTATTATATAACATTGTGTCTAATTGTAATGCAGGTATTATAGAAATGTCCATGAGGACAGTGCTGTGTAAGGGGATAGTGGTTGGCAACAACAGTAAACTACGTTAATAACGAACACGCTCATAATGAACTGACCTATATAACGGAAATATTTGTTAGTCCCGACCATTTGGTGTATATATATATATATATATGCTTCATAACGAACTATGGTTATTACGAACTAATAGTATTGGTCCCTATGAGTTTGTTATGACTGTAGTTTACTGTACTGTGAATTATAATAGCCTTGTCACAGTTGCGAATAATAATTCAAAAGGCTTTCATGATTAACACTGAGAATTCAGAATTATTGCTGCATGATTTAAATTAATTATGACAGCCTTGTAAGATGATTAATTCACATGTTATTCACATGATTAACATGGTGATGACTACAGTGTAAATTTGGATTACTTGGCATAATAATTATGAGGAGAAATGATTTTAAACGTTGTGTTAAAGATTATAGCACCAATATATAGCGACAATAGACTGAGTCATTTAATGTCTTTGGTAGCTGAGGATTAAAACCCCAAACTTTTGCTCTAACCACAAGAACATGGAGAAGGTGTTATAATTAGGATGCAATAGCCTTGTGAATAGTGACTGTCAATACTGATGTTCCCAAATACTGCCTCAGAAACAAAATGCCATGGATTTAATCGATTTCATTTTTTGACATTCCTTTAGGTAAAAAGTTTTGTTTACATTTTAACAGAACTGATTGACTCACAAGTAGAACAGGATTGTTGTATGTTGTTTAATGCCGCACTCAGCAATATTCCAGCTATGTGACGGCGGTCTGTAAATAATCGAGTCTGGACCAGGCAATCCAGTGATTGACATCATGAGCACTGATCCACACAACTGGGATACAATGACATGCATTGAGCTTGACCAACCGATCCCGCTAGTCACCTTTTACGGCAAGCATGGGTTGCTAAAGACCTATTCTAACCCGGATCTTCACTGGTCACAACTGACAGACTCACATGTAGAACAGAACTGACACACACTCACATGTAGAACAGGACTGACACACACTCACATGTAGAACAGAACTGACACACTGACATATAGAACAGAACTGACACACACTCACATGTAGAACAGAACTCACACACTCACATGTAGAACAGAACTGACACACACTCACATGTAGAACAGGACTGACACACACTGACATAGAAAAGAACTGACACACTGACATAGAACAGAACTGACACACACTCACATGTAGAACAGAACTCACACACTCACATGTAGCACAGAACTGACACACACTCACATGTAGCACAGAACTGACACACACTCACATGTAGCACAGAACTGACACACACTCACATGTAGAACGGACCAAGACAGTACATACCAGGTCGTGATGTTCCGGGACGTTACAGAACAGATAGCTGTCATCATCCACAGCAACTCCATTTCCACCATTTTTCAGAATTCCCCTCGGAGCTACCGGAGACTCCATGGCAACAGGTCCTGTTGGATAGCAACACAATATATTCAGTAATCACCTTCAGCACAAAAACACAGAGCTATCCAACACACAGCTTCCCTCCGAAGCCTGAGAGACTCAGGCCATCTTGTTTCTACAGACGCTTTAGCTACTCCATGTTGACAGAAGTTTGAATATATTCACACCTCAAACTCAGTTATCTCCCTTAGGGACACAGCAGCATGAGAACCCTTTGTTATACCTGGATCTTGTTTGCTGAGTTATTCAGGTCGGACTGATCGTAGTATTACAGCGAGGAGATCATGTGACTTGTCATGCCCAGGCAAGTATGAATGAAGCATTAGATGTGTGTCAGGTTTTGCCGCCAGTCAGACAATTGTACCACCAGGCTTAGGGGAAGGATTTGTAGGGGGATAATCTTATGGGTGCCACTGTAAGAAGCGATCACAGCAGATTAAGCATGCATGGGCATTAAAAACATAGCCATGAAGGATTTATTGTTTTAACCAATTGCACTTTTTAGACTCTTTTGTCTATATAGAGATTAAAGTCATGTAATTGGCTGAACCTTCATTGTTGTTTGTTTAGAGTAGTAAACTGGTTAATTAGGCATTGTCTTTCTTGGACCCTAATTAGCAACTGGAAAATTGGATTATTGCAATTACTATATACAGTTCTTAGAATCAACACCTTAGAATTAAAAAATTAATAAATATCTATTTTCATAAGTAACCTTTAAATATCTAATACTGTCCTATCAACATATAATTGAAGGAGAATTTTAAACTCTTCCACCTTGTACACAGATCTTGACCTACTGTCCTTAAATTCTGAAATAATATCAACAAAGCCTGAAGGTAGAACATTGGCTTGATGCAAGCACTTGTCTATGAAGCAGGGCCGGTGGTGTTTACACAAACACTGGTCCTGCTTGGTCTGGATCAAGTGTGTTCATGCTCAGATACCCATGTATGGGACAAGGAAACAGATCTATCTTCATATATTTATAAACACACACACATATATATACATATGCTGATTGTCTGCATTGTGTTTTGATGTGATCGTGGCCTGTACATACATAAGCACATGGGAAATTGCAATAATAAAGGCATTCGGACCCAAGTTTGCAGGAAATGTCACTAAAAAATGTCCCAATTCATGTCAACTAATTTTATGGTTTTGAAAGAACCTGCATTTCAGATCAGAACAAATAAAAAACAAGGTACAATGGTCAAATTTAAGAAAATAGAACTTATAAAAATCCCAGTTTGCCATCTTCCCGAGGCAAGCGTGTCCACTAGCCTGTATCAAAGCCTATTTTCTACCCTTGCCACTTTTCTTGGCTAGACCCTGGCGCCCTCCCGTGTAGATCACAAGTTCAAAGATGGCTTCAACCTTGTTGATCAGTTAACGAAAACATTTGCGATTTCATCCCTGACACAAAAGCAGAGGAAATCGTTGAGGGGTTTAAAAGATGAAAAAGACATATTTGTGTCAACAAAGACAGGAACAGCCGTGTATGATTTTGTGAACAGGAAAGTGGGCTTGATGTGGCAAGGGTGGAAACAAGACTTTTGCTAAAAAGGCTAGTGGACGCTTTTGCTAGGGAAGGTGCAGTTTGCCCGTCAGTGGCATTAGTTTAGAATCTTGTATTATACACCCAGACAAGTCGAGCACCACCTACCAAGACTATGGCATTATTTAGTGACATGTTTTGTAACCATTCCAATGCAGTGTTGTTGTTTTTTTACTGGAATCAGTATTTGTGTTTTATATTTTAAATGTACCATTATGTAATTAGTGTCTCGTAGGCCGGGTGCTGTTTTTTTTTATGAAATATTTATATGTCTATATATTTTGTACTGCAGCAAGTGACACTCTAATAAAACAATTTTCTTCTTCTGTGACCATCTTGACAAACATCCTTGTTGCAGTTTATCAGCAGTTGAGGGCCTCGATATGATACAGGACAGTACTTTTATTCTTTCTTTTAGCAGGTGCATCACAACCCTGAATCATTAATCTTTAAATTCCAGAGATGTTGGGCAGAACATATTTATTGCCAACCAGGAAATACTAGAGAATCTGTAAGCTGGATCCTGAAAAGTTTGTTATTATTCTGTTTACAGGAATATTACTTGTATTATTATATTATTACTTCTATTATAATATCACACAGTTGTAAATCGTCACATCACTAATCAATTTCATATGTAGTATGCTTATAACGAACTGTTTATTTGGTCCCGGCCAATTGCTGTATATTTTATCATATAAAATTGATGGATATAACAAACTCACTTTGTGGTCCCTTGTGTGTACTGTGTCAACAATTACCTGTTTATCCCTGAGCTGAGATCTTATGTGTCACCAATCTGCCTTTCAAAATATCCGCGGCCACAGTTTTTCAAATCAGCAATAAACAATTGAAGGCAATTCATTTACAGTGTATCCTGTGAATAAGATGCAATGACTTGAGTGATGAAATTCAGTTTGTTTTTAGTGATTGATAAATCCATGAAACCAAGATGTTCTAAGAACGCTGTGCAGCCGACCAGTCCTTGTTTCAGCTCCTTAATGCCAAGCACCACATACAACAAGTCTTTGGTACAAAGCATCTGGAGCTCGAAACAATCATCTTCAGCTCCCCAAGAAGACAGGCAAATCTTGGATCCTGACACGGCAAAGGGATGCAACTCAAAACACCCATTCCCTTGCTGTCATGCAGCGATAGAAACTACATTTTTAGTCCACTATAGTGATCTGATGATACCTTATCATGACATACCAGGCATGCTTACTTAAAGTCAAATAACGTGTCTACATGTGTAGTATTGGGTGTCAAGTCCGTAGCACACGTCTCACACACCCTTGTCCCCCAGTCTTGATTATACTGATTCCATGGCCTACCACAACCAGGTAATATAATTATGTGACTACAGTTGACTTTCCGACCAACAAGTTCACTCAAGGACAATACACAAGGAACTCAGTTGTTATTGCTGTGCCAAGAAAGGGCTCAAGGAGGCTTTTCACTACAGCCTGAAAGGAGATTCAACCACTACCCTTGCCAGCACACATACCCTGATCACTCACACACTGTCAGACAGACCATCAGAGTTTTCCAACATATTTCTTTGTTACATGCACTGATATGTGAAAAAGAAGAAATTAAAGTGCGTGCTTCAAAACAATGTCCAAAACAAGAGAAATAAAAAGAAAAATCACAGAAATATTCTATTATTTAAACAGTTAATACTTGTAGCTCTTTTATCTTCTGATTTTGGATGTGTTTGTTGTTTAACTCAGCAATATCCCAGCTATATGATGGCGGTCATATAATTGAGTCTGGACCAGACAATATGATTTTATCATAAGTATCAATCTACGCAATTGAGATATGATGACATGCATCAACCAAGTCAGCAAACCTGACCACCCGATCCTGTAAGTCGCCTCTTACAGCAAGCATAGTCGCCTTTTAATGCAAGCATGGGTCTTCACATGTCTTATTTTCTGATCCACCTGAGGTGGGCAAAGAAAATAAATTCAGACGATTTTTTCATATCATGAGATTGTGTTTTTTTTGCACCAACCACTCGTTTAACACCGCAATCAGAAATATTCCAGCAGTATGATGGCATCTGTCAATAATCAAGTCTGGACAATCCAGTGATCAATCTAAGCAATTGGAAAATGATGCCATCTTGGAGACTAACATGATCGGGTAGTCATGCTCACATGTACAGCAATTGCAGATGGATGCTCATGCTGTCAATCACTGGATTGTGTGGCATTAAACAACAAACACAAACTAATTAAGACAATTTGACATTGTCCCGTGCAACAAAGACATAAAACTACAAACCAGAATCCAGTTTCCAAATTGGCTGCTAATGTTTTTAACGAGCATACCCATTGTTTTTTTACAGTAATCTTCACTAGAACAATTACCTTGTTGACGTGTGTGGCTAGCTGATACAATCAGGGGGAGGGTGTACGGTTACCTGGGCACGTGAACACCTGTAACGAGGTAGACGGCTGACCGCACACAGGTATTGTGAGATTACTGCTGCCTCCTGAGTGGTATTGATACGCTTCAACAGTTGCTAACTCAACAAAGCCACCCCATTACTACAGCTGATTTAATAAAGTGACCGGGTCTATTATTAGGAAAGAGATATGTATCTTGCATATTACTATTAGAGAATGGGTATAGAATTTTGTGCTCTTTTTCTACATATGAATATAAATAGGCTTCAGAAATAAAGAATTAACCCTCTTTCTTCAAGGCAATCTGACATGGGTGACCTCTTTGGTCATGTGGACAAGGCATCCGACCTCTGATCAGAAGGTCGTGGTTTGAATCCCATCACGGGACTCAGATATTTAATGGCCGGTACATTGGTGCCCAACTGAACTTGTTTATATTAAATGTGAGCTAAACAAGAAGTAAGCAAAGTGGTCAACAACAAATAGTAAATAGTTTGTTAATTAATTAAATATTACATATTTCTAACTGATTTAAACTTCAATGTTTTAAAATCTAAGATTGAGTTCCAGTGACAATTGACCCCCCCCCCCCCCCACCCCTAATAAAAAAATATCCCATGTTACCAGTGTTCACTACGAGGAAGTAGATCACCATGAACACCTTTAAATAAAAAATTGATTGAGGAGTTACATAATAAGAATTATCAAAAGGACCAAAAATTGTTGATATAAAAACAAATAAAAAATGGAACAATATCATATAAGAAAATCAATAATTTCCATCTAGCCTTTACATATATGGTAAAGAATTCAAACTAACACAAAGCACAGATAGTTTTATGATGATCTACATGAGTGGAAACAATTTTGTATAGCTAATATATTTTCCAAAACCAGTCATCAAAATTTCTAAACTCCATCATGTTTCCATGAAAACAGCAAAAGAGAAAACTTTCAGAATCTTATAAAAGATAAAAAACAATCATAGTGGTTAATGTAGCAAGTTTGCTGAAGCTAGGATACATAATATTGTAAACATGGATCGTACAAAAACTCTACCCAAAATTTATGTTTCACCATGATTTCATGGAAACGGCAAAAATAAAAAAATTCAGAATCTTCAAACTAGCAAAAGGCACAAGTACTCATTGTGGTAAATGTGTGTAGAAAGTTTGGTGAAGCTAGGGTGCATGGTTAAAAAGTTATGGGCCGTACAAAAGCTCGGACGGACGAACGGAACGCTATATACCGATTTACTTCGTAAACGGGGGTACAATAAGTCTCAGTACCCAACTATGCGACCCAGGATGTGCCTTCTGTTGACGGGGGAGTATGAAGCAGGGCGTAGAGTCATCCTACAGATGACATCCTTAACTTTTCAGTTTGCTGACGGGGTTAACCTATTTGGTCATGTGGACAAAGGCGTCCAACCTTTGATCAGAAGGTCCGTGGTTCGAATCCAAGCATGTGAGTCGGCTGCTACACAATCAAAGCTCAGCGATTGAAAAAACTTTTCAATTGTGTGCTTAAGCATGTTTGAGATGCACCATCAAATTTCACAATTCTCTCATGGATAAAAGGTGCAAAATTCTACTCTGAAATTCCATCATTGTGATTCAAGATGCATATTTGATAATCCAAATAAGTCAATAATGGACCACCATCACTGACACATTTCTTTCTCAATCATGACCAGAAAGCAGTTGAGAAACAGACATAGGAAAAAGTAGCTGATAAATAGCTAAGTAAAAGTTCCAAGAATAGCATGTACAATTGTTGCACTATAATTGCGCTTTAAACACAATAATTGCAAAATTTGATGCTGCATCTCAAACATGCTTAAGCTTGAAACTAAATTTAGCATCATCCACTCTACACAATTGATTTACACATTTAACACCCAAAAAAACAATCCATGCCCACTAACGAACTACTGTTTCCCCGACTGACTGATAGAAAGGGCGGGGTTTGCGTTGCATGATTTCGCTGAATGAGGTCACCAATTTTGTTTGGTGGCTACAGTTTCTTTGGGTGTTAGCGATTAAATTAGCAGTCTGTGAAGTTATTATTGTCAACATAAAAAAGAATTTACTTCAATATAAACGTGACACAATTTGCATAAATCCACTACACAGGATGCACACCAGTTTTCATAAACATACCTCCAAAAATGCAAAAAATATGAAGTAATTCTTCAACATAATTGAATTGTTTTGGAATAATAAAATATAGAAAACATAATATGAGTGCATTAAAGTATTTTCAATTCAGAAACAAGTGATAAAGACCGTAACACATCATGGCATGTTGGTATTGCAATGTTTTGTAGTATTTGTGTTATTGGTAAGACTAAGAGGTTAAGTAAAATATCAAATCAGAGTCCGAGAATTTTCTTTATTGTACTTTAGGCTAAAAAGAATAATAGTCTTGGTTCTCAGGCACCACCTGCATCATCATAAAGTCTGCCGCATGTTTCGTTTATATTTCCATTTTTAAAAAAATAACAAAATCCTTACACTTAAAAACAATATAACGCACAGTTACTTCCCCTTACATCTTGTGTTACGATCATGGCGGCAATAGGAGTTTGAATGCATGTTTATATAGGAAGGCCCTGATGGTACACAATTGTTTATTTACATACTAGTTTGAACAACAACAAAAACAAAAAAACAACATCTGCACGCACCATATTTAAAAATTTTACCAATTTTTTTCCTTTTTTTTTTTAAGCCTTACATGAAGGATTCAGAGCAACAAAGATCTAAAACTGCCATTTATCAAAGCTCAATTATCATCGATAAATTTAGCCAATGATCAATTTTGAAAATTTAAACCAATTCCCTGCACTACCTTGGGGTTTCAAATCGGTTCACAGAGCTCCAGATCAGCTTTTGTTGTTGTGGGTATTTTACCCATGCACTTTCAAATCATTGGGTATCAGTAATTCTATCTGCGTATTCAAATTTCTGTTACCCACTAGTTTTTACACATGTGGGTATTTAAGTTAAATATTTAAAAACACTATTCATCTAGTCTCTGCAAACTGGTGTCGTGTGGGTTCGAGAGCTTTATAGGACTCAAAAATACCACGATACTTCCACACAAAAGTGTGATGGCAAATGATCATGATGTAACTGTCATCGTGGAGTTTGGCAAGGTTGACGGAATGCCCGTTTATAATTTCAAAATAAGTTGCTGATTTGCTAATCAAATACGCAGGGTTACTTCACAATATTTTGATGATACGCACAGATTTTATTTTTGTAGCGTATCTGTAATGTTCGTTGCGTATTTGATACACTTGGATTATATTTTACTGCGTATTTCTGCATTTCTGATGCGTATTTCACGCAGATACGCAGCTTATCTGGAGCTCTGGGTTCATTTTCTGGGATAGCCACTGATTGTCATCCAAAATGTCCATAAGATGTTTTTCAAATTTGATCAAGATGAAGAAGACTGTATCAAAAGTAGATGAAATCACAAAAATGTCCTTGTTCCATTGAACCTCATTCTCAGCAACCCTGATGTTGTCAGAGAATAATCTGTTCTACTTTTTAAATCAACAATTTTCACATAAGTGAGATGAAATAAGGTTTAACACTGCGTCCAAGATTAATGCACTTATATACCAACAGCCATGCACGTGTGTTTGTGTGGCTGCTTGTACTAGTCCGGACTGATGTCGATTTATAGTGCAAGCTCACTGAGACACCATGCCGCAGTTTAACATGAGTACCCTACTAAGATACAGTATACTGACCAGACCTTGTTTTAGGCCCTTAATGCTGAGCACCAGGCAGGGCACCAACAAGTACCATCTTTTAATGTCTTTTGGTATGACGCGGCCAGGGATCGAACCCTGGACCTTCCGCTCTACCACTAGACCACGGAGACGGCCTATAAGTACCATGGCTTGCTCATATCAACATATGCTAGCTGTATTAAGTGGATCAAAGATTTGCCTCGACAAATTTTGTAAAAAATATTAAAAAAACTTACGTATTGGGCTTGGTGGTGTAATGAATGACCCATCGAAGTTGACAGTCGTCGAAAGTCTGGAATCCGAAATAGGAGTCCCCGTAGCAACAGGTGTAACTGGCATGGATCCTGGGCGAGGTCCAGGGGAGATAACTCCAACACTATGCATTCCCGGCGGAGGCGGTGGACCAGATGAAGGCATGGGGATTCTTCCATTAGCAGGGTAGTAGATCCTCACTGGTGTTTTCCCACCTGCTGAATAATAGACTCTTCCAGGCTGATACCCAACACTTTGTGCTGGCCCTGTGGGTACATACACCTGCTGGCCCACACTGTAACCGCCTGGGGGGACAGGCACGCCCCCAGGGGGTTGGGGGTAAAACCCAGGTTGTACCCCAGAGTAACCAGGCTGGACTCCGGGGTAGGCTCCTTCAGGGTAGCCAATGGGGTAGGAATATTCCATATTAACTGGATCAAAAGCAACTCTTGGATCTGTTTGAGAGGCAACAGGAACAAAACCCTGGGGTGGGGCACTAGGGTCTATGGGAGCGTATGTACCCTCAACGTGACCCAGGGTACGCCCTGGGGCAGGGCCAGGCATTGGATGGCCACCACTGACTACATGGCTTTGGCTTGGCACTCCATGTGATGGCCCGGCAATGCCTGGCGAAGTGGGCACTCCCCAGGACGGCACTCCCGTCTCTCCCCTCCCAGGCTGTGCTGGTGTCCCCCCAACATACATGCTGGGGTCAGCTGGGTGGAAGCCTGGGGGTTGGGGAGAGTGGTACTGCGCGTGGTGAGGTTGAGGTCTGTACACAGGCTCGAAGGCTGAAGGTTGCGAAGCTTTCCTACGCGTCTGAGCGCGGTTGCGCCCGAAAATGCGACTGGCGGCACGACCACTGCGCTGACTGAGGCGATCTGCATCATCAACTGAAAAAACAAACAAGTAGATGATGACTGTGACCTAGATGATACCTATGACATGGAAATAAGAAATATCTGGATAATTTCATCCTGAACATAATCATTTGAGGCAGAGGAAGATGTAAAGCTTGACCTTCCACCAATCAAGTCAATTTGATTCACGTGCCATTGAAATGAGATATCAAACATATCTACAACAAACATGCTTTAATATCATACCTCCATGTCAGAATGATGAGATCTTATGAGTCCATGTGATCTTGATAAATTACTAAGTATCCTGCCTTGGAGGGAAACAAGTTTCTCAAGAGGGAATAAATCCCTTATACCCCGCCATGAGCAAGTCAGGCTGGATGTGGATTTCTTTGAGGCAGAATAAATCCCTTGTATCCCACTTTCGAAACAAATAGCCACATGTTTTTTCCAAGTCAATGAAAGTCACGTGACATAGCACAAGTTAACCTCAGCTCAATTGAACAACTGTTTTCTATCAATTTTGAATTTGTTTTAATTCTTTTTCAATGTCATATTAAAACATGTTGGTAAGATACATTTTTTGCACAGGATTACTTGTGGTAAATGGGGTTTTAGACAACGAGCCTCCGACACGAAGTCACACATACGAAGTAAAATTGTGTTTAAATCTAGGCCTACATCCTTTGAGGTTAAAAACTGTGATAAAACTTCATCACAAACTCCAACGTTCATAAGGTTTGGCCCTCACTCTATGAAGGTTCATATTCCAGTGAACTCACACAAAGTGAAAGTCAATTCTGCAATAAATACACTAGCAGCTCTTCAATATTCAAAATGTACTTTGTAAAACTGGGATTATGCAAAAATCAATCAATTGACGAAAAGTAGGATGAAAGTAAGGATAAAAAAAAGGATGAAGGTCAGGATGAAGGCCAGGTGAAGGTCAGGGTGAAGGTCAGGATGAAGGCAAGGATGAAGACCAGGATGAAGGTAAGGATGAAGGTCAGGTGAAGACAAGGATGAAGACCAGGATGAAGACAAGGATGAAGGTAAGGATGAAGGTCAGGATGAAGGTCAGGATGAAGGCAAGGATGAAGGTCAGGATGAAGGTCAGGATGAAGACAAGGATGAAGGTCAGGATGAAGACAAGGATGAAGACAAGGATGAGGGCAAGGATGAAGACAAGGATGAAGACAAGGATGAAGGTCAGGATGAAGACAAGGATGAAGGTCAGGATGAAGACAAGGATGAAGGTCAGGATGAAGACAAGGATGAAGACAAGGATGAAGGCAAGGATGAAGGTCAGGATGAAGACAAGGATGAAGACAAGGATGAAGGCAAGGATGAAGACCAGGATGAAGGTAAGGATGAAGGTCAGGTGAAGGTCAGGATGAAGACAAGGATGAAGACCAGGATGAAGACAAGGATGAAGACCAGGATGAAGACAAGGATGAAGGTAAGGATGAAGGTAAGGATGAAGGTCAGGATGAAGGCAAGGATGAAGACCAGGATGAAGGCCAGGTGAAGGTCAGGATGAAGACAAGGATGAAGGTCAGGATGAAGGTCAGGATGAAGACAAGGATGAAGACAAGGATGAGGGCAAGGATGAAGACAAGGATGAAGGCAAGGATGAAGGCAAGGATGAAGGTCAGGATGAAGACAAGGATGAAGGTCAGGATGAAGGTCAGGATGAAGGTCAGGATGAAGACAAGGATGAAGGTCAGGATGAAGACAAGGATGAAGACAAGGATGAAGGCAAGGATGAAGGTCAGGATGAAGACAAGGATGAAGGCAAGGATGAAGACCAGGATGAAGGTCAGGATGAAGACAAGGATGAAGGCAAGGATGAAGGCAAGGATGAAGACCAGGATGAAGGTCAGGATGAAGACAAGGATGAAGACAAGGATGAAGGTCAGGATGAAGGTCAGGATGAAGACAAGGATGAAGACAAGGATGAGGGCAAGGATGAAGACAAGGATGAAGGCAAGGATGAAGGCAAGGATGAAGGTCAGGATGAAGACAAGGATGAAGGTCAGGATGAAGGTCAGGATGAAGGTCAGGATGAAGACAAGGATGAAGGTCAGGATGAAGACAAGGATGAAGGCAAGGATGAAGGTCAGGATGAAGACAAGGATGAAGGCAAGGATGAAGACCAGGATGAAGGTCAGGATGAAGACAAGGATGAAGGCAAGGATGAAGGCAAGGATGAAGACCAGGATGAAGGTCAGGATGAAGACAAGGATGAAGACAAGGATGAAGGTCAGGATGAAGGTCAGGTGAAGGTCAGGATGAAGACAAGGATGAAGGTCAGGATGAAGACAAGGATGAAGACAAGGATGAAGGCAAGGATGAAGGTCAGGATGAAGGTCAGGATGAAGGCAAGGATGAAGGCAAGGATGAAGACCAGGATGAAGGTCAGGATGAAGACAAGGATGAAGGCAAGTATGAAGGCCAGGATGAAGACCAGGATGAAGGTCAGGATGAAGACAAGGATGAAGACCAGGATGAAGACAAGGATGAAGGTCAGGATGAAGGTCAGGATGAAGGTCAGGTGAAGGTCAGGATGAAGACAAGGATGAAGACCAGGATGAAGACAAGGATGAAGATCAGGATGAAGGTCAGGTGAAGGTAAGGATGAAGACAAGGATGAAGGCCAGGATGAAGGTGAGGATGAAGGCAAGGATGAAGGTACAGTCATCCCTGAACTAAGAAGCACATACTCATGGTTGCAAAATTCTAGCAGCTCAAGTCTTTGAATGGCATTTAGAAGTGATACACATAAGGAAGAGAATAAGAGCTAGAATGTGGAAGGGAATTTATGGATGTCAACTTCTTTATTACTAGGAACACAATGTTTCGGAGTGTACACTTACTCCTTCATCAGGCCTTGTTCTTCATAATAAAGACGCTGACATCCATAAATTCCCTTCCACATTCTATCAGCTGATACAAACGAGGCACAACAGTGTAAGCTGTACAAGCACACCACAACCACAACCACAACCACAACCACAACCACAACCACAACCACACCGCCAACAACAGAAAGCTAACACAGAAATTGAAATTTATGCAAAATATAAAATACATTTTTCACTTTCATAACACAGGTTTTTTGACTTATCAGGAATATTAAATCTATGAACTGTGATCTTCTTACAACATTCTCATGTTGTTTAATGCCGACATCAGCAATATTCCAGCTATATGTCAACCTCCATATAATTGAGTCTGGACATGACAAACCAGTGAGTGATATTATGAGCATGTCCCACAGCATTGGGGTATCAACATGCAATCAACCAAGTCACTGAGACTGACCCGGGATCCATGTTGTTGATTTGTACGACAGCCATTGGTTGCTGGGGATCAATTCAAACCCGAATGCCCACGGGGAACACCATTTAAGATATTTGCTTCAATTATTGCTTGGACACACAGTTCAACATGTCCTAAATTCATGAATAAACGTGAAATAGTTGGTTGTAAACACATCCAGTGATCGGGCCAGACCAGGAGGCAACAAGTTCAAATGAGGCCTGCATTCACAATTGGGACTAAAGCATTCTCATCTCATGCTTTTAAAAATAATGTCCAGTTGAAAAAAGGCTAAAAAAATACTAGTCTTGGTTCTCAGGCCCCGCCCGCATCATCAGAAAGTCTGCTGCACATTTCGTTTTTATTTCCATTTTTTTTTTTAAAAATCCAAATACAATAAACTTTTTTGTAATGCACAAGCTTATAACAAACTGACGTATATAACGAAATGTGTTTTGATCCCGTCCATTTGCTGTATATAAGCTTATAACGGACTACTGTTATAACGAAATAAAATTAGTGGTCCCTTTTGAGTTGAACCATAGTTTACTGAACTTAAAAACAATGCAATCCAATATAGCAAACAGTTACTCCCCTTTACATGTGCACTGCTTTACTGTGCATCTCGTGTTATGGTCAAGGCGGCAATAGGAGTTTGTATGCTTGTTAATGTAGGGAGGCTTTCCCAGGTTGATGGTACACAGCTGTTTATTGTAGTTACATACTAGTTTGCCCGCCCTCACTATATTTTCAAAACTCATTGCCTGAGAACCTATGCTTTTATTTTTTTAATCCTAAAGGATGAAAGATTGACCAGTCATGTTTTCTATTCAGATCAGATCTAATCGGTTGTCAGTGACATCTGTTCACATTGGATCAAAGAGGTTGTCAGTGACATCTATTCAGATTGGATCAAATGGGTTGTCAGTGACATCTATTCAGATTGGATCAAATGGGTTGTCAGTGACATCTATTCAGATTGGATCAAATGGGTTGTCAGAGACATCTATTCAGATTGGATCAAATGGGTTGTCAGTGACATCTATTCACATTGGATCAAATGGGTTGTCAGTGACATCTATTCAGATTGGATCAAATGGGTTGTCAGAGACATCTATTCAGATTGGATCAAATGGGTTGTCAGTGACATCTATTCACATTGGATCAAATGGGTTGTCAGAGACATCTATTCAGATTGGATCAAATGGGTTGTCAGTGACATTTATTCACATTGGATCAAATGGGTTGTCAGAGACATCTATTCAGATTGTATCAAATGGGTTGTCAGTGACATCTATTCAGATTGGATCAAATGGGTTGTCAGTGACATCTATTCAGATTGGATCAAATGGGTTGTCAGCGACATCTATTCAGATTGGATCAAATGGGTTGTCAGTGACATCTATTCAGATTGGATCAAATGGGTTGTCAGTGACATCTATTCAGATTGGATCAAATGGGTTGTCAGTGACATCTATTCAGATTGGATCAAATGGGTTGTCAGAGACATCTATTCAGATTGGATCAAATGGGTTGTCAGTGACATTTATTCACATTGGATCAAATGGGTTGTCAGAGACATCTATTCAGATTGTATCAAATGGGTTGTCAGTGACATCTATTCAGATTGGATCAAATGGGTTGTCAGTGACATCTATTCAGATTGGATCAAATGGGTTGTCAGTGACATCTATTCAGATTGGATCAAATGGGTTGTCAGTGACATCTATTCACATTGGATAAAATGGGTTGTCAGAGACATTTATTCAGATTGGATCAAAGAGGTTGTCAGTGACATCTATTCAGATTGGATCAAATGGGTTGTCAGTGTCATCTATTCAGATTGGATCAAAGAGGTTGTCAGCGACATCTACTCAGATTGGATCAAATGGGTTGTCAGTGACATCTATTCAGATTGGATCAAAGATGCTGTCGGTGACATCTACTCAGATTGGACACAAAATGTTACCTTCTGCACCAGGTGGAGCTGATTGTCTGACTGGAGTTGACTCCGTTGGTCTGCCACTGCTGGGTTTGCCACCAGGAGGCGCCTTTGACTCGCGCCTCTCGGTACCGAGGTGTTCCAGCATGTGTATACGAGGAGGGGAGCTGAGGTGAGTGCCCTGTGATCAAACAGTTGTATATCATCACTGACAACCTGATAATAAAACCTATACCACATTCAATTAAAAGTCAGTCATTTATTTTGAACTCTTTGAACGTATAACGCATGTTTGACTTCAGATCTTAGAAGTTTATCACATTGGTTAAAATAATGAGCATGGGCAAAGGCAAATAAACTAAGAATCATAATTAGGGCAAATTCATACCCATGATCATCAGATTCTGGTACACCTAAGGGAAGCAACTCTGCACAGCAAATTCGCATTCAGGGTGACACATGCCACCTAACTTTTATAAAAGGAACAAAATGATGCATGATGTTAAAATGTCTAGCCCAGAGAATTAGAGATCTTTGTTTGTTTGTTTGTTGTTTAATGCCGCACCCAGCAATATTCCAGCTACATGGCGGCGGTCTGTAAATAATCGGGTCTGGACCAGACAATCCAGTGATTGACATCATGAGCAACGATCCATGCAATTGGAATACGATGACATGCATCAACCAAGTCAGCAGGCCTGACCACCTGATCCCGTTAGTCGCCTCTTACAACAAACATAGTCACTTTTTACGGCAAGCATGGGTTCTTTAAATCCTACTTACCAGATTGCCTCCCATGATGGGAATGGACATGGAGCTGGGTGGGGGGATGCTGCCGTGGCCGGACGCTGCCTGACTCTGTCCGGGGGAGCTGTGCAGCAGGGGGTCATGGCCTGGGGAGGAGTGCAGCAGGGGGGCGGAGGTCCGTCCTGGGGGTGAGGACTGGGGTGCTAGGGCTTGGGGTGGACTAGAGGCGGGCCTTGTTGGAGGCTGGGCTGTTGGGCGGGTCGAGGGTGGGGCTGGTCCCACCAGGGCGGCGCCAGGGGGTGCAAACTGCTGGGCGTACATCGTTGGCTGCGGCATCTGGGGAGGGAAAGAAAACTGCATGGATCTTCACATGACATACATCTCAGCCTGACATGGGTCTCTAGATTATATGGGCATCCAAATTACATGGATATCCACACCACATGGGCATTAAATTACATGGGCATCCACATTACATGGATATCCACATCACATGGGCATCCACATTACATGGGCATCCAAATTACATGGGCATCCACATTACATTGATGTCCACATCACATGGGCATCCACATTACATTGATGTCCACATCACATGGGCATCCACATTACATGGGCATCCACATTACAAGGGCATCCACATTACATTGATGTCCACATCACATGGGCATCCACATTACATTGATGTCCACATCACATGGGCATCCATATCACATGGGCATCCACATTACATGGGCATCCACATTACAAGGGCATCCACATTACATGGGCATCCACATTACATTGATGTCCACATCACATGGGCATCCACATCACATGGGCATCCACATTACAAGGGCATCCACATTACATGGGCATCCATATTACATGGGCATCCACATTACATGGGTCTTCATATTACATGAGTCTTCACACTACATGGACCTGACAGACCGCCTCTGTGGGAAGAGCTTCCGCCTGGAGAAGGTCGAGGTGGTTCAATCCCCGGCCTCATCAAAAGATGTCAAAAGATGGTACTTGCTGTTACCCTGCCTGGCTCTCGGCATTAAGGGGCTAAAACATGGACTGGTCGACTTGGAGTCAGTATACCTGAGGTATTCATGTTAAACTGCAGCATGACATCTCATGCACGCATGCACGCATGCACGCATGCACACATGTCGCTATACAATTGCAACAACCTTGAACTCAACGATAAACGCCATTCCACCACACCTCATAATGGACACAAGATTCATGTTTTTCTGTGTTGAATGAGCGAGTGAATGTATAATATCACAGTCAGCTACACCATCCACACCATCAAGGTGACACACAATCTGCCTCCACACAGTTTCTGACTGACTAACAACAAGCAGCAGAATGAAAGAGGTGAGGTGAAATTGGGTTTAACGTCGCGTCCAAGATTATTGCACTTATATAGCGACGTGCATGCACGTGTATGTGTGTGTGTGGCTGCTTGTACTAGTCCGGACTGATGCCGATTTATAGTGCTAGCTCACTGAGATACCATGCCGCAGTTTAACATGAATACCCCACTCAGACACAGTATACTGACTCCGAGCCGACCAGTCCTTGTTTTAGCCCCTTAATGCCGAGCGCCAGACAGGGTAACAACAAGTACAATCTTTTAACGTCTTTTTGTATGACGCGGCCCGGGATCGAACCCTGGACCTTCCGCTCTCCGGGCGTACGCTCTACCACAAGACCACGGAGGCGGTCCAGAATGAAAGAGACCACATGTGTCTGTTCTGCTGTACATACCACCGGTGGTTGTCTGTACGTGGGTGCAGCCCCAGCCCCTGACCCAGCGCCGACTCCAGCCTGTGTCCCCATCCCTGAGGCCCCGGCATGGTCAGGGGGCATCGTCTGGACATACGCTGACTGCATGGCAAGCGTCTCCTTCAAGTTGTTCACTTCTTGTCTGATTCGCCAGAGTTCATCATCAAACCCAGGTCCAACTGACATGGAAGGTAATGCAATAATTAATAAATGGATATGACATGAACATCGTGACAGACATAAGTGAAGGAAATGAGAGGGGGCTGACTAATGCCACAGTACATTTTAGCAATATCATGGCAGTCTGTAATTGAGTGTGGGCCAGGCAAACCAGTGGTTGATATCAGGGACAGTGTGGAGGGCACCTACCTCCCTCAGGGACAGACAGTGTGGAGGGTCACCTACCTCCCTCAGGGACAGACAATGTGGAGGGCACCTACCTCCCTCAGGGACAGACAATGTGGAGGGCACCTACCTCCCTAAGGGACAGATAGTGTGGAGGGCACCTACCTCCCTCAGGGACAGACAGTTTGGAGGTCACCTACCTCCCTCAGGGACAGACAGTGTGGAGGGCACCTACCTCCCTCAGGGACAGACAGCGTGGAGGGCACCTACCTCCCTCAGGGACAGATTGTGTGGAGGGCACGTACCTCCCTCAGGGACAGACAGTGTGGAGGGTCACATACCTCCTTCAGAGACAGACAGGGTGGAGGGCACGTACCTCCCTCAGGGACAGACAGTGTGGAGGGTCACCTACCTCCTTCAGATACAGACAGAGTGGAGGGCACCTACCTCCCTCGGCGACAGACAGTGTGGAGGGACCCTACCTCCCTCAGGGACAGACAGTGTGGAGGGTCAACTACCTCCCTCAGGGACAGACAGTTTGGAGGGTCACCTACCTCCCTCGGGGACAGACAGTGTAGAGGGTCACCTACCTCCCTAAGGGACAGACAGAGTGGAGGGCACCTACCTCCCTCAGGGACAGACAGTGTGGAGGGCACCTACCTCCCTCAGGGACAGACAGTGTGGAGGGCACCTACATCCCTCAGGGACAGACAGTGTGGAGGGCACATACCTCCCTCAGGGACAGACAATGTGGAGGGCACGTACCTCCCTCAGGGACAGACAGTGTGGAGGGTCACCTACCTCCCTCAGGGACAGACAGTGTGGAGGGCACCTACCTCCCTCAGGGACAGACAGTGTGGAGGGCACCTACCTCCCTCAGGGACAGACAGTGTGGAGGGCACCTACCTCCCTCAGGGACAGACAGTGTGGAGGGCACCTACCTCCCTCAGGGACAGACAGTGTGGAGGGTCACCTATCTCCCTAAGGGACAGACAGTGTGGAGGGCACGTACCTCCCTCAGGGACCGACAGTGTGGAGGGCATCTACCTCCTTTAGAGACAGACAGTGTGGAGGGTCACCTACCTCCCTCAGGGACAGATTGTGTGGAGGGCACGTACCTCCCTCAGGGACAGACAGTGTGGAGGGTCACATACCTCCTTCAGAGACAGACAGAGTGGAGGGCACGTACCTCCCTCAGGGACAGACAGTGTGGAGGGTCACCTACCTCCTTCAGATACAGACAGAGTGGAGGGCACCTACCTCCCTCGGCGACAGACAGTGTGGAGGGACCCTACCTCCCTCAGGGACAGACAGTGTGGAGGGTCAACTACCTCCCTCAGGAACAGACAGTGTGGAGGGTCAACTACCTCCCTCAGGGACAGACAGTTTGGAGGGTCACCTACCTCCCTCGGGGACAGACAGTGTAGAGGGTCACCTACCTCCCTAAGGGACAGACAGTGTAGAGGGACCCTACCTCCCTCAGGGACAGACAGTGTGGAGGGCACCTACCTCCCTCAGGGACAGACAGTGTGGAGGGCACCTACCTCCCTCAGGGACAGACAGTGTGGAGGGCACCTACCTCCCTCAGGGACAGACAGAGTGGAGGGCACCTACCTCCCTCAGGGACAGACAATGTGGAGGGCATCTACCTCCCTCAGGGACAGACAGTGTGGGGGGCACATACCTCCCTCAGGGACAGACAGTGTGGAGGGCATCTACCTCCCCCAAGGGACAGACAGTGTGGGGGGCACGTACCTCCCTCAGGGACAGACAGTGTAGTGGGCACATACCTCCCTCAGGGACAGACAGTGTGGGGGGCACGTACCTCCCTCGGGGACAGACAGTGTGGGGGGCACGTACCTCCCTCAGGGACAGACAGTGTAGAGGGCAAGTACCTCCCTCAGGGACAGACAGTGTGGGGGGCACGTACCTCCCTCAGGAACAGACAGTGTGGGGGGCATGTACCTCCCTCAGGGACAGACAGTGTGGGGGGCACCTACCTCCCTCGGGTCCCTGTTGGGCCAGGTAGTCCAGCATCTGATTCAGGTTCTCCATCTCCTCTTTCTGGGCATCCAGGATGTCATACAGCCGCGTCAACTCCTCCTCCTGGGCAACTGGAGCACAGAAAACATTAAAGTGAATGAGTGGGCGAGTTGGTGGTTGGATGAGTTGATGGGAGAGTGGGTAGATCGGTGGTGGGTGTTTGAGTGAACGAGCCAGACTGTGTGTGAGTGATTTTGGATTGATAATTGCTTGACATTGTTTTACAGACTATAAAGTTAGTTGGACGCCATGCTCTTAGTCAGATTATCAGAAAACACAGTTTTTGCTTGTTTCTATTCTTACACCAGGTTATTTTGTGCATCATTTGTAGACAATAGGACACTCAATAGGAAAATATTGAAATGGCAGATATATGGCAGTTTTGCCTCGGTCAGCCTACCCATAAACCTATAATGAAACCAGTGTCACCTCATCTACGTGCAGTGCTACACCCAATACCTACCCATCATCTGGTTGGACATGTCGGCCTCCTGCATGTCCTCCTGCATCTGCCCCTCCCGCGACTCCAGCAGCCCCTGCAGGTGGTCCGCGGACAGCTGAGCCTGGTCAAGGTCATCCGCGATCACCTGAATGCGAGCCTCCTGCTTCTCCTGCAACAGTGATGCCACTTCAAGGTCAATGAAACTCCAAGATGATACCTGTCTGGATGAAGGTGCAGATGGCCCAGTTGTCTCAGGCGCCACAATTTGTTGTGCAGAGTTGCCTCCCTTAGGCATGTCAGGAACCTATGTCGCACTCAGCAATATTTCAGCTTTATGACTGCAGTTTGTAAATCATCAATTCTCGACCAGACAATCCAGTGATTGATATCATGAACGTCAATCCACGCAATTGGTATACGATGACATGCATCAACCAAGTCAGAGAACCTGACGACAATTCCGTTTGTCGCCCCTTATGACAAGCATGGGTTGCTGAAGACCTATTCTACCCCGGATCTTCACAGGTACAGCAGTGAGACAAACATTAAGACAAGAACATCCAATTTCTTGCCTATATCAAAGCCTAGTTTCTACCATCTCCCCGAGGCAAGCGTGTCCACTAGCCTATATCAAAGCCTAGTTTCTACCATCTACCCGAGGCAAGCGTGTCCACTAGCCTATATCAAAGCCTAGTTTCTACCATCTACCAGAGGCAAGCGTGTCCACTAGCCTGTACCAAAGCCTAGTTTCTACCATCTCCCCGAGGCAAGCGTGTCCACTAGCCTATATCAAAGCCTTGTTTCTACCATCTACCCGAGGCAAGCGTGTCCACTAGCCTATATCAAAGCCTAGTTTCTACCATCTACCAGAGGCAAGCGTGTCCACTAGCCTATGCCAAAGCCTAGTTTCTACCATCTCCCCGAGGCAAGCGTGTCCACTAGCCTATATCAAAGCCTAGTTTCTACCATCTACCAGAGGCAAGCGTGTCCAATAGCCTATATCAAAGCCTAGTTTCTACCATCTCCCCGAGGCAAGCGTGTCCACTAGCCTATATCAAAGCCTAGTTTCTACCATCTCCCCGAGGCAAGCGTGTCCACTAGCCTATATCAAAGCCTAGTTTCTACCATCTCCCCGAGGCAAGCGTGTCCACTAGCCTATATCAAAGCCTAGTTTCTACCATCTCCCCGAGGCAAGTGTGTCCACTAGCCTATATCAAAGCCTAGTTTCCACCATCTCCCCGAGGCAAGGGTGTCCACTAGCCTATATCAAAGCCTAGTTTCTACCATCTACCAGAGGCAAGCGTGTCCACTAGCCTATATCAAAGCCTAGTTTCTACCATCTACCAGAGGCAAGCGTGTCCACTAGCCTATACCAAAGCCTAGTTTCTACCATCTCCCCGAGGCAAGGGTGTCCACTAGCCTATACCAAAGCCTAGTTTCTACCATCTACCAGAGGCAAGCGTGTCCACTAGCCTATATCAAAGCCTAGTTTCTACCATCTACCAGAGGCAAGCGTGTCATCTAGCCTATGCCAAAGCCTAGTTTCTACCATCTCCCTGAGGCAAGCGTGTCCACTAGCCTATATCAAAGCCTAGTTTCTACCATCTACCAGAGGCAAGCGTGTCCAATAGCCTATATCAAAGCCTAGTTTCTACCATCTCCCCGAGGCAAGCGTGTCCACTAGCCTATACCAAAGGCTAGTTTCTACCATCTACCAGAGGCAAGCGTGTCCACTAGCCTATATCAAAGCCTAGTTTCTACCATCTACCAGAGGCAAGCGTGTCCAATAGCCTATACCAAAGCCTAGTTTCTACCATCTCCCCGAGGCAAGCGTGTCCACTAGCCTATATCAAAGCCTAGTTTCTACCATCTACCAGAGGCAAGCGTGTCCAATAGCCTATATCAAAGCCTAGTTTCTACCATCTCCCCGAGGAAAGTGTGTCCACTAGCCTATATCAAAGCCTAGTTTCTACCATCTCCCCGAGGCAAGCGTGTCCACTAGCCTATATCAAAGCCTAGTTTCTACCATCTCCCCGAGGCAAGCGTGTCCACTAGCCTATATCAAAGCCTAGTTTCTACCATCTCCCCGAGGCAAGGGTGTCCACTAGCCTATACCAAAGCCTAGTTTTTACCATCTCCCCGAGGCAAGCGTGTCCACTAGCCTATATCAAAGCCTAGTTTCTACCATCTCCCCGAGACAAGCGTGTCCACTAGCCTATATCAAAGCCTAGTTTCTACCATCTACCAGAGGCAAGCGTGTCCACTAGCCTATACCAAAGCCTAGTTTCTACCATCTCCCCGAGGCAAGGGTGTCCACTAGCCTATACCAAAGCCTAGTTTTTACCATCTCCCCGCGGCAAGCGTGTCCACTAGCCTATATCAAAGCCTAGTTTCTACCAACTACCCGAGGCAAGTACGTCCACTTGCCTATATCAAAGCCTAGTTTCTACCATCTCCCCGAGGCAAGCATGTCCACTAGCCTATATCAGGACCTAGTTTCTACCATCTCCCCGAGACAAGCGTGTCCACTTGCCTATATCAAAGCCTAGTTTCTACCATCTCCCCGAGGCAAGCGTGTCCACTTGCCTATATCAAAGCCTAGTTTCTACCATCTACCAGAGGCAAGCGTGTCATCTAGCCTATATCAGGACCTAGTTTCTACCATCTCCCCGAGACAAGCGTGTCCACTTGCCTATATCAAAGCCTAGTTTCTACCAACTACCCGAGGCAAGCGTGTCCACTAGCCTATATCAAAGCCTAGTTTCTACCAACTACCCAAGGCAAGTACGTCCACTTGCCTATATCAAAGCCTAGTTTCTACCATCTCCCCGAGACAAGCGTGTCCACTAGCCTATATCAAAGCCTAGTTTCTACCAACTACCCGAGGCAAGCGTGTCCACTAGCCTATATCAAAGCCTAGTTTCTACCAACTACCCGAGGCAAGTACGTCCACTTGCCTATATCAAAGCCTAGTTTCTACCATCTACCCGAGGCAAGCGTGTCCACTAGCCTATACCAAAGCCTAGTTTCTACCATCTCCCCGAGGCAAGGGTGTCCACTAGCCTATACCAAAGCCTAGTTTTTACCATCTCCCCGAGGCAAGCGTGTCCACTAGCCTATATCAAAGCCTAGTTTCTACCATCTCCCCGAGGCAAGCGTGTCCACTTGCCTATATCAAAGCCTAGTTTCTACCATCTCCCCGAGGCAAGCATGTCCACTAGCCTATATCAGGACCTAGTTTCTACCATCTCCCCGAGACAAGCGTGTCCACTTGCCTATATCAAAGCCTAGTTTCTACCATCTCCCCGAGGCAAGCGTGTCCACTTGCCTATATCAAAGCCTAGTTTCTACCATCTCCCCGAGGCAAGCGTGTCATCTAGCCTATATCAGGACCTAGTTTCTACCATCTCCCCGAGACAAGCGTGTCCACTTGCCTATATCAAAGCCTAGTTTCTACCAACTACCCGAGGCAAGCGTGTCCACTAGCCTATATCAAAGCCTAGTTTCTACCAACTACCCGAGGCAAGTACGTCCACTTGCCTATATCAAAGCCTAGTTTCTACCATCTCCCCGAGACAAGCGTGTCCACTAGCCTATATCAAAGCCTAGTTTCTACCAACTACCCGAGGCAAGCGTGTCCACTAGCCTATATCAAAGCCTAGTTTCTACCAACTACCCGAGGCAAGTACGTCCACTTGCCTATATCAAAGCCTAGTTTCTACCATCTACCCGAGGCAAGCGTGTCCACTAGCCTATACCAAAGCCTAGTTTCTACCATCTCCCCGAGGCAAGGGTGTCCACTAGCCTATACCAAAGCCTAGTTTTTACCATCTCCCCGAGGCAAGCGTGTCCACTAGCCTATATCAAAGCCTACCATCTCCCCGAGGCAAGCGTGTCCACTTGCCTATATCAAAGCCTAGTTTCTACCATCTCCCCGAGGCAAGCATGTCCACTAGCCTATATCAGGACCTAGTTTCTACCATCTCCCCGAGACAAGCGTGTCCACTTGCCTATATCAAAGCCTAGTTTCTACCATCTCCCCGAGGCAAGCGTGTCCACTAGCCTATATCAAAGCCTAGTTTCTACCAACTACCCGAGGCAAGTACGTCCACTTGCCTATATCAAAGCCTAGTTTCTACCATCTCCCCGAGGCAAGCGTGTCCACTTGCCTATATCAAAGCCTAGTTTCTACCCTTGCCACATCAAGGCCACTTTTCTTGGTTCGACCCTGGCGCCACCCCGTGTAGATCATGAGTTGTGTCCCTTGTAATGAAAAGGCGATATCCAATCAGATCACTGTTCTTATCTTGTATAGCTTCACAAAGATGGAGACTACTAGGCAAGCGTTGGGAGGTTTAAAAGATGAAAAAGATGCGTCACCAAAGACAGGCAACGGTAAATCACTTTCATACGAAGGTGTACCAGTCATGGATGTTGATTTTGTGAAACGTTCCCTGATTGGACTATCCATATGTGCGATAGTCCAATCATATTTAGCACAGGAAAGTGGGCTTGATGTGGCAAGGGTGGAAACAAAACTTTGCTAAAAAGGCTAGTGGACGCTCTTGGAAGAGCATCTTCTCACCCTGATCAGCTCTGCCTCCTGCCTCTGTTTCTCCAGCTCTTTCTCAAACTCTTCCTCGCGCTGCTGCATCTCCTCGGTCAGCAGAGCGATCTCATTCTCAGCGTCCAGCACCTTCAGGGAGAGAGGTGGGCAGAGAGAACATTACAACTGAAGTCAGTTCTCACCCAACTGCTGGAACAACAATCCTGCTTCCCAGGTTCAGTAAACACCATTTACACTGTGTAACTAAGATGGAGGCAGATATCAAAGTCACAAAAAGTCGGGGCCTCAAAACTGAGTCACAACAATCCGGTTTTATCGCATTAACTTCATCTGTAACAGACCCCTCATACTAGCATCCTCTCGCCAGCTGCTGTGTATCAAACTATACAGTAAATTATGGTTATAACAAACTCAAAGGGACTACCGATTTGAATTGGTTGTAACCGTAGTTCGTTCCAAGCATATGTATGGCATATATACAGCAAATGGTTGGTTGGTTTGTTGTTTAATGCCGCACTCAGCAATATTCCAGCTATATGACGGCGGTCTGTAAATAATTGAGTCTGGACCAGACAATCCAGTGATTAATATCATGAGCATCGATCTACGCAATTGTGATCGGTGACATGCATCAACCAAGTCAGCGAGCCTGACCACCCGATCCCGCTAGGCACCTTTTACAACAAGCATAGTCACCTTTTACGGGTCTTAAAGGGTCTACAGCAAATGGACGCGAGCATTGTGGAAACACTGCATTCACGCTGAAACACATGCTCTCAGCTCCACACATTCATAAGTGAGTGAGTTTGGTTTTCAACACTTTGAGCAATATTCCAGCAATATCACGACGGGGGACTCCAAAAATGGGCTTCACACATTGTATCCACATTGTAAAATTCATCATGTGACAATATCAACTGTATTGCAGAAAGACAATGTGGTGTTTCAGGTTCCTAAGAAATATCGGTGTACATGCAATTAGCTCCCTGTAGAATGCTTCATGTGATTGGTGCATTAACAATTTGCTCTCCTTGATATTTTATACATGTAAATAATTTGTGAGGAAAATGTCAAAAATCGTAATTTGGGGAGGATAAGTGTAATAGGGTAATTTTTGCCTCAAAAGCACAATGATTGGAAACGCTAAAAGCGTAATGGTTGGCAGCTCTGTATCTGGTAGAGAGAGTCGCCAAACTTGCAAATATATTGACCGAGGTAAACCCTGACTAGGTAAACGACTGACACCTGTAACCCATGTTGGACACTCACCCTCCTCTCACTCTCCTCCTCCTGGTTCCTCATGTTCCTCCTCAGCTCCATCAGTTCCCGCTGGAGTTCATCGTACAACGCCTTCTCCTCTGAGTTGAGGGATGAGGCCCTGTCCGAGTCGGAGCTTGGTGCATACGTAATACGTGTCCTTGGACGCTCCTGACAAAAGACAACAGGTGTTACTTCATCACATGCAGTTTAGGAGGTTGAATAAAAAAACAGCATTATAGTTCAACATGAAAATGGCTTGCATCCTTTGGAAGGGTGATGAAATATAAGCAGATAAGGAAAGGCATTTGAGGAGTACATGACAACATTTGTCCTGTTTACCTTGATGAGGCAGACAGTGAACAACTACCCCGGGCCCCCTGATCAACTTTCTCCTACCTGTCTGCCCCAGACCCCCTGGTCAACATTCTCCTACCTGTCTGCCCCAGACCCCCTGAGTCAACATTCTCCTACCTGTCTGCCCCAGACCCCCTGGTCAACATTCCCCTACCTGTCTGCCCCAGACCCCCTGAGTCAACATTCTCCCACCTGTCTGCCCCAGACCCCCTGGTCAACATTCTCCTACCTGTCTGCCCCAGACCCCCTGAGTCAACATTCCCCTACCTGTCTGCCCCAGACCCCCTGAGTCAACATTCTCCTACCTGTCTGCCCCAGACCCCCTGGTCAACATTCTCCTACCTGTCTGCCCCAGACTCCTTGAGTCAACATTCTCCTACCTGTCTGCCCCAGACCCCCTGGTCAACATTCTCCTACCTGTCTGCCCCAGACCCCCTGGTCAACATTCTCCTACCTGTCTGCCCCAGACTCCTTGAGTCAACATTCTCCTACCTGTCTGCCCCAGACCCCCTGAGTCAACATTCCCCTACCTGTCTGCCCCAGAACCCCTGAGTCAACATTCTCCTACCTGTCTGCCCCAGACTCCTTGAGTCAAGATTCTCCTACCTGTCTGCCCCAGACCCCCTGGTCAACATTCTCCTACCTGTCTGCCCTAGACCCCCTGAGTCAACATTCCCCTACCTGTCTGCCCCAGACCCCCTGAGTCAACATTCTCCTACCTGTCTGCCCCAGACCCCCTGGTCAACATTCCCCTACCTGTCTGCCCCAGACCCCCTGAGTCAACATTCTCCCACCTGTCTGCCCCAGACCCCCTGGTCAACATTCCCCTACCTGTCTGCCCCAGACCCCCTGGTCAACATTCTCCTACCTGTCTGCCCCAGAACCCCTGAGTCAACATTCTCCCACCTGTCTGCCCCAGACCCCCAGGGTCAACATTCTCCTACCTGTCTGCCCCAGAACCCCTGAGTCAACATTCTCCCACCTGTCTGCCCCAGACCCCCAGGGTCAACATTCTCCTACCTGTCTGCCCCAGAACCCCTGAGTCAACATTCTCCCACCTGTCTGCCCCAGACCCCCTGATCAACTTTCTCCCCCAGACCCCCTGAGTCAACATTCTCCTACCTGTCTGCCCCAGACCCCCTGAGTCAACATTCCCCTACCTGTCTGCCCCAGACCCCCTGAGTCAACATTCTCCCACCTGTCTGCCCCAGACTCCTTGAGTCAAGATTCTCCTACCTGTCTGCCCCAGACCCCGAGTCAACATTCTCCTACCTGTCTGCCCCAGACCCCCTGGTCAACATTCCCCTACCTGTCTGCCCCAGACCCCCTGGTCAACATTCTCCTACCTGTCTGCCCCAGACCCCCTGGTCAACATTCTCCTACCTGTCTGCCCCAGACCCCCTGGTCAACATTCTCCTACCTGTCTGCCCCAGACTCCTTGAGTCAAGATTCTCCTACCTGTCTGCCCCAGACCCCCTGGTCAACATTCTCCTACCTGTCTGCCCCAGACTCCTTGAGTCAACATTCTCCTACCTGTCTGCCCCAGACTCCTTGAGTCAAGATTCTCCTACCTGTCTGCCCCAGACCCCGAGTCAACATTCTCCTACCTGTCTGCCCCAGACCCCCTGGTCAACATTCTCCTACCTGTCTGCCCCAGACTCCTTGAGTCAACATTCTCCTACCTGTCTGCCCCAGACCCCCTGAGTCAACATTCCCCTACCTGTCTGCCCCAGACCCCCTGAGTCAACATTCTCCTACCTGTCTGCCCCAGACCCCGAGTCAACATTCTCCTACCTGTCTGCCCCAGACCCCCTGGTCAACATTCTCCTACCTGTCTGCCCCAGACTCCTTGAGTCAACATTCTCCTACCTGTCTGCCCCAGACCCCCTGGTCAACATTCTCCTACCTGTCTGCCCCAGACCCCCTGAGTCAACATTCCCCTACCTGTCTGCCCCAGACCCCCTGAGTCAACATTCCCCTACCTGTCTGCCCCAGACCCCCTGGTCAACATTCTCCTACCTGTCTGCCCCAGACTCCTTGAGTCAACATTCTCCTACCTGTCTGCCCCAGACCCCCTGGGTCAACATTCCCCTACCTGTCTGCCCCAGACCCCCTGGTCAACATTCCCCTACCTGTCTGCCCCAGACCCCCTGGTCAACATTCTCCCACCTGTCTGCCCCAGACTCCCTGAGTCAACATTCTCCCACCTGTCTGCCCCAGACCCCCAGGGTCAACATTCTCCCACCTGTCTGCCCCAGACCCCCTGGTCAACATTCCCCTACCTGTCGAGCTCTGTTCTCAGCATCTTGCAGAGCTTTCTTTAGCCTTCGAATTTCCTCCTCGAGTCTGCTGATCTCTGCCTCCTCATTCTTCCTGTCTGACCTTTGCATCTTGGAACAAACAAAACATAACACTCACACTTCACCAAGTTCTCTGGCTGACGTAGGGCTTCCTCAACACACAAGTACTATCAGCTGTTTAATATCATCTCAACAGGTTCACAAATTCTGTTTGTTTGTTTGTTGTTTAAGTTGCACTCAGCAATATTCCAGCTATATGACGGCGGTCTGTTAACAATCAAGTGTGGATCAGACAGTCCAGTGATTGACATCATGAGCATCGATCCACGCAATTGGGATACGATGACATGCATCAATCAAGTCAGCGAGTCTGACCACCCGACCCCGTTAATCACCTCTTATGTCAACATGGTCAAGCATAGTCGCCTTTTACAACAAGCTGCTGAAGAACTATTCTACCCAAGATCTTCACAGTTTCACAAATTCTGAAAACAGTACATCACTGAATATGATATCTCTATCCAATGTCTTGTTTACATAAATGTCTGTAAACATGGTAAACTCTAAACTCCCTGATGTTATTTTTCTGCAACATTTGCATGAAACTAAATACTGTACTTCCCTGGCATTTTCTCATCAGTCAACTGCTATATTTTCCTAACATCAAGATTTATTCAAAGATTTGTTTCACTGCTTCTGTATTTAAGCCACTCAATGCCACATAGTACCGAGCCTGACCACCCTATCCCGTTAGTACCATTTGTAGGGTTATTTTGTATGAAAAGTTTTATTGTCACCATCTTCTCTGGGTCTTTCTTCTCCCCTCTCTTAGCAAGGTCGGCCTCTGTCCTCTTCAGGTTTTCCTTGAGAGTCTGCACCTCCACAGAGGCCTGCAACATGGACACCATCCTGCTTAAACCTGCCTCCGACACCCACCACACTCATCTGCTACAAACACCTTCTACAGATGCTGGCAACATGGACACCATCCTGCTTAAACCTGCCTCCGACACCCACCACACACATCTGCTACAAACACCTTCTACAGATGCCGGCAACAAGGACACCATCCTGCTTACACCTGCCTCCGACACACACCACACACATCTACTACAAACACCTTCTACAGATGCCGGCAACATGGACACCATCCTGCTTACACCTGCCTCCGACACCCACCACACACATCTGCTACAAACACCTTCTACAGATGCCGGCAACAAGGACACCATCCTGCTTACACCTGCCTCCGAAACCCACCAGACACATCTACTACAAACACCTTCTACAGATGCTGGCATCATGGACACCATCCTGCTTAAACCTGCCTCCGAAACCCACCACACACATCTGCTACAAACACCTTCTACAGATGCCAGCAACATGGACACCATCCTGCTTACACCTGCCTCCGACACCCACCACACACATCTGCTACAAACACCTTCTACAGATGCCGGCAACATGGACACCATCCTGCTTTAACCTGCCTCCGACACCCACCACACTCATCTGCTACAAACACCTTCTACAGATGCCGGCAACATGGACACAATCCTGCTTAAACCTGCCTCCTACACACACCACACACATCTGCTACAAACACCTTCTACAGATGCCGGCAACATGGACACCATCCTGCTTAAACCTGCCTCCGACACCCACTACACTCATCTGCTACAAACACCTTCTACAGATGCCGGCAACATGGACACCATCCTGCTTACACCTGCCTCCGACACCCACCACACACATCTGCTACAAACACCTTCTACAGATGCCGGCAACATGGACACCATCCTGCTTAAACCTGCCTCAGACACCCACCACACTCATCTGCTACAAACACCTTCTACAGATGCCGGCAACATGGACACCATCCTGCTTAAACCTGCCTCCGACACCCACCACACACATCTGCTACAAACACCTTCTACAGATGCCGGCAACATGGACACCATCCTGCTTACACCTGCCTCCGACACCCACCACACTTATCTGCTACAAACACCTTCTACAGATGCCGGCAACATGGACACCATCCTGCTTAAACCTGCCTCCGACACCCACCACACACATCTACTACAAACACCTTCTAAAGATGCCGGCAACATGGACACCATCCTGCTTACACCTGCCTCCGACACCCACCACACACATCTACTACAAACACCTTCTAAAGATGCCGGCAACATGGACACCATCCTGCTTAAACCTGCCTCCGACACCCACCACACACATCTACTACAAACACCTTCTAAAGATGCCGGCAACATGGACACCATCCTGCTTAATCCTGCCTCCGACACCCACCACACATCTGCTACTGAATCCTGCTACAAACACTGGATTCTGACATTGGCTTACAGCTGATAGAGAACCCTGTCAAACAGAACTGGTCTGATATTGGTGCCTGTTACAACTGCCTGACATAAATTCTTGCTACCGATGCCTGAAATAGATGTCTGATACAGATCCCTGTGTCCAATGACACACCAATATCCCACCTATATGATGGCGGTCAGTAAATAATCAAGTCTGGAACAGACAATCCAGTGATTGACATCATGAGCATCGATCAACACAGTCTGGGTACGATGACATGCATCAACCAAGTCAGTGAGCCTGACCACCCGATCCTGTTAGTCGCATCTTACGACAAGCATAGTCGCCTCTTACGGCAAGCGTGGGTTGCTGAAGACCTATTCTAACCGGGATCTTCACAGTATGAAAACACTTGTATTTGGATTTGGTAGCTCAGTAACAATAAATCCTGCTGACCTTCTGGATGTTCTTGCGGGCCTCTTCCACCTCCCGGCCGCTCTTGTTTAGCTTGTCCTGGACGTAGTGGTGCAGGTCGTGGAAGGTCTTCCCAAGGACATCCTCACTGCCCTGTGGGGGGAGGGGACCCTGCCAGGACATGAGCACGTGGGTCAGTCACTGAATGTTGGTTTATGCCATACCTGCACTAGCCCAGCCATTTCATGGTTGTCTGTATTTGTTTTTTTAACACCACACTCAGCAATATCCCAGCTGTATGATATAAACATATTTATTTCCATAAAGTGGAGGGATTGGCAAACAAGCAGATTTGGCTTATCTGAATGCCTCTCCCAGCTATATGACGGCGGTCTGTAAATAATCGAGTCTGGATCTCATCATGAGCATGAGCATCGATCCACGCCATTGGGATACAATGACATGCATCAACCAAGTCAGCGAGCCTGACCATCCGATCCCATTAGTCGCCTCTTACGACAAGCATAGTCGCCTTTTACAGCAAGTATGGGTTGCTGAAGACCTATTCTAACCCGGACCTTCACGGGTCTTGATGCCTTGGTGATACGGTTGTGTGAAAGGGGTGGGGGTGATGTGTTGACTCATTCACTCCATACAAACCTTGCCAGCTCTAAAGTTGTAAGTGAGGTCCTTCAGCCTCTTCTTGAGGTCACTGGGCCTGAAGCTGTCCTTGGTGTCAGCAGTACTCTGCTTCCTGGCCTCCGACAGCTGGTCCCGCAGGGAGTCATTCAAACCCTGGACACACAGATCATCAGGTACACACAGACCATCAGGTAAACACAGGCCATCAGGTACACACAGACCATTAGGTACACACTGACGGTCAGGTACACACAGACCATCAGGTACACACAGACCATCAGGTACACACAAACCATCAGGTAAACAAAGACCATCAGGTACACATAGACCTTCAGGTACACACAGATCATCAGGTACACATAGATCATCAGGTACACATAGACCATAAGGTACACACAGACCATCATGTACACACAGACCATCAGGTACACACAGACCATCAGGTACACACAGACCATCACGTACACACAGACCATCGGGTACACAGCTCTAATTAGTCAATTACCATTACACAATTCATCTTGAAATGCATACAGATATGCATAAAAACTACACAAAAAAAACATAGTTAAATTAACCAATGCGTAAAATTAACCAATGTTGCCTTTTCAACATGATTTGTAAAATGACAGGGAAAGAGGGGAAGTCCCTGCACCGACCTTGGCAGCCTCCAGCTGGGCCTCCATCCTCCTCAGGTCCTCCAAGCCTCGGCCTCCATCCTTCTGTTGCCGCGCCAGCTGCTCCGCTCTCCCTCGCTCCACCTGCAGCTGCTTCTCCAGGTTCTTCCTCTCTGTCTGAGAGCATACCGATGTAGTTACATACAGAGTTACATACAGACGTAGTTACATACAGACTTACATACAGACATTATTACATACAGACGTAGTTACATACAGAGTTACATAGAGACGTAGTTACATACAGAGTTACATACAGATGTAGTTACATACAGAGTTACATACCGATGTAGTTACATACAGAGTTACATACAGATGTAGTTACATACAGAGTTACATACAGATGTAGTTACATACAGATGTAGTTACATACAGACGTAGTTACATACAGAGTTACATACCGATGTAGTTACATACAGAGTTACATACCGATGTAGTTACATACAGAGTTACATACCGATGTAGTTACATACAGAGTTACATACAGATGTAGTTACATACAGAGTTACATACAGACGTAGTTACATACAGATGTAGTTACATACAGAGTTACATACAGATGTAGTTACATACAGAGTTACATACAGATGTAGTTACATATAGATGTAGTTACATACAGAGTTACATACAGATGTAGTTACATACAGATGTAGTTACATACAGAGTTACATACAGATGTAGTTACATATAGATGTAGTTACATACAGACGTAGTTACATAAAGACGTAGTTACATACAGATGTAGTTACATACAGAGTTACATAAAGACGTAGTTACATACAGAGTTACATACAGATGTAGTTACATACAGAGTTACATACAGATGTAGTTACATACAGAGTTACATACAGATGTAGTTACATACAGATGTAGTTACATACAGACGTAGTTACATACAGAGTTACATACCGATGTAGTTACATACAGAGTTACATACCGATGTAGTTACATACAGAGTTACATACCGATGTAGTTACATACAGAGTTACATACAGATGTAGTTACATACAGAGTTACATACAGACGTAGTTACATACAGATGTAGTTACATACAGAGTTACATACAGATGTAGTTACATACAGATGTAGTTACATACAGAGTTACATACAGATGTAGTTACATATAGATGTAGTTACATACAGAGTTACATACAGATGTAGTTACATACAGATGTAGTTACATACAGAGTTACATACAGATGTAGTTACATATAGATGTAGTTACATACAGACGTAGTTACATAAAGACGTAGTTACATACAGATGTAGTTACATACAGAGTTACATAAAGACGTAGTTACATACAGAGTTACATACAGATGTAGTTACATACAGAGTTACATACAGATGTAGTTACATATAGATGTAGTTACATACAGACGTAGTTACATACAGAGTTACATACAGATGTAGTTACATACAGAGTTACATACAGATGTAGTTACATACAGAGTTACATACAGATGTAGTTACATACAGAGTTACATACAGATGTAGTTACATACAGAGTTACATACAGATGTAGTTACATACAGACTTACATACAGACGTAGTTACATACAGAGTTACATACAGACGTAGTTACATACCGATGTAGTTACATACAGAGTTACATACAGACGTAGTTACATACAAACTTACATACAGACGTAGTTACATACAGAGTTACATACAGACGTAGTTACATACCGATGTAGTTACATACAGACTTACATACAGACGTAGTTACATACAGACGTAGTTACATACAGACTTACATACAGACGTAGTTACACACAGACATAATTACATACAGACGTAGTTACATACAGAGTTACATACAGACGTAGTTACATACAGATGTAGTTACATACAGACATAATTACATACAGATGTAGTTACATACAGAGTTACATACAGATGTAGTTACATACAGATGTAGTTACATACAGACGTAGTTACATACAGAGTTACATACCGATGTAGTTACATACAGAGTTACATACCGATGTAGTTACATACAGAGTTACATACCGATGTAGTTACATACAGAGTTACATACAGATGTAGTTACATACAGAGTTACATACAGACGTAGTTACATACAGATGTAGTTACATACAGAGTTACATACAGATGTAGTTACATACAGATGTAGTTACATACAGAGTTACATACAGATGTAGTTACATATAGATGTAGTTACATACAGACGTAGTTACATACAGACGTAGATACATACAGATGTAGTTACATACAGAGTTACATAAAGACGTAGTTACATACAGAGTTACATACAGATGTAGTTACATACAGATGTAGTTACATACAGAGTTACATAAAGACGTAGTTACATACAGATGTAGTTACATACAGAGTTACATACAGATGTAGTTACATACAGACTTACATACAGATGTAGTTACATACAGAGTTACATAAAGACGTAGTTACATACAGATGTAGTTACATACAGAGTTACATACAGATGTAGTTACATACAGACTTACATACAGACGTAGTTACATACAGAGTTACATACAGACGTAGTTACATACCGATGTAGTTACATACAGAGTTACATACAGACGTAGTTACATACAAACTTACATACAGACGTAGTTACATACAGAGTTACATACAGACGTAGTTACATACCGATGTAGTTACATACAGACTTACATACAGACGTAGTTACATACAGAGTTTCATACAGACGTAGTTACATACAGACTTACATACAGACGTAGTTACACACAGACATAATTACATACAGACGTAGTTACATACAGAGTTACATACAGACGTACAGTGATCGCTCGCTATTGCGCTCTTCGATAAAGCGCTACTTCGGTTATTACGCGCGGTAACGCATGGCTCCCAAAATTTATGTACACTTTTAATACTGAGAGTTTTACACAGACATGATTGTATTGTTGTTCGTTGTTTATTTGCACATAACGCTTCTCATTGCATAATCAACGGTTTATCGCTGAATGGAGTTCTAATAATCTGTTTGAAAATATCCGCGGCAAGTCCCGGAAATACGATTGTTCAACTAGTTAACTTTTCACACTATACATCCTTTGATCTTAGAAGCGCATGCATGCAATAAAAGAGAACCACAAGTGAAGTTTATATTCTTAATTAGTGGGCAATCCAATTTAAGGCTAAACTGTCACACAAATGTAGTTGCTGTCACAACACGGCGGTCATTCATTTCGTAATCGCGCTTTCGTAACATCGCCTGTTTTTTCCCCGTAGTTATAACAAGCGATTTCATTGGATTAAAATTTGTTTCTAATGACGCTTTCTTGCCGAAATCTGCTACAAGTTTCGTGATTGGTCAATTTTGAGCACGTGACCTCAGGCAGCCAATCAAGCTTTGATACAAAGCTCGTGTTTGATAAATTTCAGAAGTTAGCGAAAGATTTTTTGTTAAATCGTGTTATTCTGAACGTTTTAAGCAGGAAATCACGATATATATTAAAAATATGGAACTTCGCGAATGTATCGTGCTAGGTTACGAGCTGTGACAAAGATTTTTCATGCATATATTTTTGCATTAAACGTTGTGTCCGAGCCGAGAATTCAAGGCGACGAAAGCCGAGATGTCATTTGACTTACATTACACGCGATCGCACAAAACGATGGAAATAATAACTTAGATGTAAGTTTGATTACTTTTAGATATATTTTTGTTGATTTTATTTATCACTTTGTATAATATATTTAAAGATTTGCTTAAAATAGTCTATATTTTGCTCTTTGACATGTTCGATGCGGACCCGTTGTCGAAATGTGTGTCCGAGAATTTTATTTTCAATAACATCGCGGGAAATAGTGAATAATTTTTTAATTTATTGATAAAAAATGATAAATTAGAATGGAATACGTATTTCAGACATTGTGAAATATGACAGATTTAATAAATGAATGATATTACAGGTAGATCTAGGTCCATAAAAATATATACTATTTTGACGTGACGTGAGATAAACACATAGGCCTATTGATGATTTGAGATTTGCCGAGCGCGCTCCCCCGCCTCGGCTTCGGTTAAACGGCTCATCGTCTATAACGCCCACCAATTATTTGGACCCCATTGGTAGCGCAATAGCGAGCGATCACTGTAGTTACATACAGATGTAGTTACATACAGACATAATTACATACAGATGTAGTTACATACAGATGTAGTTACATACAGACGTAATTACATACAGATGTAGTTACATACAGAGTTACATACAGACGTAGTTACATACAGACATAATTACATACAGAGTTACATACAGACGTAGTTACATACAGACATAATTACATACAGACGTAGTTACATACAGACATTATTACATACAGACTTACATACAGACGTAGTTACATACAGACTTACATACAGACATTATTACATACAGACTTACAGACATTACATACATACTTACATACAGACATTATTACATACAGACTTACATACATACATACAGACTTAATTACATACAGACTTACATACATACATACATTCATACATACATACATACATACATACATACATACATACATACATACATACATACATACATAATTACATACAGACTTACTACAGATGTAATTATATACAGACTTACTACAGATGTAATTATATACAGGCTTACTACAGATGTAATTATATACAGACTTACTACAGATGTAATTATATACAGACTTACTACAGATGTAATTATATACAGACTTACTACAGATGTAATTATATACAGACTTACTACAGATGTAATTATATACAGACTTACTACAGATGTAATTACTTACAGACTTACTACAGATGTAATTACATACAAACTTACATACAGACGAAATTACATACCGACTTGCATGAAAACGATTATAGAAACTTACAGAATTACATACAGACATTATTACATACAGACTTACATTTAGACTTACATACCGACTTACACATAAAAACTTTAATACAAACGACATATAAATACAAACTAACATATAAGCTACATATAATCATCATTACAAACTAACATACAAACATACAGACTTCAAAAGAAACATATCAACTTCAAAACATACACACAAATATACATCCAAACTTATGTAGAGAGGAACATTTGAATACAAACTTATTTATTATTTTTCAGACAATCTCACCAACAAACATCAAGGTACCTGGGATCGTTTTTCAGTGTCATTGAGACTTCTGCGCAGGTTACGAGCCTCCATCTCAGCATGTTCCAGCCTGTCCTGTAGCTCGGGGTCCAGCTGCCGGCTCCGGTGCAGCTGGTCGTTCAGCGACTTGTTGAGGTCGTGTGCCTGCTGCAGCTGCTGCTCCGTGTCCCCCAGGCGCTGCAGGGAGAGGATGGGTGAGTGAGGGAGTTGAGTCTAGCGTTTATGTTTGTTTGTTTGTCGACTAACGGGATCGGGTGGTCAGACTCGCTGACTTGGTTTGAAGCATGTCATCGATCCAATTTGCGTGGATCAATGCTCATGATGTTAATCACTGGATTGTCTGGTCCAGACTTGATTATTTACAGACTGCCGTTATATATCTGGAATATTGCTGTGTGCGGCGTTAAACAACAACCAATCAAAACAAATCATTAACTGAAGCAACACCTAATGGGAGATGTGCAGACTAGAAAAATGACTAGTCAGGTACTTCATCAACAGCTGACAAACACACGACACACATAAGTTTCAAAGTTAATACTGCCGATTAACATACATGCTTGAGGGCAACAAAATTATATGTTTCCACTTGTCTGCAGAGCTCCAGATAAGCTGTGTATCTGCATAAAATACGCTTCAGAAATACAGAAATACGCAGTAAAATAAAATCCAAGCGTATCAAAAAGGCAACGAACATTACAGATAAGCTGCAAAAATAAAACTTGTGCGTATCATCTAAATATTGTAAAGTAAACCTGCGTATTCGATTAGCAAATCAGCAACTTATTTTGAAATTATTAACGGGCATTCCGTCAACCAGTTACATCACGATCATTTGCCATCACACTTTCTCGTGGAAGTATCGTGGTATTTTGGAGTCCTATAAAGCTCTCGAACCCACACGACACCAGTTTGCAGGGACTAGATGACTAGATGAATAGTGTGTCTAAATATTTAACTTAATTACCCACATGTGTAAAACCTAGTGGGTAACAGATAGAATAACAGATACCCAATGATTTTAAAATGCATGGGTAAAATACCCACAACAACAAAAGCTTATCTGGAGCTCTGTGTCAGGCACTTAATTTTCACGGCACTTTATTTTCAGGGGTCAGACAAGTCTGGCGTGCTAATTAAACACTGCTATGAGCCAGTAAAGATCAGGGCAAGACAAGGCCTTCATCCCAACATCCAAGGATTTGTCAACAAAGTGTCATTGGTTGGGAAATTTGGAAAAAATGTTCCTGTAAAATCATTTGAATTTTTTCATACATCCAGAGGTAATCTAAAGGTGAATTCAATGCAATGACATGTTGAATTCAATACAATGATATGTTGAATTCAATGCAATATGTTGAATTCAATGCAATGATATGTTGAATTCAATGCAATGATATGTTGAATTCAATGCAATGATATGTTGAATTCAATGCAATGATATGTTGAATTCAATCCAATATGTTGAATTCAATGCAATGATATGTTGAATTCAATGCAATGATATGTTGAATTCAATGCAATGATATGTTGAATTCAATGCAATGATATGTTGAATTCAATGCAATGATGGGAACTGAGCTGCAAATGCAGAGGTATAACATACAAAGTTAAACCTATCTTCTACCTGACATGGGATATCTTTAATTTCAATTTGGGATTTATCAACCTTTGCTGCAGACCTTGAGCCGGATATCAACCTCAGGTGATTTAGATCAATCCCAGTAATCAGCTGATCCTGGCAGCAAAAGGGACACAACTCTGCACAGAGAACTGCAGTGTCTTTGTTCTTTGTGACTGCGTCAAAAGCCAACAAGAGCCAGCGCGCATGTATTGTTTTAGCGGAAGTACTCTACTCAGCGCTAATAAGCGGTGCTATTTGGTGTGTGATTGGATTAATGTAAGGTTGGATTAAGGTGAGGATTCTCCTGTAAACAGAGGACATTTTCTACATAATAATGATGATGATGATGATGATACTCAATACATATATAAATCCAGTGATGCTTGAGAGCAGGGGATGTCGCATTCATATTGAGTCGCATTTTTTACAAGGGCCCAGCGGTCGCATTCTTTTGGAGACTCATAAATTTCATGATTTAGAGTACTAGATCCTGTTTCTAGTTCAATGAAAGGCAGTTATTTCTGAAATAAGTAAAGCCTTTGAACACATCAGAAAAAAGCCACTATTCTAGTGTCATTTGTCAGCAACTTTATGAGTGAGTGTGTGCTCACTCTCTAACATTCCTGTAATGATATCCACATGTAAGATGATCAAAGACAGCCATTGTTTATTGTTTTTAAACCTTTGAAAAATAGACATCTCCTTATCTACATAATGTCATCATGTATTAGTAGAGTACAAAATAACTGTAATACGTACATGAATACCCCATGTTAACAATGGACTGGCAAATTCAAGGCCTTTCCTATTCTGTGCAAACCTTGACTTTCAAAACCCAAAGTCAATTTCTCAAAGCCTTCTTCAGAAACCCTCAAAGCATTAGGTCGTACCTTATATTGTCTATTGTAAATCCTTGATCATTACGACCGTGCTATTCTCCAGGAATTTCTCACACCGTTATGACCATTGTCTGACAATGTCCTGGTTTATTTTCATGGGCTTAACGACAGAGTTCATGATTAGCCCCTAACACTATTCTCAGTGCCAAACATTGCAGGCTAGCTATGAAACATGCATTCAGCTTATCAGAGGTTATCTGCCCCTTTGTGTAGCTCTCCTGACAAAGAGGTTGATAAATGCTGATGGGTCAAGGTCATATGATAACATAATGTAGGTTCGCAGTAAATGGCTCTTCAATCAAAAGGTCAAGGGCCCAGGATTGACATTCAATGGGGGTTTTAGGTGATCAGTTTGATCCAAGCCCCCTTACTTGTACAAACAAATAATCAATAAAGCTTTGGGTGAGTTGGGTTTAACGCCGCTTTTAACAGTATTCCAGTTATATCACGACGTGTCAGCTTAATGTGGGAGGAAAGCCCAAAGTGATGCAAGTCTTAGACATTTACCACTTCGGTGAAACCCACGAGCACGGGTATGGTGCTGACAAACCAACAAACATAATCGGGGTGAACCGGGATTTGAACCCACAATCATAGGTTTCTGGCGTGCCCAAGGGATGCAACTCTGCACAGCGAATTGCGGCACCTTAGACAACTGGGCCACCCATGCCCCATTTAAGTATTAGGAATTTTTCAATTTTATTTTTTTAAATGGAAATAAAAACGAAACATGCGTCAGACTTTCTGATGATGCAGGCGGTGCCTTAGAACCAAGGCAATAGGAGTTTGTGTGCTTGTATATGTGGGGAGGCCCTTTCCCAGGTTAGTGGTACACAACTGTTTATTTGGTTTCAACAAGCAAAAAAAACAACCACTGTCCACACTATAAGTCTAACAATCATCTGTAGGAATCGGGACAATAAGATAATGTGTTTGTTTGTTTGTTTGTTGTTTAAAGCCGCACTCAGCAATATTCCAGATATATGACGGCGGTCTGTAAAATAATCGAATCTGGACCAGACAAACCAGTGATTGATGTCATGAGCATCGATCCACGCAACTGAGATTGATGACATGCATCAACCAAGTCAGCTAGTCTGACCACCCGATCCCGTTAGTCGCCTCTTACGACAAGCATAGTCACCTTTTACAGCAAGCATGTGTTGCTGAAGACCTATTCTACCCTGGATCTTCACGGGTCTAAGATAATGTGAGACCGTCCAGAATAAATATCTAAAATATTAATTCATTATGGCCTTACCACTGTAAATCTGTAAGTCTTTGTGCCATGAAATTACTGGAAAGGTTTGCAACACCCTCTTAAGATTACCAAATATCACAGCTACTTTTGCAGGTTATATTTGATACGGAGGCAGGGGTATGATGAAATGGAAACTCACAGTACTTTCCTCTCACAAAACTTTCCAGATGTACAGTATTCAAGGAATAAACATCTGGTTAAGTATATTTGTTACAATATATTGAAAAATAGATGCAGCCAAAAAACAGGAGTAACTGTAGATCAAGTCTGATAATTTCAACTGACCTTCTGCCACGCCTGACTCTCTTCAGCCTCCCTGTCAATGATCTTGAGTTCTGCATCCAGACGTCGCACCCGCTCCTCCAGGCCCTCCTTCTCCTTGACCAACTGCTCGAAGTCCTCCTTCTGCCGGACACTCTGGTCCTTGACATTCTGCAGGTAGCCCTGGAGCCCGTCCACCACATCATCCAGCTCCTGCCGCAGCTCCTCGTTCGCCTCGATACGCTCTGAAGGAATCGTGTTTGTTTGTTTGTTTGTTTGTTGCAGCATTAAACAACAAATAAACAGAATCAAAAGAGACCATGGCTGATTTCTACTTTAGCAGGTAATGGAAAGGTGCTGACAGATTTAGATCAGAGGATCCAGATGTGCCTAAGGGGTGCAACTCTGCACATCGAAACTTGGCACCTTGGATGACTTGGGCACAATGCTACCCATCTTCCTGAGGCAAGAGAGTAAACTGACTTTAAAAGTCCAGTTTCAACCCTTACCGAACTAGACTGGAATTACTGGGCTCGATCGTAGTGCCATCAGTGGCTATTACCAGTTATGTCCCTTCTAAGCCTCTTCTATGGACCAATCAGATGCTACCTCTCGTATCACTTGCATTTGCTTCACACAAAATGGTTGCGCCAAGTCAGGACGATCTGATCAATAATCAAGATCTATATTGTGATAAAACCGGTCTTACATCGCGAAATGCATCAAATCACTTGAGCACCTTGATTAAAAACATGAAAAGATTTGGAAAATATCTGCTGACAATGAGTTGGCACTGCACATGCTTTGCAAATCCTGCAATAGATCGAAATCTACACAACCGTTTACAAACCAGATTTTGATTTAGGTGTGCAATTTTGATTGGACTATGCATTGACTCGTTAGTCCAAAACGTAACTCCGTATTACCAGCCTAGTTCGGCAAGGGTGGAAACTGGACTTCTATAGTCAGATAACTCCCTTGCCTCAGGAAGATGGATGCCACCTGAGTGAGTGATAGTATTTCTGTCAGATTGTGTCTGGGAGATTAGTCCAAGAATCATATCAATGACTTTTACTGCTTTGGAGAAATCTGTGAACTTGAGCTGAGTATTGCCTGGTGTCTGGCGATTTGTATCACGATACGAACTAACGATACTACTGGTATCATGATACACCACATCAAAGAGTAAGAAATAATAAAATCACTGAAATACAGCTCTAAAACCTCTTTCTTCATAAATTTATGTATTGTTATCTCAAAAACTTTACCAAAAAAATCACAAGAACAAAACAGTTTCAAATGAAGGGATGGTTAGTCAATATGTTTTCAGCCATCACATTCTCGTATTCTGCCATGCTTCTGGCAGCGCTATTCTACTTCTGCCATTTCGAGAGGTAACTCTATCAGATTCTGTTCTATTTATAGAGCATCGCGATATCACAAACAGACAATTCAAGTATCGTGTGTACCTTAACATAGATGATATCGTAGGTGTCAGTGAATTGTTACAGCAGGCAAGGTCCTGGTAGATCACGGATCATAATCATGGACCTATTGGCACCATCGATCACAGTTCTACCACAGAGTCAGTTCTACCATTGAAACCCTATAGACAATGGACCGCCTCTGCGGTCTAGTCGAAGAGTGTCTGCCCGAAACAGCAGAAAGTCTGGGCTTTGATCCCAAGCCATGTCATACCAAAAGTAAAAGTAAAAAGATGTTTCTTGTTACCCTGCCGCTGGCATCAGTCCGAACTAGTACAAGCAGCCACACACACACATGCATGCACGTCGCTACATAAGTGCAATAATCTTGGACATGACATAAAACTCCATTTCATTTCACCTCATTTCATTTCGTTTCGTCTGTTTCTTGTTTAACGCCGCACTCAGCAATATTCCACCTATTTGACGGCGGTCTATAAATAATTGAGTCTGGACCAGACAATCCAGTGATTGATGTCATGAGCATCGATCTACGCAATTGGGATATGATGACATGCATCACCCAAGTCAGCGAGCCTGACCACCTGATCCCGTTAGTCGGCTCTTACAACAAACAATGTTGCCTTTTACGGCAAGCATGGGTTGCTGAAGGCATATTCTAACCCGGATCTTAATGGGTTTCATTTCACCTCACCTCACCACAGACAATGACAGAAAGAGACACACGTAGCAAACACCAACACACATGATGACAAAGCCACATCAGTGATGCTGCCTGTACACTACCTTCATTGAGCTGCTGTTCCAGCTTCTTGATGTCTGCGGTTTCCCTGGCAACCGTCTGCAGCATGTCCTGGAGCTGGTTCTGCAGCTCGCTGTACACGTGGTTGTCCTCCGAGATCTGCTGCTCCTTGTCCACCATCTCCGCCTTCTTCTTCGGCTGCCATGGCAACATTAGAATCAGTCATTTGTGTATGATGTTATGAAGGACAGCTAACTGTGGGAGTCACGCAGCCAGGGGTTGGTTGGTTTGTTTGTTGTTTAACGCCCCTGGCAATATTCCAGCTATATGACGGCGGTCTGTAAATAATCGAGTCTGGACCAGACAATCCAGTGATTAATATCATGAGCATCGATCCATGCAATTGGGATCAATGACATGAATCAACCAAGTCAGCGAGCCTGACCACCCGATCCTGTTAGTCGCCTTTTCCGGCAAGCATGGGTTGCTGAAGACCTATTCTAGGGGTATGTCTCAACCTTGAAGTGGGAAAATGCTCAATTCCAATTGGTCAGGTTTCAGTTCATAATAACCACCTCTGAAACTAACGAAACAAACAGACTGAAACAACTGGTTTGACTTCTGCATCACTACAGAAACATACTTCTTTCTCAATGAGTGAGTGAGTGAGTGAGTGAGTGAGTGAGTGAGTGAGTGAGTGAGTGAGTTGTGTTTAACGCCACTCTTAACAGTATTCCAGTAATATCACGGCGTGTCAGCTAAATTTGAGACGTAATCCTTATGTCATTAAGGTCTCAGAGGTCTCAACTTCGGTGAAACCCACAAGAACAATTATGGTGCTGACAAACCTGGAAACATAATCGGGGCAAACCAGGATTCGACCCCTACAATTATTGGTTTCTGGTGCGTCCAAGGGAAGCAACTCTGCACAGCGAATTGCAGCGCCTTAGACGACTGGGCGAACCATGCCCCATTTTTCAATGAAATAAAGCTACGAACAAATATAGGTTACAAAATGAAGCGATGCAGTTACTACAATATACAAGCTATGTGTGGCAAAACATTTTGGGAAGTAAATGTAATCAAAATTGACTGCACATTCGATTACAAATTCAATGAAGTGTGGTTAAGTCTACAGGTTACCTAGATTTACATTGTAAACACAGTATGTTTATCTCCCAAATTAGAAGTTTCACATCTCTGAATCTACGGCATCTCTGAAAATTGGCAAGCAAGAACAACGTCTTATCGCAGGATTGTGATGAAATCTTTGGCATAGCCTTGATGACAGCTAGACAGAGTGGACATTTCAGTGTTAGAAATCGGCACTGGTCCTGTAATCCTGCATGCATCTTATTGATATGGTAAATACAATCGAAACTATCAATATTCCTATCTGAAATCGATACTATTGATCGGAGATGTTCGATCTGCTCCTTGAGGTCAATAACACAACTTACAATGTTTGGGTCACCCATGTTTAGATGTGCGATCTGCTCCTTGAGGTCAATAACACAACTTACAATGTTTGGGTCACCCGTGTTTAGATGTGCGGTCTGCTCCTTGAGGTCAATAACACAACTTACGATGTTTGGGTCACCCGTGTTTAGATGTGCGATCTGCTCCTTGAGGTCAATAACACAACTTACCTTGTTTGGGTCACCCGTGTTTAGATGTACGATCTGCTCCTTGAGGTCAATAACACAACTTACAATGTTTGGGTCACCCGTGTTTAGATGTACGATCTGCTCCTTGAGGTCAATAACACAACTTACAATGTTTGGGTCACCCGTGTTTAGATGTACAATCTGTTCCTTGAGGTCAATAACACAACTTACGATGTTTGGGTCACCCGTGTTTAGATGTACGATCTGTTCCTTGAGGTCAATAACACAACTTACAATGTTTGGGTCACCCGTGTTTAGATGTACGATCTGTTCCTTGAGGTCAATAACACAACTTACGATGTTTGGGTCACCCGTGTTTAGATGTACGATCTGTTCCTTGAGGTCAATAACACAACTTACGATGTTTGGGTCACCCGTGTTTAGATGTGCGATCTGCTCCTTGAGGTCAATAAACACAACTTACAATGTTTGGGTCACCCATGTTTAGATGTACGATCTGCTCCTTGAGGTCAATAACACAACTTACCTTGTTTGGGTCACCCGTGTTTAGATGTACGATCTGCTCCTTGAGGTCAATAACACAACTTACGATGTTTGGGTCACCCGTGTTTAGATGTACGATCTGTTCCTTGAGGTCAATAACACAACTTACGATGTTTGGGTCACCCGTGTTTAGATGTGCGATCTGCTCCTTGAGGTCAATAAACACAACTTACAATGTTTGGGTCACCCATGTTTAGATGTGCGATCTGCTCCTTGAGGTCAATAACACAACTTACGATGTTTGGGTCACCCGTGTTTAGATGTACGATCTGCTCCTTGAGGTCAATAATACAACTTACAATGTTTGGGTCACCCGTGTTTAGATGTGTGATCTGCTCCTTGAGGCGAGCAACCTTGCCCTTGTTCTCCTGCACCTTCTGTTGGCGGCGGTCAATCTCGGTCTCCATCTGGGTTGCGCTATCACGCATCTCATTCACCTGCACAAAATTATGGAAATATTATATTACTACCGCTAAACAAAGATCTGAGGACATCCCATTACAGGTCACTTTAGACCCACCTTGCGCGAACTTTGACTGACCAATGGAACGACTGACAAGAAGTCGACATTAGCCAATCAGAAGGCAGCTTTCACGTGCTTTAAGGCACTAATTTTAAATTGGCAACTACACTGCGAAACATATTTTGACAAATTCTCGCTTAAAAATTTGAAACATCAACAAAAGAACATTCTCGAATGGCTGATAGATAGTCTAGATTGTATAGATTCAGTCGTTAAACCTGTAACTATCGTTTGGAATACCCCGTGTTAAAGTTTTTAAGGTTGCATGATAAGATATCACATTCTGACTGTCACATGATCTGGTAAGGGACGCACTGATTGGTTGGATGAAAGGTCATTCGGACGTGCCCCCTAATGGGATGTCCTCCGATCTCTGTTTAGCGGTAGCGAGAACTTAGATCTGATTTTAATGAGATTGTATTTCACACTAATGTTTACAATATTCATCAGCTAAATGTGGGAGGAGGAAGAAAGTGAGGTGGGAGATAAAAGTCCACAGCTCTGATAAACCCTTCCAACATAAACACTTGTTGCTGACAGTGTTCCAGCAATGAAGAAAGTCAACTGACATAGTGCTAGGGCTGGGACCCGGGTCAGGTGGGTACTGAGTAGGCCCCGGGTACCCACAGGACTCCGCCAACTGTTTTGACAGCTACCTGACATAGTGCTGGGGCTGGGACCCGGGTCAGGTGGGTACTGAGTAGGCCCCGGGTACCCACAGGACTCCGCCAACTGTTTTGACAGCTACCTGACATAGTGCTAGGGCTGGGACCCGGGTCAGGTGGGTACTGAGTAGGCCCCGGGTACCCACAGGACTCCGCCAACTGTTTTGACAGCTACCTGACATAGTGCTAGGGCTGTGACCCGGGTCAGGTGGGTACTGAGTAGGCCCCAGGGACCAACAGGACTCCGCCAACTGTTTTGACAGCTACCTGACATAGTGCTGGGGCTGGGACCCGGGTCAGGTGGGTACTGAGTAGGCCCCGGGTACCCACAGGACTCCGCCAACTGTTTTGACAGCTACCTGACATAGTGCTAGGGCTGTGACCCGGGTCAGGTGGGTACTGAGTAGGCCCCAGGGACCAACAGGACTCCGCCAACTGTTTTGACAGCTACCTGACATAGTGCTGGGGCTGTGACCTGGGTCAGGTGGGTACTGAGTAGGCCCTAGGTACCCACAGGACTCCGCCAACTGTTTTGACAGCTACCTGACATAGTGCTGGGGCTGTGACCCGGGTCAGATGGGTACTGAGTAGGCCCCAGGGACCCACAGGACTCCCCCAACTGTTTTGACAGCTACCTGACATAGTGCTGGAGCTGGGACCCGGGTCAGGTGGGTACTGAGTAGGCCCCGGGTACCCACAGGACTCCGCCAACTGTTTTGACAGCTACCTGACATAGTGCTGGAGCTGGGACCCGGGTCAGGTGGGTACTGAGTAGGCCCCGGGTACCCACAGGACTCCGCCAACTGTTTTGACAGCTACCTGACATAGTGCTGGGGCTGGGACCCGGGTCAGGTGGGTACTGAGTAGGCCCCGGGTACCCACAGGACTCCGCCAACTGTTTTGACAGCTACCTGACATAGTGCTGGGGCTGGGACCCGGGTCAGGTGGGTACTGAGTAGGCCCCGGGTACCCACAGGACTCCGCCAACTGTTTTGACAGCTACCTGACATAGCGCTGGGTACTGAGTAGGCCCCAGGGACCCACAGGACTCCGCCAACTGTTTTGACAGCTACCTGACATAGTGCTGGGGCTGGGACCCGGGTCAGGTGGGTACTGAGTAGGCCCCGGGTACCCACAGGACTCCGCCAACTGTTTTGACAGCTACCTGACATAGTGCTGGGGCTGGGACCCGGGTCAGGTGGGTACTGAGTAGGCCCCGGGTACCCACAGGACTCCGCCAACTGTTTTGACAGCTACCTGACATAGCGCTGGGGCTGTGACCCGGTCAGGTGGGTACTGAGCAGGCCCCGTGTACCCACAGGACTCCCTTGACCCGTGGCTAGTCATGTGACATATTGTTTAACGACAAAAATTATCTAGATCTCTATGGCAACACTTCAAGTCTCTAATGTCCGCACTTCTTTCTGACAATGCACCCGTTCCTTCTGACTTTTAAAGGTCTGAATAAAGATAAAATTTCAGTCAACTTCAGTGTATGCATGACCTGATCGTTGTATATATGTGTATCTCTGTACATTCTGCCAGGGCTACGGTCAAATCGGTCATTTTGTACCCAACTCTTAAGTCTATCGTAGGTACCCGGGTAGGGTCGAGTAATAGCAGGGTGGGTACCCGGGTAGGGTCGGGTAATAGCAGGGTGGGTACCCGGATAGTAAATTTGGACTCGTCCCAGCCCTACAGAGTGCACGATATTACTTTCACTCAATGACTGGAATTTCACAAGCAAATATGTATGAAAAACACACCTCCTCTAAACCATGTTACTTTAATACTGTAAAACATGAAATTAATGCGTCTCCAAAAGAATGCGACCACTGGCCCCTAGCCAAAAATGCGACTCAATATGAATGCGACACCCCCTCCTCTCAAGCATCAGTGGATTTCTATCTAAACAAAATGTCCTCTGTCAGATTTACAGGAGAATCCTCAACTTAATCCAACCTTACATTAATCCAATCACACACCAAATAGCACCGCTTATTAACGCTGAGTAGAGTACTTCAGCTAAAACGATACATGTGCGCTGGCTCGTGTCGGCCTTTGATGTCGCAAAGAGCAAAGACCGTGTTGGGTGGCGTCTGTCTGGACTTGCAGGTGTGATCAGTGATGACATGAGTGAGTAGAACGCTTGTCTTGACCCCAGCAGTGACAATTCACAGGATGTAATTAGTGTTTGAATGACATTGTTTATATACTTGTAACAAGTGCTGCTCAATAAACAGTGATGTGGAATACATAGTTGTTTGTTTTCAGCAGATGTATAAGTTGTTATTTCTGCAATCCAAAATGTCTTATTGTTGATATAAATGTGATGTTTAATAATGCGAGCAAAGACCATTCGCATTTTCGCATTTAATTCACGCTCGCGTTAATATCAAGATTTACAGTATATTGAACAAAAAAAGTTACAGATCATGAATATTTTGCATGTGTATTTTTTGGCCTGAAGACTGAGCAACACAATTTCATAAAAATATTCCCACAAAAATATTCAAGATACCTACCGGTAACATTTTTGTGCAGTACATATAATTATTCAATATACGTAACAATCAGATTTAAAGCCAAACCTATTTGTATTATAAACATAAATCCCTCCTGTGTGCCACAAGATGCTCAACTCCTAATGGTGTTTTGGTTTGCCTTTGGGAATTTAAGTGTTCCAACATGAACATTTATCACGAAGTCCTGTAATAACCATTTTTCTAAAAGAATCTGATTTCTATGTGTGTTTTCAAGCAAGGGTACATATTTTAAGCATGCTGTTTAGACCTTAACCATCTCTCTGTCACTCTAATACAAGGATTTGGCCAGCTCACCGTCTTCATCTTCTTGGCCAGCCTCTGTCTGATCTTATACTTGTTGTCATCACGGAAAGGCTCCGGTGTCTTGCGTTCTGACATCTTCTTCAGTTCCTGTGTCGCTCGAACCAACTTATCCTCCGTGGTGCTCAGATTGGACTGGAGGCTTTGCAATCGATCTTCAGCTGAACAAAAAGAAGTAACAATTCTAACATTTCATGATACTGTTGGGTATATTAACAGTTCATTTTCACATTGACCTCAAACTCTCCATGTGATAACACTCAGTGCCCAAAACTGTTGAGGCTGCTAGCCTGAACTTGGCTATTAGCATCATAGGCTTCAGGCTCCAGACTGCCATCAAGGTACAAAATGACGTGAGATTTGTGTTCAACAGTGGGTGAGATTTCTGCCCATCTTCAGGGAGAGAGAGAGAGAGAGAGAGAGAGAGAGAGAGAGAGAGAGAGAGAGAGAAGAGAGAGAGAGAGAGAGAGAGAGAGAGAGAGAGAGAGAGAGGGAGGGAGGGAGGGAGAGAGAGAGAGAGAGAGAGAGAGAGAGAGACCGCTCCCGTTAGTCGCCTCTTTCGACAAGCTTGGGCTGCTGAAGACCTATTCTACCCCGGTTCTTCACGGGTCAGCAACCCATTTGAGATAACTAGTATCAAACATGGAATTCCAGGTCTGTGATTGGCTACTCCACGGTGATGACCAAAGGTCAAATTATGACGGACTACTTTCCCGAGTGTAATTCATTGATGAGTTAGTCATGCTTCAGTCAAATTCACCTACATCTGTGTTGAAACTTTATGGCTAATAAATGTCCTTTGGTCTTGACCTGTTTGCAGTATCATCATCACCTCGATAATCCACAAATATGGCAGAAACTTATATTTTGGGGGGTCACAGTAGGTATGGGTAGTAAGCAGGTGGCCAGATGATCTCACTAATGACCGTTATGTATCACTGTGCCACTATGATCATGAGAATAAACAAAATATGCATAATACGATCCTAAAATGGTGCGGTTTCTGAGTGTGAAAAAACATATTATTGCACTCATGCTTGTCAGATACTATGTAATTTACAACTTGTTTCAAAACGAATCTAACTCGCATTTGCTCATTGAATACCTTTTAAAACAACTCGTAAGATAAATGGTGTTTGACAGACACTCATGTAGTAATCTCTCTATATTACTTTCCCGTGAAGAGATCACCCGTTTAATAAACATACAGCTTTATTACACATTGTGTAATACCAAAACGCGTGCTTATGTACTCTCGGAACACGTTTCACGAACAAATATTGAAAGCTCTCAACATCCCTTGGCGTATTCAACGACATTGTGTGTGGAGATGATAGATCACTGGGAGGAGCTTATGCACACTCGATGACCCCAGCAACCTTGTTGCTAGGCTGACGTCACATGGCATTGTTTCGCCGATGGATCTTGCAACAAAATTCAACAAATTACGTCATCGGGTATTGTGACGTCATTGTAAACTTTGAGCTGCAAGGCCCCGTTCCACAAGGCGATCGTACTCTAGCGCAACGAGAGTCTTTAGTCTAAGTTAAATTATGTGAGTTGTGATAGCCTTAGCACTACGATAATTTTGTGGGACGAACGCCTGAATTCTAAAGGTGGACCATTGTATGATATTAAATTCATACGTTTCAACTTTTGACGTGTTTGAAGTATTATTCTGTTAAACTCAATTGGATTATGCCATGGATCGTGTAGGTGTCAGCCTATTTACACTCAACAGTATAATTCTAAAAACATTATAAATGACAAGTAATAAATAAAATACTAAACTCGCTCTCGTGTAAAACCAATTTTATGAAACTCGTGAATAGTTGTGGTATCTGACTCGCTTTCGCTCGTCAGATACCAGAACTATTCACTCGTTTCATAAAATTGGTATTACACGGGAGCTCGTTTAGTATTCTATATATATAAAATCTCTCCCCGGGGAAGACCTACCGAGTTGTATCTCCCGCTGTTTGTCTACAACCTGCGCTGTGAGCGCCTGGTGATACTGCCCCAGCCCCTCGGGTCGCTGCGCGGGCGTGGCAGGGGAGGATGCAATGGAGTGGATCTGTATTTTCTGGGGCGTGGCCAGCAGTGACCCTTCCTGGGAATACTGGTTGGCCTTGTAGCGGGCTCGGCCGATGTACGGGCTCTCATCCAGGAGTCCACTGTTATCATCATCATCGTCCTGGCAAGAACAATTTAATACATAATGAGTCAAATCTAAATATGTATACTTATCCTGCATTACTCCTTAATGCGTTCACTGCTTACCTATGACAAGAAGAAGAGACAGCATAACGGCGATGGTCCTGGGTGAAGAAATAAACTGTTGTTCTTTAGTCCCACCTGTTATGACCACCGCCGCTGTCCTGTGACCTTGAAGGAAAGGTCACCTTCTTCACTGCCAGTCGCTTAGAAAAACATACTTTTGAGGTTTTTGAAGCCAAAGTGGGGAGACAATTCCGCTGGTACACATCCATGCTGTAGCACGACTTTTTCAGTCAGCAACTCCCTTGCCTCGGGAAGATGCAATATCAGTCACTGGATTGTCTGGTCCTGGCTTATTTTCAGGATGCCATAATCAGCTAGAATATTGCTGAATGCGACGTTAAACAAAAAGCAAAGGTCTCATAGAGACATTCTTGTGACTTTGCCTAAACAGACACCTACCAAGATCTGGGGGCGAGGGACTTCACTGAGACTGTGGAACTTGGAGTCTATCTTGTAGAAGGCCAGTTCCTGCTCCAGCTGGTAGTGCTTCTCACACGCCTTGTTCAGCTCACTCGTCTTCTTCTTCAGCTGCCAACACAAGCACACAGGTGCAACATTGTTATTGTGAGTGAGTGAGGTGGGTATAACGCCGCTTTTAACAGTATTCCAGTTATATTGCGGCGTGTCAGCTTAATGTGGGAGGAAGGCCCGAAGTGATGCAGGTCTCAGACGTTTACCACTTAGGTGAAACCCACGAGCACGGGTATGGTGCTGACAAATCTAGAAACATAATCGGGGAGAACTGGGATTCGAATCCCAGTCATAGGTTTCTGGCGTGCCCAAGGGACGCAACTCTGCACAGAGAATCGCGGCGCCTTAGACGACAGGGCCAACTGTGCCCCCACATTGTTATAGGGACTACTGAATAAGACTGGGTTATTCCCTCTGTGAACAATATTTGATTACATCGTCTGTTTGTTTTGTTTCTTTGTTGTTTAACGCCGCACTCAGCAATATTCCAGCTATATGACGGCGGTCTGTAAATAATCGAGTCTGGACCAGACAGTCCAGTGATTGACATCATGAGCATCGATCCACACAATTGGGATACGATGACATGCATCGACCAAGTCAGCGAGCCTGACCACCCGTTCCTGTTAGTCGCCTCCTAGGACAAGCATAGTTGCCTTAATGGCAAGCATGGGTTGCTGAAGACCTTTTCTTACCCACATCTTCACTGGACGATTACATCGTAGTAGAGCTGAGTATCACCTAGTATCTTGATTGGTATCACGATAGGGAATGACACCAAATAGTAAGAAATGATGAAATACAGCTCTAAAACCTGTTTCTTCATACATTTAGTTATTGTTATCTCAAAAACCTTAAAGAAAACCACAAGAAGAAAACAGTTTTAAATGAAGGGATGGTTATTACCAGTTAGTCAGCATGTCCTCATCCTTGTGTTCTGCCATGCTTACAGCATACACTTGCTTACACTTCTTCAATTATGGGGGGTAACTCTATAACTGTTCTATTTATAGACAATCACAATCTCACAAACTGACGATTCAAGTATCGTGTGTACCTAGGGATCTATGATATTGTAGGTATCGGTGAATCTTTACAGCCCTATATCGTGGCATAGATGTTTACCACTCTGGTGAAACTCATTGACAATAGTTTGGAGCGGACAAACCAGACAGATCTGGGATTTGAGCCCAGATCACTGGAACCTGGCACAAGCAGGGGACAGAACTCCCTTGAACTGTGGTGGAAACTGACCCTCCAAAGATTACTTCAAGAAGATATAACCAGTAATCTGGTGACACTCGTTGATGAACTGAGTTGGGTTGATTTGAGATCCTTGTTTTAAAAACGTCCTCATTTTAATGATATTTGCTTGCTGAAATAACCACATTTCATGGTTGATGAGATAACACAGTGTATACAATGGTGTATTGATGGTAAGCTACAGAAGAGGGAGGACATACTCACCAGGTCATTCTTGACCTCTAACTCTCTCTGTAGCTCCGACACCTGGCCTTGGCGTGCCATGTCCTTGACCTTCATCTCCTTGGTGGTGGCCTCCTGCAGGGACTTCTCCTGCAGGGACTTGTTGTGGCTCTCCTCCAGCCGCCTGCTCCTCACCTCCTCCTGCTCAAGCTGTTTCTCCAGCTTCTCCAACTCTCCTGGAACCAATCAGTGTACATGTAGTCAGAGAGGGGGAGATGGAGTAGAGGGACTGGGTAGCAAGGGAGGGGGCAGGAGGGGGCAGGAGAGGGGCAGGAGGAGGGAGTGGACAGGAGGCAGGAGGAGGGAGGGGGGCAGGGGGCAGGGGGCAGGCAGGAGGCGGGCAGGAGGGGGGCAGGAGACAGGAGGGGGGCAGGAGGGGGGTAGGAGACAGGAGGGGGGCAGAAGGGGGGCAGGAGGGGGCTGGAGAGGGGCAGAGGGAGGGGGGCAGGAGGCAGGAGGGGGGCAGGAGGCAGGAGGGGGGCAGGAGGCGGGCAGGAGGGGGGCAGGAGAGGGGCAGGAGGAGGGAGGGGGCAGGAGGGGGCAGGAGGCAGGAGGGGGCAGGAGGAGGGGCAGGAGGAGGGAGGGGACAGGAGGCAGGAGGGGGCAGTTTTCCCACTTAGCCACCATGTCAGGAGAAGAGAGGGTGTTCAATCTTACATGTTATGACTGCAGTTGGGTGAATGCTGCACATGATCTTTCTCTTGCACATATTCATTGAATTCCATTTATACCACGACGCACTGTATTGTTCACTGTAAGGTATCACAATGTCTTCTTATTCTTTCTGATATTTCTTGTATTTAGACTGTTTATAAGTTGGCTAAAAAACCTTCAGCTCGGTCTTGACTGAGAATGTAAGCCCTCTGCCCTCCCAAAGAGGAGGTCTATATATATGCAGACATATGCAGACAACATTATGCAGACAACAGTATAGAAGGTGATGATAGGCAGGGAGGATGTCAGGGACATTGGACACAATAATAGGACCTGGGCCCACTTGCACAAAGGGATCTTAGCGCTAAGATGATCGTAACTTCTATACTTTAACATAGGCTTACATTAGTCGTAGCACTAAGACTGCTTTGTGCAAGTGGGCCCTGGTATACACTGGAACTGTGTATGAGTATAGATACAAAGGACCCGTGAAGACCCGGGTAGAGAATAGGTCTTCAGGAACCCATGCTTCCCGCAAGAGGCAACTATGCTTGTGTTAAGAGGCGACTAACGGGATCGGGTGGTCAGGCTTGCTGACTTGGTTGATGCATGTCATTGCATCCTTATTGTGTAAATCAACCATGATGTCAATCACTGGATTGTCTGGTCCAGACTTGATTATTTACAGACCACTGTTACATAGATGGAATATCGCTGAGTATGACGTTAAACAAAACACAAACAAACAAACATGATACAAAGAGACAAGAAACTCAAACTCTATCTTAACACTTTCTGTCAGCAAATCTGTCACCTTGAGCAAACCTCTGCTGCGCCAGGTCCCGTTCGTGAGCTGTGACATGGGCGGCGTCCAGGGTGGCCACTGTCCGCAGGTGGAAGACAATGTACAGCCGGGAGTGTGGCAGCTCGGACAGCGGAGAGCCACTCACGTCCAGCTGCGTCAAGTCAGGGATGGGCTTCAGCTTGGACAGTTCGTTGAGCTGCAAGAGAATCACATGTAAAGTGTGCGTGAGAATGTAGAAGCTGATCCAGGTCGGCAACACTGCAGGTTATCATCCAAAACTGGCTACCACAGGAGATATCACTTGGGTGAGATTAAGCGATATTGTATGACCTAGATTTAAGTTGCGTAAAGCTTACCGATACAAGCTGGTTAGGACCTAGATTGAAGTCGCATACAGCTTACCGATACAAGCTGGTTAGGACCTAGATTGAAGTTGCGTAGAGCTAACCGGCGTAAGCTGGTTATGACCTAGATTGAAGTTGCGTAAAGCTTACCGATACAAGCTGGTTAGGACCTAGATTGAAGTCGCATACAGCTTACCGATACAAGCTGGTTAGGACCTAGATTGAAGTTGCGTAGAGCTTACCGATACAAGCTGGTTACGACCTAGATTGAAGTTGCATACAGCTTACCGATACAAGCTGGTTAGGACCTAGATTGAAATTGCGTACAGCTTACCGATACAAGTTGGTTATGATCTAGATTGAAGTCGCATACAGCTTACCGATACAAGCTGGTAAGGACCTAGATTGAAGTTGCGTAGGGCTTACCGATACAAGCTGGTTAGGACCTAGATTGTAGTCGCTTAGGGCTTACCGATACAAGCTGGTTAGGACCTAGATTAAAGTTGCGCAGAGCTTACCGATGCAAGCTGGTTAGGACCTAGATTAAAGTTGCGTAGGGCTTACCGATACAAGCTGGTTAGGACCTAGATTAAAGTTGCGTAGGGCTTACTGATGCAAGTTGGTTAGGACCTAGATTAAAGTTGCGTAGGGCTTACCGATGCAAGCTGGTTAGGACCTAGACTGAAGTTGTGTAGGGCTTACCGATGCAAGTTGGTTATGACCTAGATTAAAGTTGCGTAGAGCTTTCAGTTTTTTGCCAATCCACGGCGGAATGTGCTCAATCTGATTCCAGCTGAGGTTCAGCGTCTGCAGAAAGACGAGGTTTTCGATGCCTTCTATCTTCACTATGGAATTATGGGAAAGATTGAGATCTCGTAGACGGAGCAGTTTGTCCAGTTTCTCCATCTTCTCGATCATGTTGTTGCTGAGGTTGAGAGTGTGCAGCTTCTTCAGCCTCTCAAGGTTCTCGATGTACTGGAACAGTGAACAAAAACAGCTGCTTACCGTATTGGGCAATTGACACGATTGACACGTCTGTTTTGGCAAATTTCAACTTTATTTCATCACAATTGATTATGTAAGATATTATCGATGACACAATTTTCATATCGATAATCGTTAATATTTCTTCCCATTGACGATAATTTAACAATTATTTTAGCCAGCCCTAACCAACAGTACAGGCAATTGCTTACCACATCCTTGCAACAATCAACATATACTGCTAATCATCATAAGTCCTTACACATATGTCCTAACTTCAGTAAGTTTAAGGCCCCTTTGAAGAGTATTTCAGTTATTTCACAGCATGCTAGTTTAAAGTGGGTGAAAGGCCTGAAGTGATGGAACTCTTTGACCAACAGGTGCTGACAATCCAACGATCAGTTCCTATTCCTTATCAGACAATCTGGGATGGAAACCCATGATCTGGCATGACCAGCTGCCGTACCCTTGAGGAATGGAGGAATCAAGTACTTGCAGAAAAAGATGAGGCGAAATGGGGTTTTACGTTGCATCCAACATTATTGCATTATATAGCGACGTGCATGCACATGTGTGTGTGTGTGGCTGCATGTACTGCTTTTACAGCACTAGCCCACTGAGATACAATGCCGCAGTTTAACAAGAATACCCCACTCAGACACAGCATATTGACTCCGAGCCGACCAGTCCTTGTTTTAGCTGCTTAATGCCCAGCGACAGACAGTGTAACAACAAGTACCATCTTTTAACGTCTTGTGGTATGACACGGCCGGGGATCAAACCCCCGACCTTCCACTCTCCGGGCGGTTGCTCTACCACTAGACCATGGAGGGGGTCTGCAGAAAAGGGCTTAGCACCAACAGGCATCCATTAAGAACAACAGGAAGCCCTTTCTATGCCATCGTAAAGAGGTTGGCAGTTGAAGCGTTGCAGTGACAACCTTGAAAACGACCCCCATCCTGGAGTGAGTGAGTGGTGTGTTGGGTTTAACACCGCTTTTAACAGTAACATATCACGGTGAGTCAGCTAAATGTGGGAGGAAAGCCCGAATCAATGTAGGTCTGAGACTTTTATCACTTTGGTGAAACCCACGAGTACGGGTATGGTGCTGACAAACCTAGAAACATAATTGGGGCGAACCGGGATTCGAACCCACAATCATAGGTTTCTGGCGTGCTCAAGGGACGCAACTCTGCACAGCGAATCACGGCGCCTTAGACAACTGGGCCATCCGTGCCCCCACCCCCATCCTTGAAGGCCTGTCACATCAGCAACACCAGAAATGATCCAACGAATCCACAATATGGTGATAACTGGGCGATGAATGACCGAGCGTCATATTGCTAGTTCATTTCCCGGGAGTACGTTCCATTATCAGAGAAACTTTGGCAATGAAGAAAACATCAGCTAATTGGGTTCCAAAGCTTCTAACATCTGATCGAAAACACACCAGGCACATCACACTGCACATGTCTCATGACAATCAAGCTTTGTTTGTAGCTGATCCAGAAAGGTTCTTGCAGTTCTTTTTGACTATGGCCAAACCTGGGCTCATCACACCAATCTGCAAATACTGGATCACTGCACATTCTTAGAGGTAGTCCATTTACCAAAGGTTACAGACAAGCTCAAGTTAGTGTGGATATACCTCTATGACTCAATGTCCACAACAGATTTCACTATTACTAAATTCCTTCAATGTGAGGCTTAGAACTTATCAATCAACCTCATAGTTTCAACATAATCTCTTGGAGCTGAAGGTTGTACAAAATGCCAGTTCTCTCAGCCTGAGCAGGTATCACTGAAACTCTTTACTCAATTGAAGAATATCATTTCAGTATTACAAATACCGTATTCGACATAATAAGCGCCCAGGGCGCTCTCAAAATTAGAAATAGGGGGCTTTTATTAGAATATTTCTTTGGTGAAAAAAAACAGAGTTGAAAGATAAAATTTGTGGTTTATGCTGACAGTCTGAACTGTTTATATACGACAGATGCATTTTTCAAAATTTAATTGCCCATTATTAAGGGTGCATATAACACAAGAGTACTCTTGTGTACAGTGATAAATCAGAAGGGGGGCTAATTGGGATTGTTCACAAGCCAATATATTAGCAAATATCACCGGGGGCGCTTATTAGAGCGGGGCGCTTATTACGTCGAATACGGTAACTAATATTTTTCACTTCTATGTCACGAACTAATCCAAATCCCACTATCATTACAACGATTATAATCAGGGCTCACCAATACCATGCCTTCGACTCTCATGTATTTGAAAACATGAAGCAAGCAATAAATTCTCAGAAAATCCACATATCAAAATCAAACTTTGCACTGTATCTCTTCTGTTAGTATGGAAGCTGTTCGCTAAGTTTGAAAAAAATCTATACAGTAGTTTTCAAGTCATAGGTCGACCAATTGTAAAAAATTCTAAGTAAAAAAATTAAAAAATACCCACACATATTTTTTCAGAAAAAACAAATATTGAAATCAAACCTCACTATGCACCTCTCCTATTGGCGCTTAAATTGTTCACAAAGTGTGAAAAGAATCTATGCAGTAGTTTTGAAGTTAAAGGTCGCACACAAAAATGTCCTTGGATGGATGGACAAAATTCCTTGGTATAACCATAATAACTATATATACCCCCACCCTTTTAGGTTGGTGTATAATATTACAATATGTATCATTTGAAAAGCTGGAATACAGTGCAGTCCTAAGTTAGTAAGTACACTGGTTATCTGGAACTCTGTCACACCATGATCTGTGAACTTTATCAGCTGATCATAAAGTTGTGGGCACAAATAGCTGTCAGCCATCTTGCTTTCAGCTGCACAAATTGCGCAGTACACAGACATTAAAAGTTTTACTTGAAATTTAAGAGTGAAAAGTGAATCCAACCTATTGCAAAATATTTCCTTTATGAACCTCTAGTTCCAAAAGAGGTTGCTAAGAGCTCAAAATACAAAATCACAGGAGAATGATTCATCTGAACACAAGCTCTTGCCAAGTTTATGAGAATGTAAAATAACCCTTGTGTCATATACATGAGGAAATACGAGACATGTTTTTTGCCACAGTCTCAAAATCACCAGCAAACAAATCAAAGAAGCGCTCCTGCAATAGATTCACCTACATTTTCAATACTTTATTTAAAATAAGCTACATGTTCACAAATCAAGTATCATAGTACATGTCAGAGCGACCTTTCATTCAACCAATTACAGTAGAGAGTTTCCACAGCCCCTGAAAAGTTTTCAAATTCTGAATTGAGAACTTCGCTAAAACATTTTTCAAAGCGTAGTCTGGGTGGGTGTAGCCATTTTGAAACCAGTAAAATTCGAGAAAACTACTTTCTGAGTGGCTAATGTACACTTCCTGTTTGTCATTTTATTGTTCGGTCAAAGTTCGCGCAAGGTCATTCTGACCTGACCTGCAATGGGTGAGTGAGTGAGTGAGTCAGTTTGATTTTACGCCGCTTTTAGCAATATTCCAGCAATATCATGGCGGGGGACACCACAAATGGGCTTCACACATTGTACACATGTCGGGAATCGAACCCGAGTCTTCGGCCTAACGAGCGAACGCTTTAACCACTAGGCTACCCGACCGACCCGACCTGTACTTGGATCACCTGAGATCTTTGTGTTATGATAGCGAGCTAGCACTAAGATCTGAATTTAATAAGATTGCAATAGTCATTGCGATGCATTAAGAAGTCAGTAAACAACAACATTAACATACCTGTGAATTTCAGAAAATAGGACAACAAAACTAAAAATCCCAATTTGAATCGTGTTTTTTTCTAATTTGCCTGACCAGAGCACTATGTTTGGAATCCCAGGTGAATCCTTAATACCAGAGATACTGTGAACAGATACGCGATTGTTTGTTTGTTTGTTGTTTAACGCTGAATGTTTCAATATTCCAGCTATATGACGATGGTCTGTAAATAATCAAGTCTGTAACCGACAATCCAGTGATTGACATCATCAGCATCAATCCACGCAATGGGGATACGATGACATGCATTAACCAAGTCAGCGAGCCTGACCACCCAATCCCCTTTAGTCGCCTCTTACGACAAGCACAGTCGCCTGTTACGGCAAGCATGGGTTGCTGAAGACCTATTCTAACCCGGATCACCATTTCACATCATTTTTTTTAACATTTTCCCTTTCTATGTCAAGATTACTATTAAATGTTTTTCAAAAGTACATTAATACAAACATTATGCAATAGCAATATTCCAGATGTATGACGCAGACCTGCAAATAGTCAAGTCTGGGAAAGGCAATCCAGTGATCGATATCATGAGCATCGATCAACGCAATTGGGATATGATGACATGCATCAACCGAGTCAGTGAGCCTGACCCAATCCCATTAGTCGCCTGTAAATAATCAAGTCTGGATGAGGCTAGCTGCTATCCAGTGAACAATGATCCATGTCATCAGCCAAGTCCCCAAGTCTGACCTCCCGATCCTTTTGGTCATATTTTCATCATAGACAACATTTTTAGTCCACTCATGGCAAAGAAATGGCAAAGAAATGGCAAATTTCTACTTGTCCTCACCTTAACAATGGGCAGTTTTGCAAGGACAACAGGACTAGTGCAAATATCTAACGCTGGTTTTACAAGCTTGCTGTGGACCCATTCTACCCAAGAATCCCCACATGGTTCAATCACAAAATACATTACATTACACGCGATTGCACGAAACGATGGAAATAATAACTTAGATGTAAGTTTGATTACTTTTAGATATATTTTTGTTGATTTTATTTATCACTTTGTATAATATATTTAAAGATTTGCTTAAAACGTCTTTATTTTGCTCTTTGACATGTTCGATGCGGACCCGTTGTCGAAATGTGTGTCCGAGAATTTTATTTTCAATAACATCGCGGGAAATAGTGAATAATTTTTTAATTTATCGATAAAAAATGATAAATTGAAATGGAATACGTATTTCAGACATTGTGAGATGTGACAGATTTAATAAATGAATGATATTACAGGTAGATCTAGGTCCATAAAAAATATATACTATTTTGACGTGACGTGAGATAAACACATTGATGATTTGAGATTTGCTGAGCGCGCTCCCCCGCCTCGGCCTCGGTTAAACGGCTCATTGTCTATAACGCCCACCAATTATTTGGACCCCATTGGTAGCGTTGTAGCGAGGGACCACTGTAGTATCATTTGTCTGGTTGACTATTTCCAGTGTTCCCGGTTACCGGTAATTACCAGTTTTTAACCAGTAACTTTAGTCTTAGATCGGTAACTCATGTCCGCGTTAGAAATTGGCACTAGTCCTGTAGTCCTTACCGTACTGCCCAATAGTAAAGGTATCATAAAAACTAGTAGAAATTGGCCCTTTGTAAGGGTTTTGCTATATGTTATCATTATAAGGACTAGTGGACAAAAACAGTTAGTTTCTAACCCTGCATGTGACTGCCAGTCCCTGTGGACCGTCAAATAAAGTACCTTATAAATCGGCTATATAAAAACGGCTATATTCATGTAAGTATATTTTTCGAACAAAGTCAGCTTGTCTGTTACCATCAGGGTTCCCCTGGTCTATTTTTAGTGCATGGAAATAGCATTTAGCTTTATTTCGAGGTTAAAAATATATTTGTAGTGACTTAGTCTCAAAAAAAAATTTTTAAAAAGAAAAATTTGTGACTGAAGATTGTGTAAATGATGTGTAGATCTAACCAAGTTACTTTAGAGATGACATCATTGCATTGAACATGAAAAACCAGGTAATATGCATACGTTTTTTATATTTGTTGAAAGTTGGGACTGGCTAAAACTAGAAGGGACTGGAAATTTTAGAGTTGCCTGTCCACCAGAAATGGCAGTTTCAAAAGCCATTAGGAACACTTATTTCTAGCATCATGTCAATCAAACTGGACTCAAATTAAAGCTACAGGGGTGAATGGGTCAAGAGTATTCGTCTTACTATAATGTACACATGATCATGATGATACACTCTTTGTTTGTTTGTTTGTTTGTTTGTTTGTTTGTTTAATGCTGCACTTAGCAATATTCCAGCTATATGACGGCTGTCTGTATATAATCATGTCTGGACCAGACAGTCCAGTGATTGACGTCATGAGCATCGATCCACGCAACAGTGAGCCTGACTACCTGATCATCTCTTACAGAAAGCATGGATTGGTGAAGACCTATTCTAACTTGTATCTTCATGAGTCACATGATACACTGGATAATGGCGGATGCATGATATACTCCTCGCTACGTTTCAAGCTACGATGATTCCGTTTTCAACAGCAATAGGTGCCATACTTATTTAACCAAGGATGGAGCCAATAATCAGACCTTACCTTGATTTTCTTGCCTCCTTCCCGGCCTAATGTCAGGCTGAGAGTTGTTATCATGTCGAAGTTGTCCTCCTTCGCCATCTTCTTGATCATATCCTCAGTGATGTAACGAACACCAGGCTGAGATGCTGGAACATCAGAAATAAAAATACAGTGCCCCACCACTGAATCCCCCCTCACCCTGTTTTTACAGAGAATTCCTACATCTTCAGCAACATCTGATACACATCATTGATGTCAGCCTATTGTTCCTCAGTCGGGTTAACTCTCATAAGCAGGGATGTTATAATATACCCGAGATTTTACATAGTACCACTAGGATACAGCCGTGCTGATAAATCACAATGCTTTTAAGAATGTCTTTTGCAAGTACCCATATGCCAGCAACAGATATTTCAAGCCCGTTTCCTGAGGTTCATGGTAAGTAATGTTGATAAATGTTGCATTTAGCTTCTTTTTTAGGTTTATAAGTTGGACAAAACACTTACCCTCGTATTATTATGAGTTTTAAAACCCTCATCCTCGGGATAATTGTGAGTGAGTTGGGTTTAATCCTTACTTAGTACTCCAACTTCTAAATGCCTATCAAAGAATTATTCCAGTTATATCACGGCATGTCAGCTTAATGAGGTCTCAGACGTTTACCACTTCAGTGAAACCCACGAGCACGGGTATGGTGCTGACAAACCTAGAAACATAATTGGGGAGAACCGGGATTTGAACCCACAATCATAGGTTTCTGGCGTGTCAAAGGGACGCAACTCTGCACAGCGAATCGCGGCGCCTTAGACGAGTGGGCCACCCATGCCCCCCCTCGGGATAAAACTGAGGGACCGAAGCTTCGAAGTTTTATCCCTCGGATAAGGGTTTCAAATCTCATCAAAACCCTCTGACGTGGTTTATCCTACACAATGACATACTCCGCGGGTTTGTATCCACAATACGGTGTATGCATCAAAGGTATAATGATATGCAGGGTTAGAAGTTAACACTAGCCTGCTAGCCGGGGGCTAGTACAAATACAAATACAAGTACAAATGAGGGCGTCCCTTAGGCACGCCAGAAACCTATGATTTTGGGTTGGAATCCTGGTTCACCCCGATTATGTTTCTAGGTTTGTCAGCCCCATACCCGTGCTCGTGGGTTTCACCGAAGTGGTAAACGTCTAAGACCTGCATCACTTCGGGCTTTCCTCGCACATGAAGCTGACACGCCGTGATATAACTGAAAAAGTGGCGTTTAACGCAAATCACTCGCTCAATCATTACATTATTTATATTTCATAAGCTGATATTCACCCTGTTTCTATTATCAGTTACTCAGGTGTTATTCACATTGAGAAGAAGAAATAAAAAAAAAAAATGGGAGTCAAATGTAATGTCAAAATATTTGAGAAACAATACTTTCTCCAAAGTTTGAAATATGTGACCAACCATGAGATAATGACCTTGTGTGTGAAAAAATCACATTTTGACTTCTCATTATATTTTAAAACTACAGGATCGTAGGAACACTAAAATACAATTCACAAGCTTCAATTCATATATATTACAGAGATATACGGCATCAACGATTTGGACTCATTATCTGCCAAGTTCCATTTTCCCTGACTTAAAACTGCAATGCTTGCAGGTTTTAGATATAATGTCTGATTAATTGAAAGTGGGCAGGTATGCTGAAATAGTTTGAAATAATGTTTTTATTACATTACAAACCAACGAGAGAAAAATATTATTGTACAGTCCACACACTCTGCAATCTTTAGTTAGTTGACGTCAAACATCTTTATTAATGACATCACAGCATAATTGGTTCATAGCACCCACACAAATACTCCAACATTTATAATATGAAATATTAAAACTGCTTTTGTTAAAAAAGCAAAGAAATGTATTATATCATTTCGTGTTTGCACCTAAATTGTATTTCGTCTGTACAAAAAGGCCCATGGCCTACAAGTACTGAATAAAAGTGAATAAAAAAAACAAAAAAATAAAACACCTACACATATATTAAAAGTCTTTTGTTTGTGAGCTGAAAAGATTTCTGAATAAAATAAATACATTCTTCACGCTTAATATGAATATGATGGCCAACTTCTCACAAAACAGAAGATGCTAATGGTTAATTAATTTTTAACTTGTGCCAAGTTTATCACATATAATTAAATTTCCGTTGTGTTCATTGAAATTCCTGTATTCTGATTAGCTGAATTGGTCACGTGTTATTGCATTCATTTCCCAATGAATGTAAAAAATTAAGCCACGCCCACCGAGGCGCACTACTTTTATTACTTCAGAATGTCGGGGAATCCCAATATTATTACAGTCGAGGGAATTCCCTTTCTGCTCACATGTATTGTCATGCACAGGACATTTAGCGACTTTCATGCATATTCATTGTCCTAACAAACCTTTGAAACCGAAGGCCGAGAATGATTGAAACACCAAACGTGCAGGCTCGCTCGCCTGTTTTTTTTCTGCTCGCCTCAGTTCAACTTTCTTGTCTTCTGGTTTCATTTCTAACTAGCATTTTTCCAACTGTGTTTTACCATAATCAGGCAAGTAATGTTTGAATCTGGCAGTAACTGACCATGTAATTTGAAACAGCCGCCTTCTCACGGACATATTTCTTCCGGTTGGTTACAGTCTGACTGTTGCAGTTCTTTTTGCCTATTGTCTTAATTGACAGGTCCAGTGAACATTGTTTTGATCCTGCTCTCCGTTGATTGGCTACTGACTGTGTAGGCGTGTCAAGTTATGTGCATAAATTAAGCAATCACCTGATTCATGTCACGCCACAGTATATATTCCTACACCTGGAATGTTTATCAATCTCGTCATTTTTGTCTGTTTTGATATATAAAACTGTTTTCGGTTATACTATTGTAGACAAAACATGTTTTATGTTGTCGAATTTAATCATAAGCATTGACTGTGTATTTTTTTCGGTTCATTGAGGTATGAATCGAAAAACCAATGTGCAAACTTTTGTAAGAATCCGCTACACACATTGGTTTTTCGATTCATACCTCAATGAACTGGAAAAAATACACAGTCAATCCTTAAATAAAAACATCTTAATGAACAAAAAATAATTGTCATCTCGTCATTTTTGAAGATCCTCAAAGATTGTGACATGACTTGGCAGGAAAACTTACTTGGTGTCCGAACTGGCGACAAGCCTTTCCTGAGATTGCTGCCCGGAGATACAGCCCTTCTGGTTGAGGTCCCCTGACCTCCACTGACGCTGAGGTTTACCTGACGGGGGAGGTCCTCCGCTGACCGGGCAATGTTGCCCCGCCCCCTGGCTAGGTGGGACGAGGCCGTGGAAGGGCTGCCCTTGGATGTCTTTGGGACGGGCAGGTTGGACAAACCTCGCCCTGTGCTCCTCTTCATCCTGGATTGTCCTGGTGAAACCTATCTGAAGCAGACAGAAAAAACCTGAGTATCCGGCGTGAGTGAGTAAGCTGTGTTTAACCCCACTTTCGATAGCAGTTTAGTTAGCCCTCTTGTGTGATAATTTTCATGAAAGGTTTGGTTTAAATCATGTTATTCTGAATGTTTTACGCATAAACTTGCGATCTCTATTAAAAATATGGAACTTCAAGGATGCATAGTACTAGGTTACGAGCTGTGACAAAGATTTCTTATGCATAAATTTTGGCATTAAAGACATCTAGTCTGAAACGAAAAATCAAGGCAAAATAAGCCAAGATGTCATTTGCGATCGCACGAAAATATGGAAATAATAACTTAGATGTCAGTTTGGCAACTTTTAGATATATTTTGGATGATTTTATTACTTTGTATAATATATTTAAAGATTTGCTTGAAACGTCTTTATTTTGCTGTTTGACATGTTCGATGAGAACACGTTTCGAAGTGTGTCCTAGAATTTTATTCCCATAACATTGCGGGAAATAGTGATTAATTTTTTAATCTATTGATAAAAAATGATAAAATCCAATGGAATACGTATTTCAGACATTGCGAAATGTGATAGATTTAATAAATGAATGATATGACAGGAAGGTCAATAAAATTATAAAGTATTTTGACATGATTATGCCGGTCAACCCTGCGGCACTGGTGACTCCATGGCTAGTGCACCGGTCACCACTGCACTTTGGGTTGACAAGCTTTGATAGTATTAGAGAAGGATTCAGCAAGAAATATCAGAGTGACTTCCCTTTGCTTTACACTCGCGGAGCAAATGAAATAAAAAAAATTGTTTGAACTTTTTATGCATTTTTTAAAGTGAAGATCGGCGGTAATAAAAAAAGGGGTAATTTGTATTATTATTATTCATCATTTGGACTTTGAAAGAGCGGCACATCCATAAACTAAGTAATAAAAAATATTTCGCCTTATGGGAAGAAATGACAGATAGTAAGCTGTTACAGAACTGAATGTGAATCATCATGTTGTTGAATTTTCTCTTTGCGTATGAATTAGTCATGAGACACCACCCGCGTATTTGTTATAAAGTTGTTTTTGAGCAAGGTGATTATATGGTTTGTTTTTTAATATTTCTTCACAAGAGGTAGTTTTGTTCTTCATTTTAGCTAAATATTTCTCTCTTTTGGCATTTGGCATGTTTCCCCTATTACCTACAGCATGAGAAGGTTGTTTTTGCCAAAACAATTGGTGCCATTTTGGCAAGAATGTTTACCTAGCCAGCATTCGTTGAAAGGTCAATCAAATAGTTCATATACTGATTTCAGAGTGTAAATTTAACGAAACAGGTTTAACAAGTTTGCCGACTGTTGAAACAAGCACCTGTCTGTCTGACAGCCGCACGCTGCATGGGAAATCAATCATAAATAATCAAACGTGATAAACATGCCCGTATACACTGCACGGTTAAAATGACAAACTGAGTCATCTAGCATCAGGGATCATGCATAAGTACTCAAAAATGTTGAAACATGACTCTCTGAACATTTGTAAACTTTTCCCCTAAAACATTCGGCTTCGCGAAGTTGGTTTCTTGACAGGTGTCCGAAGTGTTAATTTTTACTTTAAGCACGGGAGAAGGTGACTTTTAGTATCCAGTTTCAAACAATGTCTTACCTTTGTGTGCAAACTAAAACAATTTAATCCACCAGCAAAAATAAACGAAAATATAACATTTTCAAGTATCGAACGACGCCATGTTGTTTACCCGCCAGTTTCTGCGAGCCTGTGGCAACGGCGAGATACAATGTGCAATTAAAAATTATTCCTTGTTATTCTTCAAAACACTACAGTTCTCTTGAAAACTAAATAAATACACAGACATGAATTAAATGTTCAACATATTTAGTCCATGATTGTTAAATCTATTTCCACAAATTATTATCGAGACTTCCAGGAAGTGCGAAGTAATCTGGATGTAAACACAGGCACATGCACGGACACGACTTTATTGACATTTGTGAAGGTGACAGTAGATGTAAACATGAATCTTGAGCCGGCGTTTGGTTCGTGTGTCAATACCGATTCACTGAAGTGTAAACGTGATCAATATGTTTGCACACTTAAATGAAAATATTAAATTGCGACCAGCACTGAAAATGTTGAACAAAAATTGCGATGTGTAGGCCTCAACATGAATGTAGATCTATGATACATATATATTGCACAGATCTGAAGATTTATGTGGTAATATATACTTCATTCAGACATTCGCTGCGAACTAAACAACACAGCAATACGAGATTGCGGAGAATGATCTGACACCACCCTGTCATTCATCTTAATTTTGGCAGTCTCGTACACAAATGTCGGATAACTCGTACCTAATTAACTGGATGACTCGTACTCAAGAAGGCTTATCCGTACACAATGAAAATTATATGATTTTAAACATAATTCACTTTTGCTCTACCCATAATTAAAATGATTAAACAGGTTTTCAATTAAGACTTTGGTGTACTGCTACACGGTCCTGGTGTCTGAGGGCAAGCTGTCCAAACACCAAAGGAAACAGGTCACTCATTATAATTAGGAGATGAATTTTTGTTTAAAGTTTGTTTAAATCGTAATGTTTCATTTAAACTTATGACAGGCACTGAAAACATGTAGCTTGGCAACTTTGTAATTTAACATGAGATGGCCACCGATAATGAAAACAGTGCAAGCCTTGCAAAGAGTCTTTTAAACCATGCGTCAAAGTTATGACGTCATATTACTCATTGTGACGCAAAATATATGATGCCACAGTCATATATAGAAAAGCACCAAATAGCAAATTCTCTGTTGTTCTCTTTGTAGATTTCTAAAGTGTTTTCTGTACAAAATGTATTGCCACAAATCTTTGAATATTGTAGAAACTATAATTGACATATACCGTATTCGACATAATAAGCGCCCCACTCTCATAAGCGCCCACAGAGATATACATGAAAATATTTAAGTCTTGTGTACATTGATCAGTCGGAAAAGGTGCTAATTGGGATTATTCACTTGCCAATATATTAGCAAATAATACGAAAATGTGAATTTCATGCAGTGAATAAATAATTCTATATTAATTTTGTCATTTTTACAGTCAAAACTGGTTAAAACAATCTTGTTTCAGACATCTTGCTTTAGACAAAAACGGGTACAGGTCATCCAAGTTTTGGTACGGGTCATCCAAATTCGCGAATGAGCCGTACAAATTTGTGTACGAGTTGTCCAAATAAAGTATGAATGCTAAAAAAAAAACAGTTAAGAATTAGAAAGGAATTTTACTTACGGGTGAGCCATTTTCGGAGGGTAAAAATCTCAGTGCTATGGATCGTCTAGTATACCTTCATGTGAATAATATGTACATAGATGGTCTGATAGATTTATTAACACAACTATTAAAATAGTTTTTGAACTATTTTGATTACAATTTATGATGATTTTTTGTGGCCTTGTGTTTGGTGAGATTTGACTGTCATCTTTGTTTCCATCCAGGCTAGACCATGTCCAGATTTCGTCTGGTGACCTTGGACGTCACCAACACACTCCTGAAGATATCGGGGAGTCCAGGGCACCAGTATGCCGCAGTAGCCGGCATCTATGGGGTCAAGGCCAAGGTCAGCGACATTGACTCATCGTTTAGATACAGATATCAGCAGTACAGCGAGAAGTATCCAAACTTTGGCACAACGGTTGGAATGTCTTCTTATAAATGGTGGACTGATTTGGTCAAGGACTGTTTCAAATCAGTTGCAGATGCCAATGTTCATACTCAAGTACTGCCACTAACCAATCAGGATGAGACATTGACCCAAATAGCCAATCACCTGTATCTCCACTTTTCAACAGCAAAAGCGTGGGAGATAGTACCAGAGGCGGAGAATCTTCTCCAAAGTCTGAAAGCGGACGGGGTCATTGTTGGTGCTATTTCCAACTTCGATGGACGACTGGAAAAAATATTGTCCTGTCTTGCATTAAGGCACTACTTTGATTTTGTTATTCCGTCAGCAAAAATTGGGTATGAGAAACCGGACAGACGTATTTTCGAACATGCTTTAGCACTGTCAAAGATTCCTGCGACCGAATCGGTACATGTTGGCGACAGTTATGAGAAAGATTACCTAGGTGCTGTTAATGCTGGTATGTCTGGTTATCTTGTACATAGAGGAAATAAGCCTTTAAAGAATATAGATCCTAAGTTTGTAATACAAGAGCTGGGCGATCTACCTGAGTGCCTTCGTGTGCGTACTATGTCCACAGAATTATGATAGGTTTTTTTTTAAGGTTTTTGTTGTTGTGAGATGCAGTGGATTTGTGTCAGTAAATAATTGCTATCATGTCTTGTATCTACCTGTCACGGGCAGTGGGGAGCCTAGTGATTAAAGCGTTCACTCGTCACACCGAAGAGCTGGGTTCGATTCCCCACATGGGCACAATGTGTGAAGCCCATTTCTGGTGTCCCCCGCCGTGATATTGCTAAAAGCGGTGTAAAACTATACTCACTCACTCACTCTTCCTGTCACGGGGCAGTGGGGAGCCTAGTGGTTAAAGCGTTCACTCGTCATGCCAAAGAGCTGGGTTCGATTCCCCACATGGGTACAATGTGGGAAGCTATTTTTGGTGTCCCCTGCTGTGATATTGCTGATATTGCTAAAAGTGCCGTAAAACAATACTCATTCTACCTGTCCCATCCTGTACCCTCCACATCAACTTGGAAATAATAATCTGAACTTGCAGCGGTTGCCATTTTCCCAGAGAATGCTGCATGTGAACCGGAAATGGAGTTACCTTCCATTCCAAACAACGCATGTTGCCTTCAAACTACTGGTAAACTATGGGCCATGGAGAGGTAACTAAGGTACTCAGGTCAGGTGGTTACTGAGTAGGACCCGGGTACCCAAAGGACCACCCGGACCCGTGGTCCGTTACGTGACATATAGTTTAATGACAAAATTATCAAGAACTCCATGAAAACACAACAGCTCACGAATGTTCACATTTCTTTTGGTCTATTCACGCATTCCTTCTGACTTATATATTTTTCAATAAAGATAAAGCTCAGTTATGAATGACCAGATCTTTTTATAGTGTACCTAAATACTCTGGTCAAACAATTCGCAATCGAATTACTCACTATTTGACATTTTGTACCAATCTCTTGAGACCTACAGTGGCTCCCAGGGTAGGGTCGTGTAATAGGGGGTTAGGTACCCAGGTAGTAAATTTGGACTCGTCCCAGCCCTAGTTAACTAGGACAAGTTGAGTTGTGACCTAACAATGAATTCCAATTGACATGAATGAGGTCAGCCCACTGGCGCATACCATTGTGAACAAAGATGTAGCAGGTGGTCCACAGCAAGTTGTTGGATAACCGTGTGTCTCGGTTAAGAATTCTGGTATCTCATTGTCACACTAGCCTCTTAATAGTCTTAGGAGCAACACATGTGTCTAATGGAGTGTAGTCAATTTCATCACCATCTTCCCGAGGCAAAGGAGTTAACTGACTTTAAAAGTCCAGTTTCCACCCTTGCCGAACTAGCCTGGTATTATAGAGTTACATTTTGGCTGGACTAACGAGTCCATGCATAGTCTAATCAAAATCGCACACCGAAATCGAAATTCGGTACGTAAACTGTCATGCAGATTTCTATCGACTGCAGGATTTGCAAAGCATGTGCAGCACCAACTCGTTGTCAACAGATATTATTCCAAATCTTTTCATGTTTTTAATCAAGGTGCTCACATGATTTGATGCATTTCGCGATGTAAGACCTGTTTTATCACAATATAGATCTTGATTTTCGAGCAGATTGTCCTGACTGGGCGCCACCATTTTGTGTGAAGCAAACGCAAGTGATACGAGAGGTGGAATCTGATTGGTCCATAGGAGAGGCTTAGAAGGGACATAACTGGTAATAGCCACTGGTGGCGCTACGATCGAGCCCATTAATTCCAGCCTAGTATGGCAAGGATGGAAACTGGACTCAGTTAACTCTCTTGCCTCATGAAGATGCACCATGACCTGCACTGCACAACATGTCTGCACCCTCTCTACCTGTAGCAAACCAAATACAGTCAAGTCTTGTTAATCCGACACTCGTTAATCCGACAATCAGCTTTATCCGACACTACTGATGGGAACAGATGAAATCAGTGCTATTTAGACCTGTTAATCTGACAATCTCGCTCTCAGACTCCGAAACACCTAATTTGCAATGAATTACCGAAATCACTCATTAATCAGTCTCCTTAATCCGACACAGTGATCAGTGTACTCCATGGTTATCTGCCCGCGAGTACACAGCCCATGTTTTGATGCGAGACGAGTCGGCTGGTAGCTGCATATTACAACGGCTGCAGAGATAAACTACTTAACAATAAACAATTAATGAACAATTAGTGTTCTATCATGTAGTTGTCCAATTTTCGATCATGAACTTTGATACTGCTTAATATCGTTTATCCGGCATGCTAGTTAATCCGACATAATCATATGCAATGTCGGTTTAACGGGACTTGACTGTATGTTTGCCCGACTTCTGTGCACGCCCTACTTGTGTTAAACATGATTTGTGATTTGGTTCAATTTATCCCCACTTCCTACCAGTGACATGTAGTGGTTACAAGTTACAACTTTACACAACTGTTTAATCAGAGCATTTTCTCTTTTATTATATTTGTTATTAAAACTGATGCATTAGATTTCCTTTTTTGTCCAGATTTTTTAATATTTTAGGTTGGCAGATCCAAAAATCATGAAATTAAATAATTTCGCCTTGTGTTTTGGCAGAGGCACTAGCAGAGTGAAAAACGTGCAAATCAGATAATTAAGGTAAAAAATATAATAGTCTTGGTTCTCAGGCACCGCCCGCATCATCATAGAGTTTTCCACGTTTCATTTTTATTCCCATTATTTAAACAAACAAAAACAAAACAAAAAAACTATTCCAAGTCAAACGGTAGTCAAATACTGTATTCCAATATTTTACTCATCAAGGAATACATTTATGTAGGAGGCCCTTTCCCAGGTTGATTGTACACAACTGTTTGGTTACACAACTGTTTGTTTGGTTACACAACTGTTTGTTTGGTTACACAACTGTTTGTTTGGTTACACAACTGTTTGGTTACACAACTGTTTGTTTGGTTACACAACTGTTTGTTTGGTTACACAACTGTTTGTTTGGTTACACAACTGTTTGGTTACACCACTGTTTGTTTGGTTACACAACTGTTTGGTTACACAACTGTTAGTTTGGTTACACAACTGTTTGTTTGGTTACACAACTGTTTGGTTACACAACTGTTTGTTTGGTTACACAACTGTTTGTTTGTTTACACAACTGTTTGTTTGGTTACACAAATAGTTGTTTGGTTACACAACTGTTTGGTTACACAACTGTTTGTTTGGTTACACAACTGTTTGTTTGGTTACACAACTGTTTGTTTGGTTACACAACTGTTTGGTTACACCACTGTTTGTTTGGTTACACAACTGTTTGGTTACACAACTGTTAGTTTGGTTACACAACTGTTTGTTTGGTTACACAACTGTTTGTTTGGTTACACAACTGTTTGTTTGGTTACACAACTGTTTGGTTACACCACTGTTTGTTTGGTTACACAACTGTTTATTTGGTTACACAACTGTTAGTTTGGTTACACAACTGTTTGGTTACACAACTGTTTATTTGGTTACACAACTGTTAGTTTGGTTACACAACTGTTTGTTTGGTTACACAACTGTTTGTTTGGTTACACAACTGTTTGGTTACACAACTGTTTGTTTGGTTACATAACTGTTTGGTTACACAACTGTTTGTTTGGTTACACAACTGTTTGTTTGGTTACACAACTGTTTGTTTGGTTACACAACTGTTTGTTTGGTTACACAACTGTTTGTTTGGTTACACATCTGTTGTAAGACCTGCATCACCTCCCACATTAAGCTGACAAGCAGTGATGTAACTGGAATACTGTTGAAAGTGGCATTTAACAATTCACTCAAATATCAGAAAAACCTGTAAACCTCTAAAATGGTCTGTTTGACATATAACATCAAACCTCCATAACATGATCATAACAAGTTTCCCATCCATTAAATTATGCATATCTATTAAGGCATTAAAAAATAAAAAGACAGTGAGTTTGGAAAAATAAAGTGTGGGCAGGCGGTGGTTCTTTTTGTTTGCTTGTTCAAACTTGTATGTAACCAAATAAACAGCCGTGTACCATCAACCTGGGAAAGGGCCTCCCTACATAAACAAGCATGCAAACTCCTATTTCTGCCATTACCAACACGAGATGCACAGTAAAGCATCGTGCATGTAAAGGGAAGTAACTGAGTGCTATATTGGCTTGCATTTTTTTCAAGTTTAAGAATTTTGTTTTCTTTTAAATGGAAATAAAAACGAGACGTGCAGCAAACTCTGATGATGCGGCTGTGCCTGGGAACAAAAACTTGTTTTTTTAGCCTAAAAGGCTCCTTATCCTCATCATATGTAAATAGTAAGGATGAGTGTTGACATCTACATACTGATACACAGAGACTATTGGAGTACTAATTAACGGGATCGGGTGGTCAGGCTGGCTGCCTTGGTTGATGCATGTCATTGATCCCAATTGCGTGGATCGATGTTCATGATATCAATCACTGGATTGTCTGGTCCAGACTCGATTATTTACAGACCGCCATCAAAAAGCTGGAATAATGCTGAATGCAGCATTAAACAACAAACAAACAAACTGCAAGCATCTTTGTGCTTTAACTATTTTAGTTCAGGGCAAAACTATAATATAATGAAATATTAAGATACACAGTGACTGGAATATTTACTGTAGATATTGCTTGTTAATGTACATAGTTTCCATGGCAACAACTTTGACTTAGGCTGAGGATGGCTTCAGTGCTCATATCCGGAGCAGATCTTGAAAACAGTGCAATATTTCTTCTCACTGAACCTGGTACATCATATAGTCTGGAAGTTAATTTAAGGTACCGACGTTGACTACAATATCTGAAAATAGAGTTCAGAATGAAATGCACGAGAAGTTAAGTTCTCGCTCATATGTTGTTTTTGGGGAGAGGGGTAATAGAAAGAGGCGTAATAGAAAGAGGCGAGTGAGAAAGCCATGGTGGAATGATAGCCTACGTGTGTATTGGCATGCAGTGTGTGTGGCGGAAAGAGTGAGTGAGTATGGTTTTACGCCGCTTTTAAGCAATATTCCAGCAATATCACGGCGGGGGACACCAGAAATGGGCTTCACACATTGTACCCATGTCGGGAATCGAACCCGGGTCTTCGGCGTGACGAGCGAACGCTTTAACCAC